CACTACCAAAAGACTTGGTTAACTAATGTTTTAGTCATTTGAAATGCAGTAGGTACAGAAGTGAATAGGTAGTGAATCCGTGTGATTCTTGCATGTCTGTGACAAAATCAGTAGCAATGTGTGATCAGGGTCTAGTGGGCATAGGCAAAAGCATAAGTTACCAGCTGGTAATGTCTTTGTTACATACCCCAGGGTGTGTGAGGCAGGGCAACAGTTATGTTCCTGAGACAGGATATATAAAGAAGGAGATGGTGAAGCAGTGGCTTTCTGTTCAAGCTCCCAATTGCATTTTCTTCTTTTTATTGAATACTTTCAATAATTTCATTTGTCCTTTGCACAATTTCACAGCTTAGCTCTTCATATCTAAATATACAGAGACATCTTCACATATGAATACTCAATAGGAGCTCATTATAGTTCTTCGCATATAAGTGCAGTTAGACATGTCTAATATACTTGTAAATAGTCACAAATATGACAAATATCATTATAATCATATATATATATATATATATATATATATATTTCCGTACATATACGTGTGAACTCTTTAGCGATCACTCTAATATACAAATGCACTGACGCATTAAATTATAGACTTAAAGCTTCTCAGCACTTCACATTAACACTCTCAGCTCATTGTGGATCTTTAAGCTCTGTTCAGCATTCTGTTCACCATACTATTCCTATTGCATTAGCTCTTTTCTGCTGTGACTGCACTTCATTCATTGGACTTGACCAAAATACTGAACCCAAACAGATTTAAATGTAAAACCCAAAAGTAAACACCATCAAAATTATTAAAATTACTTCTTTTTTTCATAACCAGGTAGGCATTACATCCATGAAGGCAAACTGCCAGTGTAAACTAGTTTAAAGTTGCAAGTCAGTCAGTAAATGCTAACAGTAACTTACTGAGGCTCACTGAACAAGGCCAAATGGCTAAATGCTAGCGGAGGCTCAAAGCTTGTCTACAGAAACCAACAGGCTAATGGCAGCAGAGGCTATGGCTTACTTATAACAGCCAACTGGCTAAAGCTAACGGAGGTTAAAGCTAGTGGAGGCTATAGCTTGCTTATAAGGGCCGACAGGCTAAAGCTAGTGGAGGTTAAGGCTAGCAGGGCTCCAGCTTGTTTATAAGGATTAACAGACTAAAGCTAGCGGTGGTTAATGCTAGTGGAGCCTACAGCTTATTTATATGGGCAAACAGGCTAGATGTATTAGAGATTATAGCTCTTACTCCTTTTAGCGTTAGCGATATGAACTTTACAGTCCCTCAAGCACTACCAATTTATCCACTTACTCTCTCCACAAGCACATGGAACCACCATAAACTATTATAAGCTGAAACGTTTTTAAAACTTGGTAAAAGAACAACCAGGCAATGAGCGTCTGCCATTTCACAGTTTTTGGATGGCACGTACTTCACAAAATCATACTATTATTTACACATATTCAGTGTTTCTCACCATAAAACAAAGTCTCCTATCCTTTTTAACTCTAAATATAGTGCTTTTGTGAACTTATTTCATTCCCCTACCTGAGACAGGATATATAAAGAAGGAGACGGTGAAGCAGTGACTTTCTGTTCCAGCTCCCAATTGCATTTGAGAGGTTTTTTCCTGAACTGCTCAAAGCCACAAACTGGTGTCTGCCACTGCTACAGCGTCCTCTAATGGCAGGGATTATTCTTACCCATACCTTAACTCAAAGAAAATGTTATGTCAAATAAAAGAAAACATATGTAAATATATAAAAAAAAATAACATAAATGTGAATGCACCTATAGTTTGTCACACGCTCCCCAATAAGATAAAACAAAACCCTCTCTATAACAAAGCCATTCCCAACTTTTCAAGTTGCTCTTAATATTCTCCTAAAATTGCTTAGATGGCGAGTACTTTGTGAATGGATGTGTCAGGGGGGGTCTGGTATAGTGTAGTGTAGGGTGTAGTGTGCCCCACCAAGGTCTAGTAGGTAGGCTGTAAATCATGGCTGAATTAATAGCGGTGTAAGGTAAGAATTTTCCTTGGTCTTCTATCTCTAGTGGATTGTCTGATCTCGCAGCCAGTATCTATACATCCGAGAGCTTCAGGCTCTCCAGGTTCACTTGGAGTTCCAGGTATGACTTCCATTTCAGGTAAGTTTCCTCCCACTGATTGATGTTCTGTTGGTCTTTGTTCTTCTCTTGTAGGTACTGTTAACTAGTCTTTTGCTCGTACAGGTGCTTGAGAATGTCCTACACGTGTTTGTAACTGTCTCTCTTTCCTTTCAGATGGTCCTGTCTGACAGGTGTTGCTAACTGTCTCTCTTCTCTTACAGGTACTGGAACCATCCTGTGCTCTTCCTGGACTGAACACTGTGGATCAACAGTAGGACCATTCTGGTAAGTATTGTTTTGTCTTTGCTCTTCTCGACTGGTTGGTACTCTGAACCAGTAACCTGCTGGCTCTTCCTCATCATCTGAAGCGCTTTTGTCCTCAGTATATGTCTGTGGTCTTTTGTCTCTTTTCGCTTTCCTGTTTCTGTGTTCCAGTTGTTTCCCACCAGTGCGCTTAACTGGACATTGCAGTGGTTCTGTAGGTAGGTCATTTACTTGCAGGAGCAGATTTCGATGGAGAGTTCTTGTCTTGCGGCTGTCTCCAACTTCTGGGTAGATTATGTATACAGGATTATCAGACACTTGTTCTTTGACTATGTAAATAGTCTTCTCCCAGTATGCTCTTAACTTGCCAGGTCCTCCCCGCTCACTCAGGTTCCTTACGAGGACTCTGTCAACTGGGTGCAAAACTACTCCTTTCATCCTCTGGTCATAATATGACTTGCCTCTTGTGCTTGCTCGGTTACTGTTTTCACAGGCTGTACGGTAGGCTTCCGCCATTCTCCCGGCCCATTTTTCTGCATAACTCTGGTGTGACATATTTTCTTCTTCCCCCTTCTGACCAAATAGCAGGTCCAGCGGGAGACGGGGGTGCCGTCCATACAAAAGAAAGAATGGTGAGTACCCTGTGGATTTGTGCCTGATGCAGTTGTATGCATGCACAACCTGTTGGAGATGGTCTTTCTACCTTTCCTTTTGCTCCTCTTGAAGTGTTTGCAGCATCTGCAACAGCGTCCGATTAAATCGCTCGGCGGGGTTGCCTTGCGGGTAATAAGGGGACGTCCTCGAGTGGCTGACTCCTGTCAGCTGTCGCAGGGTTCGAAAAAGCTAATTTTCGAACTCGCGACCTTGGTCATGGTGTAACTTGGCCGGATATCCGAAATAAGGTATGAAATCGTTGAAGATATGTTCAGCTGCTGTCCGCCCAGATTTGTTCTTGGTAGGATACACCTGGGCAAACCTGGTGAAATGATCTATTACCACCAAAATATATTTGTACCCTCCTTTGCTGGGCTCGAGATGCAGGTAGTCGATGCATACGAGTTCCAAGGGGAAGCCAGAGGTTATGCTCCCCATAGGTGCTCGGACGTGGGTCACAGGTTTCTTTTGTTTGATACAAGAACACTTTCTGGTGATATACTCTTCAATTTCTCTCTTCATAAATGGCCAGTAGAATCTCTCCCTTGCAAGCCATCTTACCCGCTCGGTGGCAACATGCCCCATATCATCATGAAGGTGTTTTAGGACTATTTGCTTGTATTTGGGCTGCTCCACTCCCCTGCCAAATGGCACGCACAATGTCCTCAGACAGCTCCTTGCTGCATCCTGCGATAAACTCATTGATGTCAAGTGGGCTACAGGATAGAACGTCAGCATCCACATTCAACTTCCCTGGTCGGTATTTTATGTCAAAGCAAAAGTTGGACAGTTCCCCAGCTCAGTCGTGACCGATCCCGTTCAGTTTTGCCGGGCTCATTACATATGTCAGAGGATTGTTGTTGGTGTACACCGTGAAGTGAGGTGCATAGTATAGATATTCTCTGAACTTTTTGCACACTGCCCACTTAAGCGCAAAGAATTCCAATTTTCCACTGTGGAACCTGTAATTTCGCTCTGCTGCTGTTAATGTTCTGGAACCGTATCCAAAAACTCTCAGTTTTCCACTTTGGAAAGGTGGAATAGGACTGCCCCAAGGCCCTGTGTCCGAAGCCTCTGTCAAAAACTCTCAGTTTTCCACTTTGGAAAGGTGGTATAGGACTGCCCCAAGGCCCTGTTCCGAAGCCTCTATCAAAATCAGGGTATGTCAAAACTGGTGGGTTCGTAAGCATGTCAATGAGCTGTTCCAAAACGTCTTGGTGTTTATGCGTCCAGCTTACTGCCGTCCTGGGTGGCAGCTGGGGCCCTTTAGTTTTCCTTTGTGTGGGCTGGCTCTGTGCCATTTCAGACTTCAATTGTAGCAGATCATATAGAGGCTTAGCGACTTGTGCAAAATCCTGAATGTAGCTGCGGTAGTAACTGAGGAATCCCAGCAGCCTCCTGATGTCACCAATCATTTGTGGAGTCTTGTCTCCCAGGGCCCGCACAACTTCAAGTTCTTTTGGGTTGATTCTCACCCCCTCTGCAGATACAAAGCAGCCCACATATCTCACTTCCTGGCGGAATAGTTCACACTTTCCTGGCCAACAGATTTAGTAATGTGTTATTTTTTCCAAGTTGTGTAGAAAGTAAAAATAAATATTTTTTGCCTGTCAAAAATGTCCAGGAGGCTCTTGGTCTCTTCCAGGGTTGAGAGAATGTAAGAAATGGAATATTTGGTTTTTGGAGTGGTCTTCAGCTTATTCCATTGTAGTGATGATTGGAACAGTAATAGGTGCACTACTGCTGGTGTTCTCATTTATCTTTTTTCATTCTACACAGAGAAAAACACATCATATAGGACATCTTAGTTATTTCTTGTTTGATGAAATTTGGCCTGATGGTGAGTTTTGGAGGTGTAATACTTTTCTTAGGCAGCCCAAACATCCATATATGCAGAGCACAACAGGTCACTTATGGTCTTGGGTTCACTCTCTGTGTGTCCTGCATTCTGGTTAAGGCCCTTCACATATTCTTAGAGTTAATGTCCTCTAATCCTGCAAAGCAGCGCAAACTAAGAAAGTTTGATAAGCCTTTAGTCATCATAGGAATCCTCACTGCTATTCAAGCTCTCATCTGTATCTTCTGGATGATATTTGATCCTGTTGATGTTGAGGAGAAACAATCAAAAACTCAGTCACTTACTCTGAACCGTCTGTGCACTCAGGGCTCTCTGTATGACTTTGGTGTGATGCATATCTATATTGCTTTACTAGCTGTGGTGTGTTTCCTGTTGGCCTTCAAGGGGAGAGACAAGGAGACTGATCCTATAGTCTTCAGCATGCTCATCCATCTGTTTGCCTGGCTTTACTTTATTCCAGTCTTCATCACTCAATATGAATCATGCCCCATTGTGCACATCTCTGGCATTATGGTCTCCAACTATGGAGTCATCTTCTGCCACTTTGCTCCAAAATGGTTAAAAACCCCCCAGAGAGGTCTGAGACACTGAAAGCAGTAAAACCCCAAGATGATTCTCTTACAGATGAGAGTGATTTGTAGGAACTCAAAGGATACAATATAAACACTCAGCATACCGCAAAACCAATTCAGCATTGCAGAGTCAGAAATTGTCCAACTGCGATGGTCACAGCCTGCATCTGTCAGAAGTCAGGATTGCCTCGTTTAGGCATCGGAGACCAAGAAGTCAACAACCGAGGAGTCTCTAAGTCCTCTTTCTCAATCAGACGTTGCCAAATGAAGTGGTAGTGATCAACATCTGTTACTTGTTTTAATCTGACACTATGATGCAAAAATGATAACAAAATCAAAAATACTCTTATACAGTAGCTTTGTGAGAATACTATACAGACGTAACCATGATACTACCATGGTTTTTGTCTGTTTTTCTTCACCTTTCTTGTTTTCCTGCTTAATTTGGACAATTTTCTGGTTTCTTGTTTCATGTGAACTCCATCAAGTTTGTCATACCAAGCAGTCTTTCCTAAAAATGTGTTTGCAATTCAAAATACAGTTTTGTAATTTGGATTGTATGGTTTGAGAAATCATTAATACCTTTACAACATAATTGTGTCAACATACTCTATTCTAAACTGTTCTGTGACTTTTATACATACATACAAATATATGTGTACATTTACATGTACATATATATTTACATATACCTTTATTAACAGAAATGAATACTTTATTTGCAGAGTTTTTATACAGTAATACACCAAGAAAAACCCATCATAAAGGACATCTTAGTTATTTCATGTTTGATGAAATTTGGCCGGATTTTGGAGGTGTAATTTTTTTCTTAAGCAGTCCAAACATCTATCTTTGCAGGGCACAACAGAGCATATATGATCTTTGGTTCACTTTGTGTCCTGCTCTCTGGTTAAGGCTGTTCACTCTATAACTGCCTGTAAAGCAGGTATACTGGCCGTAATTTTCTTACAGCTTTACAGCTGCGACTTCTTTTGAATATCTTGCCTTTAAATTACCCAAAGTCCAAAACTGCAATACTGCTGTATCGCCCTACCAAAACCTAATACTGCATTCTTTTCTGTACTATCAGAATTACATACACTTGTTCAATTTCTCCCCACTTGTTGCTAGTTGATGACTTCAAATATACATGTAAAATCTCTAGACTGCAAATTTGCTAATGCTTTAACTTTGCTCCTTGACTGTTTTCAACTAACACAGCATGTAGATTTTCCTACCCATGACAAAGGTCACATCCTCAATCTAGTCTGCTCTTCTTCTGTATCTGTCTTTGATCTTTATTCACTACTGTTTCCATTATCAGATCATGAGCTTGTCCTGTTCACAGCTCCTTTGGCTTTTTCTCACCACTGTTCTAAATTATTCATTTCATTCTGCAAGACCCAGTCTGTTTTTTCTACTGTTTTTACTATGATTCTGCTCCCTCTTCTCCTGATGATCATGCTACTATGCTTAATGCCATACTCTGACTCACTCAATTCGCTAGCACTTTGGAAAACTAAAACTGTTAACTTGTCACTTCTGTTTCCTGGTACACCAGTGAACTCCACACCATGAAGCAAATCGGCCACCGTTGGAAAGGCTTTTTAGAAAAACAAAGTTCTCTGTTCATGCAGAGGCTTACAGACAACACCTTTCGGCTTACAGAGATGCCTTGCATACAGCTGAATCAGCCTACCTTTCTGGTCTCATTAACATTGCCAATACAAACTCAAAACAGCCATTTTGAACCATTCCAGTCTGGATGTGGTCCCTCCCATAGCATAGAAATTGCCTTAATAAATCAAGGTTGCATGATCTGGGCATTGCCATGGATTGGTTCAAATCATATTTGATCTAAAGAAAGCTGTTTGTTACCCTTGGTGGCCACACAACCCAAATGTCTGTTGTTACTCAGGTGTTTCTTCAAGGCTCAGTCCTTGGACCTCTTTTGTTTATTGTGTACATGCCCTCTGTTGGTCACACAGTATGTAGTTTCAAACTTGACTTTCACTGCTATGCGGGTGACACATAGATCTACCTTAGCACTAAATCTACTCAAAACCCACCCCTCACTCGCTTAGAAAACGGCCTAACAGAAATTAAAAGCCAGTGAAGCACAACATTATGCTAAACTGATAAAACACAACTCATAGGATCCAAATCAACCTTTGCCAAATCTCTCTCTTTCTCTGCTCTCTCTCTCTCTCTCTCTCTCTCTCTCTCTCTCTCTCTCTCTCGACAATGTAACTGTGTCCCCTTCCCCCAGTATAAAATCTGGGCTTCCTCTTTGACTCAGCTCTTTCATTCAGTGGACACATAAACTCTGTAGTTAAAACCTCTTTTTTTCACTTCGTCAACATTGCAAAAATTCAGCCATCTCTCTCTCTCAGTCTGCTGTAGAAACCCTTATCCATGCATTCATATCTGTAACACCCTACTTGCTGGGATTAGCTCCTCTTGCATGCACAAACTCCAGATGGTACTCTGCTGCTCATCTCCTCACCTGCACCCGCTCACAACATCACATTACACATGTCCTGCAAAATCTCCACTGGCTCCCTGTAAAATATCACATACAATTTAAAATTCTTCTCCTCACTTGCAAACCTCTACCTAACCTTGCTCCTTCCTACTTGTCTGATCTCCTTATTTTCTACAAACCTACTCACACTCTCAGGTCCTCATCTACTGGATGACTTACTATCCCACCATCCAATGTACAATCATGCTTTCTCTTAGTTTGGTTTCCAGACTCTGGAACTCTTCCCTCCTCATTAAAATCGAATCTAACCTATCTCTTCTCTCTTGCTAAGGCTATCCACAGCCTTAAATTAGCTCTCTACCAAGTCTTGTCATGTCTCTGCTTGTGATCCTATGGTTTTGTGTTTTCTGTGTTATTAAACATTCAGTTACTTACCGTTAATCATCTGTGCACTCAGGGCTCTATGTATGGCTTTGATACGCTGCATATCTACATTGATTTACTAGCTGTGCTTAATTCTGCCAGTTGCTGAGCCACACCAACTGGCAGAATTAAGCATTGAGCGATATTATGTCAAGTTTAATTGATCATTCTTTATGAGGAATGAATAACTGTACTACACACTTCATCAGAGAGCGGAAAAAATTTTTGGAAGAAAAAAAAAATTTGGCAGTTCTTGGCTTCCTCCAGCTAACTAATCTGTATCCAGGCATAACCATATTTATCAAAAAACACTCATGAATGGGAGTCATAGTGATTGCTAGTAACTGACTACAGTCTTATTCAAGACAACACATGGCAAAGTGCTGCACAAAACTACAATTTTGGGGGAGAAACTAACATCTACTATGCACTACTGTGTAAGGCAAGCATGTCAAACTGAACCACTAAAAGGGCCTTGTTAAAAAATCTCAACAAATCTGTGGGCCAGAGAACGCCTATGTTTTTATTTCATTTTTAGTTAGAATTTTGATACAACTTGAACTGGCCATTGTTTACTTCAAATATGCCAAAACAAATATAGGTACTTGTAGCACGCCTTAAAATATTACATAAATACTTCAACTATTTAAAAGTCATTTTAAATAAAAACTAATTGTTTATATAAAACTATAGGCCACACTAATTGCAGATAACAGTTGAACCTCCTTAAATGTACCTAGCAAGGTTTTCTAAATCTGCCTATTTGCTTGAACTAGACAACTGGCATCTTTCCTTTTTGTAGTGTAACTGCTGTACATACAATGTTATTGGGTGGTGTCAAAACTTAAACCCAAGTTCCTCAGAGTTCTGTTCCTCATCCTTCATCATTTCCCTCTACTCAAGGCATGTTCTGCATTTGTAAACTAAGATTAAATTCATATAGGTTTTTGAGACCTGTACCACATGTCCTCTTTGGCCTGCAGTGTAACACATCCCCAGAAGGTGAATGATGACTACTAGCTCCAAGCTGTGGACCTGACTGAGGCCTACAGTCAGAGAATGTCACAGTATGCCATAGCTTATGCCATCAAGAAACTTCCTCAATGTAACAGCAATTTCTACTCTGGAGATGCCAACCTCATGCCATTTAAAGTAAAATTTACAATAAAGAGAAGTTTAGAATTCTGTATTTTCAGCTTGTGGACAATCTTCGTAAGATGAACTTTGGACTGTCAGACATATTCTATCAATAAAAATGGGGGACTTTGGTTATGCTTTCATGATGTGGACAAAGACTAGTGGTGAAAGAATATCTGACACGGTGGGAAAATTTCTCATAAAGAATAAGGGTGTTGAGATCTATCTATGAGTGAAAATTCCCATGCACCAACAGTACAATGAGAAACTATTAAATACAGTCTTATTGTGCCCAGATCATAAACTCATAAGAAGACATTTTAATCATTTATATGAATCATTGGTCCATTTGCATATACATATCTTCTTGAACATTTCTACCAAAGGAAACATTTACCTTTACATTCAGGTGTTCAGAGCCCCACTGGCCCAGAGAAGAAGACATTAATTATCTTCTTTTGCTATACCTGTACTAAATTTAGTGAGGGTATTCTAATGATTGGAGCAGGGATTGGCAACCCAAATGTTAAGAAGAGCCATTTTGTCCTTTCACTAAAAATCAAACCACATTGGGAGACACAACATTTATGTCCGTTTTAACATCTTGGCTGTAAATGCTATGGGAGGCAAATCCAGCCAAAAAAGAAATTAAAATAAAACCATAAAATGAAAATGCAAACCTCTTTTTGCCATTTCTTTTTCCAAACATCTGCGCAAATATCCTGCCAAAATTGAAAATGAAATGAAATGTCTACATTTGCAATTTCATTTTTCACATGAGCACGAGCCATTTGTGACAAAAATAAAAATTAAATGCAAAACAGCTATTTGTCATTTCATTTTAGTCGTAATTCTGGTTTTTCATGGCCAAATCTAAAATGAAAAAGCTAATAGAGAAAAGAAAATCCAAGCTTAACTTTGGCTTTGGCTTTTCTCCATGAAATGCAGAATACGTGTCACACCTAAAATCAAAATGCACTGTTTATGTTCTTATTTCTTTTTCATAGCAATCGGCTGCATATCTGACAAAATGAAAATGAAAATGCAAAATGGATAAATCAACAGCAAAGTGACAGTTTGTGATTCAGTTTTCGGCACAGACGTGCTTTAGGTGTCAGAATGAAAAGGCAAATGCAAACAAACATCAGCGCCACCTGCTGGACATTTATTTTACATTTTCCACTTTTCGATTTCGTTTTCAAACTGACCAACATGCAAATATATGTTAATTAGCACTACTTTTTGGGTCAAAGGTCAATGAGCAGGTTTGTTACCATTTTATCTGACTTGGGACCATATGTTCTGGACACTCGGGTGAAAAGATGTGCTGAGCTGTCAATTGATCACCATCTGGTGATGAGCTGGATCAGATAGCAGGGAAGACTGGTGGTCAGACCTGGTAGACCCAAGGTGCAGTCGGAGTGTTTTCACTCAAGCTGTACTCAGCAAAGGCGGATACCAGGGTATCACACTGCTCAGCCTCCCAGCTTAAAGTCTATGCCAAGGTGCTGGAAAGGAGACTGACCAATAGTCAAACCTTGGACTGAGGAGGAACAGTTCGAATTCTGTCCTGGCCATGGAACAGTGGACCAGCTGTCCTCCCACTTGTGGATTATTGAGGGGAGTTTGCCAACCCAGTTTACATGTGTTTTGAGGACTTAGAGAAAGCCTACAACTGTGTTCCCCGATATATTCTGTGGCAGGTCCTTTGAGATTATAGGGTGCTGGGGCCACTACTCTTGGCCTTTTGGTCTCTGTACGCATAAGGACACAGTGAGAGCTGGGTCCTTATGCTCGGCATTACATCAAGCTCGTTCTATGTGGTTGTTGGACTTGTGGGTGGTTGTGCCTTTTCTCCACTCCTGTTCATGATATTTATGGACAGGGTGTCAAGGTATAGCCAAGGTCAGGAGGGCATTATTTGTGGTGACAGGAAGGTGGCGTCTCTGCTTTTTGCAGATTATATTGTCCATATGGCTCTATCACAAGGATGCCTCCATGGCTTGTTAAGGGGTTAACCTTTTTCATCAGTGTGTCAGTGCATGGCTTGTTGGAAACATGCTTGTTAGACGAGAACTCAGTGGATTCTTTGTAAACACTTTACAAGTTCCTGCTAAAGCCTGAGTAGACTGATAAATCAATGTGATGATCAGTTATTAATCTTAGTGTTTTGGAACTCTGCTAAAACCTGAGTAGACTGATTAATCAACGTGATGATCAGCTATTAATTTTGGTGTTTCTGAGCTCCTTTGAACTGCCAGCTAGTAACAGCAAGAAACAGTGTAAATTAAGAAAAATGAAGAAAAGTTTTTTCCATGTGCCTTACTAAGATGTATTATAAATGCATTGCTACTTTTTATGTATAGTAACAGAATACATGAATACATTATTCGACACGTTTAAGACAGTGTATTCAGTATTAGACCATCACTACTTTTATTAATGTATTTTGCCCAACTCATATTGCCCAACTCACTTTCAGCTTTTTTATCTTATCCTCAGGGTGTCTGCATTCACAACTGGGTGTGATGTACTTGCGTTCCATTCATGCATTGAATGGGATAAACTGTGTGGTATTGCGGGAAAGTTTTGGTTGTATTGAATTACTTTAAAAACAGTAACCACAGTAACAGTCACCTTTGTAACAATAACTTTCTTTCTCTCTTCATTTCAGCTTTGATCTAAGAACATTTGTATAATATCTGATATTTGAAACCAGGTATCTCGTATTGAATTGTGGAAAATAAATATGAAGGCCAAAACCAAATATGTGACAGTTTAATAGGTAACAGCACTTTGATAACAACATAGTCTGTGTTTAGAGACATAAAACAATGCTTTTATTCACAGGAGTTTCTCATGCTACCTTTAGATGAAACAGGTTCAGTCCTTGTTGTGTTGTTCCTGTTTTCCTACATTCTTCCTCTCAATGGTTTCAGTTGCTAGCCATAACTAGCAAACACAGCTTTGAACAGTTGAACACACATAAAATCATCATGTTTTTTATTACATGTTTACAGTAATGAAAATTCTTAATGTTCTATATTTTCATGTGTTGGGACACCTTTTCTTCAAAACAATAGGATCTAACTCATCTAGCTCATCATGTTTTTTTCCACATGTATTTTTCTTATTGTGGGACAGCAATTCGAACAAATTTGACATAATGATCAGTAAATTTTCATATTCAGTGTTATGATATGTAGTTTTAGACTGGATTTTCCTGTTCTTTCCACCCATGTTTTCTTTGTGCCAGAACACACCCCTCTATAACACTGAATTAAGCTCTACTGCAGATGTCCATTCTTTCATTCCAGTTTCAGACAGTGAGTTCTCAATATGAGGTGTCATTCACATCTTTTTGTGCTGGGGGTGGCTGTAATGTTGGCATTGCAGTTCCACTGCAGCATTACGGAGTCCATATGTGGAGCGTATGTACCTGGGGATATCATCATTGGGATTCTGAGTTCAGTTCACACTGACATAAAAGATCTTCAGCCTTGGATCCTTCCAGATACGTCTGCCTGTATAAAGTGAGTATACGGTTGAGTTTACTCTCCTTTGGGTGGTGTTGAATTACTTTAAAGACAGGAACCTCAGTAATAGTAATTTATTTTTCTCTCTTCATTTCAGATTTGATCTGAGAACTTTTGTACAACCTTTAGCTTCAATTCACACAATTGAAATGATCAATGACTCTGGTTTTCTTCCTGGAATTCAGCTTGGATATTTGATGTGTGATCCTTGTTCACATGCAACCAAAGCCCTACAGTGTGTGGCGGACATGCTGGCTGTTAATGGGTCACTTACAGTCCTCTCTGACTTTTCAAAATTCAATCCACCTGTGAAAGCCTTCCTTGGTGAAAGATACACTGAAACATCTATTCCTGCTGCCAAACTGCTCAGCCTGTACAAGATTCCCCAGGTAATACTGAGTAACATGACATTATTATATTTATTTATTTATATATTTATGCAAGACATTTTCTAAATAGTTATTAAATTGTCATACCAAATTAGTGCCACAATATTGTTGTTGACAGTCACCAGAGTTCTTTAAAAATGTTTACATTATGTATATATATTTTTAGGAATTTTCACAATTTTCTCATTGATATAATTTGAAGGATTTAGTTTAGGGCAAGAAAGGCTTCTGTTTCAAGATTGTTGATTTTTATACAACTTCATTCCTATGAATCCCAACACAGTGGCTCCTACTCTTTTTTATTTCTTCAAAATTTCCAAGATCAGATTTTCCCATCTTAATGTTATGTTACATGTACTCTAAAAGAATCAGTTCAAATTTAAACATTCCAACTTTCTCATTACAGGTGAGCTTGCTCATCTTCTGCAGCAGCCCTAAGTGACAAGTTACGCTATACATCCTTCTTTCGTGTCATTCCAAGTAACATATACCAGGCGCAGGCATTGGCAAAGCTGATGAGGCACTTTAACTGGGACTGGATTGGGGTTGTGAGCCTTGATGATGATTATGGTAAAGATATCTATGAGAACTTTGTGCCACATGCAGAGAAAGAGAGGATATGCTCTGAGTTCCATCAAGTGATACCAAACTATGGTAATGTGAAACAGCACATCAAGCAGGTGGCTGATATTATCCAAAACTCCACTGCCAAAGTTGTGGTGCTCTTCCTAAGAATTCAGCAGGTAGAGAAGCTCTTTGAAGAGATGATTAAGACAAACACTTCTCGAATCTGGATCGCCAGTAACACATGGTCTATGTCTCGCCTCTTAATGAAGATGAAGGGCATAAACAAGGTGGGAGACATTCTTGGCACTAACTTCATCACAGGGAAGATCCCAGGTTTTGAAGACTACCTCCAGAATCTGAGGCCACGTCCAGGGGCGAGAAATGACTTCATCAGGGAGTACAAACAAATGAGATTTAACTGCAGTCAGCAGTCAGAGCACACGTCCCCTTTAGCCTGCAATGTGACAGACCCCCAGGAGGCGAATGATGACTACCTGCTCCATGCTGTGGATGTGACGGAGGCCTACAATCAGAGAGTAGCAGTGTATGCTGTAGCTCATGCCATGAAGAAACTTCTTCAGTGCAATGACACTGCCTGCTCTGGAGATACCAACTTCAAACCATACGAGGTAAAATTGGTATGTGATTTGTATGTGAAATTTCATGCTTTTTGCACATGACTGTCAATTGTGAGGCTGATATTTAATAGTAAAAATGTTTATAAACTCATTAAGTATATTAACAGGGAATGCTACTTTCTTTGAAGAGTTTTATACAGTAAAACATGACTTGCTGTATCAGGTTTGCTGTTCATGATGATTTCTAGCTCTGGGTTGCAAACACTATAATTCAGCATTCAATTTTTTATGGTTTTTATTTAAAGACATTTTGTTAATTATATTATAGAAATAACGCTTATAATCCTGCATTTTTAGCTTGTGGACATTCTTCGTAAGGTGAACTTCACTTTGGACAATCAGACATACTCCTTCAATAACAATGGTGATTTTGATAATGGTTATGATGTCATGATGTGGAAAAAGAATGGTGATGAAAAAATATCTGAAGTGGTGGGAAAATTCCTCATAAAGAATGGGGATGTTGAGATCTATGAGCACAAAATCCCCTGGAACAACAATACGGTGAGATAAAATTACAAACTATCTGTCCCATTGTATATTATTCAAAACATTAATAACCAAGAAAAACTCTCTCTTTTCATTCAGGTGCCCTGGTCTAGGTGTTCAGAGCCATGTCCCCCAGGCACAGAGAAGAATATATCAAGAATCTCCTGTTGTTATGACTGTGCTAACTGTAGTGAGGGATACTATTCTGATGAGTGGGGTAAGTTAATTAACTTTTGTTAAATTACTGATCGTTATTGTGATTGTGACAACATTACAAATAAATTGGGGCAGCTCTAGCAGGGCTGAAATTGATGAACTAACTCATTGGAAAGATGACACTCTTTGATAGTGCTGTGTCTAAAGTCATTCTGCTGCAAGTGTTTCTCTATAGAGACTCTATGGCTGCTTGATTTTCTGTCACTGTTAGCAACAGGTGAGGGTGAAATTGTCAATCCCACCAATAAGCAGGAGTGTCCACATACTTCTGGCTATATAGCATATGTCTGCAGTTTTAAAACTAAAGGTGCCAAATGGTTTCTGTGGAGCAATGTCACAAAAGAACGTAAGATGTTTTGTGAGTTCAGACCATGCCTTCAGCGTGGGTGGTAGTATGAGGGAAGATTGATTGAGGGAGGGGGCTGGGGGGGACTCTGAGAACTTGGGCTGGAGTTCTGGGCAGCTTCTGCCTGTAGCTAGAAGGCCAGATCCCCAAAAGGCTCCAGGATGAACTCATAAGATGTTGAGGTCTAGGACTGAGTGATCTTCACCTGATGAGAAGAGCTGGTTCTGAAATAACAACTGTAGCAGCTTGGGTAGAGAACTTGGTAAGACTATATGTCAGTGGAATATGGAGAAGCTGGATTCAGAATGAGTTTGGTCAGACGGTCTAGCATTTGGGTATCTGAGACATAGTATGGTTAGATATAGAAGTTTAGCCTAAGCAGAAAAGAGGTCTAGTAACATAAGCCCTTGTATGGTGTTGGAGTAAATAGTTCTGCTATTAAGGATGTAAGATGAGAAGAAAAATGGAGCAGATGAATTTGATTCTGTGTGACACTGTGGCATGCTACTTACCAGCAAGCCAGGGGCGACAGTGGCAAGAAAAAACTCCCAGTGAGGAAGAAACATTGAGAGGAACCAGGACTCAATAGGGGAACCCATCCTCCTCTGGTCGGTACCGGACTGTGAGGATTGTGTTAAATGTGGCAGACAAAGGGGTTAGATGAGAATAAAGCAGATTATATCCTGAATGAAATTAACATGGAGCAGGGATGGCTGTTGGAAGTAGCTGGTCCATATGAGGGTTGATGGGCTTGATAGAGTTGAGGGTTGATGGGATGAGAGAGTGAAGGCAACAGCATGACAGGAGTCAAATCAGCGGTGGCCGAAGAACGGCCAAAGTGACTAGATGGAGCTGATCTCAGATAGAGCCGAGTGGAGCCAGAAATGAGTTGCAGAGCTGTTTGTACTGGAGCTGATCCGAGATGGAGCAAAGGTGAGCTAGAAATGAGTTGCAGAAGTAAGGAATGTATGATCTGAAATGGAGCTGATCTGAGATGGAGTGGAGTAAAGCCAGAAACAAGATGCAGGACTGAGCTGCATAGGAGCTGATCTGAGATTAAGCCAAGTGCAATCCAAAACGAGTTGCAAAGCTGATTGTACAGGAGCTGATCCAAGATGGAGCAAAGTTGAGACAGAAATAAGCTGCAGAGCTGAGTTGTGCTTGAGCCGATCCGAGATGGAGCTGAGTGGAGTAAAGAGTTGCAGAGCCGAGACACATCTGCGGTGAACAAGAAGGACTTGAACTTGAGATGGAGTGGGCTTAGATGGAGCTGATTTGAGATGGAGCTGATTTGAGATGGAGCTGATCCGAGATGGAGCCGTGTGGAGTGAGGAGTGGCAAACCTGAGACACATCAGAGCTGAACCAGGAAGGAGTTGAACTTCAGATGAGAAGGAAGTTGCAGAGCTGGGTTGCAGGAGCTGATATGAGATGGAGTGGGCTGAGATGGAGCCATGTAGAGTCAGAAGGGAGTTGTAGAGTTGGGTTGCAGGAGCTGATCCGAGATGGATTGGGCTGAGATGGAGCCGAGATAGGATGGAGGCTTGAGGTAGAGGGATGAAAGGGGTGGGGGTGGGGGATGCAGGACGAAAAGGGTAAGAGGGTGAAAGTGTGAGAGAGAGAGGGAAGGGGACGGATGATAATGGGAGGGGTTTGGATGATGAAGTGAAGGGGAGGGATAATAAAGGGAAGGGGAAGGATGAAAACGGGTGGAAGTGGGAAAAATGAAAAGGAAAAAAACAAACCCTGAGAAGAACCGGTGGCTTGTGGATCAGGATTGAATGGCATGAGGGGGAGACGACGTCAAGTAGAATAAGCGCCAGCATCGTCACGATAAGGCGAGCGTGGCGTTGTCACGTGGTCTGATCAGTTGCGCAAGATGAGGGTCAAACAATGGCAACAAAGAGCAGGTTTGTGTACCTCTGCCTGAGAGTGGAACACATCAGCATGAGAGAGGTGATTCGTCTATCAGGGCGCACCGGTGCGCAGTCACAGTACAGAAAAGGGTGCAGTGTGGACGAAGCTCACGGAGGGCGAGGGCAGGAGCAGAGGAATGTAAGCCGTTGAGGCTTCAAGCGCCGCAGCCGCGTTGGAAGCTAGAACCGGGCATGAAGACCATGTGTGGCCAGGAAACGAGATCGTAGATCGGAGGCTTGCTAGCCAGAGCAGCAGGTACGATGAAAATGGATTTCATAGGGATGCAGACTGGACTGTATCTGCAGGAGTAGCAGGCAGATGGCTGAAGGGAATTCACGAGAGAGAATAGAGGTCTGTGCCAGAGTGGCTCTTAGCTGCACTAGCGTCGCACAACTGATTGCGAACACTTTGTCACGGGAACAGAAGGTGAGGATGTGAATTCATAGGGTCGTTACATTGAAAGAAGGAGGGGCTTCAGCCATGCTCCTCCCCCAAACTTCAGTTATAACATAACTACATAAAGAATCTAGTAACAGATTTAGTAATGTGTAATTTTCTGTAAGTTTACAAAAATAAATGAATTCTTTCTACATTCCTCAACTGATTTCTGCATGATTCTCTTTCTTTCTCTACACAGATCAGGACACTTGTAAACAATGTCCAGAAGGTTCTTGGTCTCTTCCAGGATCAAGGGAGTGTCAGAAATGGAATATTTGGTTTTTGGAGTGGTCTTCAGCTTATTCCATTGTAGTGATGATTGGAACAGTAATAGGTGCACTACTGCTGGTGTTCTCATTTATCTTTTACATTCTACACAGAGAAAAACACATCATAAAGGACATCTTAGTCACTTCATGCCTGATGAAATTTGGCCTGATGGTGAGTTTTGGAGGTGTAATACTTTTCTTAGGCAGCCCAAACATCCATCTTTGTAGAGCACAACAGACCATGTATGGTCTTGGGTTCACTCTCTGTGTGTCCTGCATTCTGGTTAAGGCCCTTCACATATTCTTAGAGTTAATGTCCTCTAATCCTGCAAAGCAGCGCAAACTAAGAAAGTTTGATAAGCCATTTGTCATCATAGGAATCCTCACTGCTATTCAAGCTCTCATCTGTATCTTCTGGATGAAATTTTATCCTGTTGATGTTGAGGAGAAACAATCAAAAACTCAGTTACTTACCATGGACCGTCTGTGCACTCAGGGCTCTATGTATGGCTTTGGTGTGATGCATGTCTACATTGCTTTACTAGCTGTGCTAAGTTTTGGACTGGCCTTCAAGGGGAGAGACAAGGAGACTGATCCTATAGTCTTCAGCATGCTCATCCATCTGTTTGCCTGGCTTTGCTTTATTCCAGTCTTCATCACTCAATATGAATCACGCCCCATCGTCCAGATCTCTGGCATTATGGTCTCAAACTATGGAGTCATCTTCTGCCACTTTGTTCCAAAATGGTTTAAGATCTTCTTAGAAAGGTCTGAGACATTAAAGGCAGTAAAACTCCAAGATGATCCTCTTACAGATGACTCAGACTCTGGAGTGATTTGTAGGAACTCAGAGGATACAATATCAATACTCAGCATACTGCAGAACCGATTCAGCATTGCAGAGTCAGAAATGTCCAACTGCGATGGTCACAGCCTGCATCTGTCAGAAGTCAGTATTGCCTCGTTTAGGCATCGGAGACCAAGAAGTCAACGACCAAGGAGTCTCTAAGTTCTCTTTCTCTATCAGACGTTGCCAAATGAAGTGGTATTAAACAGTGATCAACATCTGTTACTTGTTTTAGTCTAACACTATGATGCAAAAATGATAACAAAATCAAAACTTGGAATACTCTTATACAGTAGCTTTGTGAGAATACTACACAGACGTAACCATGATACCATCATGGTTTTTGTCTGTTTTTCTTCACTTTTCTTGTTTTCCTGCTTAATTTGAATGATTTTCTGGTTTCTGTTTCATGTAAACTCCATCAAGTTTGTCATACCAAGCAGTCTTTCTTAAACATGTGCTTGCAATCCAAAGTACTATTTTGAAATTTGGATTGTGTGGTTAGAAAAATCATTCCATTGCCACATCATTGTGTCAACATACTGTATTCAAAATTGTTATGTGACTTTTATACATAGTCTGATATTTTTATTTTTTTCAAAATACTGAAATTTCTTCCCATCAAAATGGTCTTATGTCAAACAAGCAAAATGATGCACATCATCATTCTCATACATTAAAGCAGGCACTAGTACCATAACCCCCTTTTAGGACCGTAGTGTTAGTGTTATTTTAGATTGGGTTTTTATTGCCAAAAAGTATTTATGTCTCATCTGACCATAAGATTCAGTCAAAGTCAAGCTCCATTAGTGTCTAGCAAACTCCAGATGCTAACATTTGTTGGACATGTTCATAGAAAATAAAGGCTTTTTCTGGTGTTCCTTCTAAACAATTTGTTGGCATGGAGGTGGTGTTTGCTTATAGTTTTAGAAACTTAATGACGCCAGAATGCTACCATCTTCTGCAAATTATCTAGGGGATAAAAACACTTTCAGGCAGGTTCACTACAGCTCCAGTTGTTTTTAATTTTTGCCCTGTAGATATGGACATATGGCTATTTTTATAGCCATTGCTTGATTTAGGTGAAAAGTGCAACACAGATGAAAAGTGCAACACACTTTTAGCTCATTCTCATTTGTGTGTTCTCTAATCTTCCCCATGGTGATGAATGACTTACTGGATATGGAGTATTTGTCACTTTATGCTTTTAAAAAGTGAAATATATGTTTGGAACATGCTTTTGTTGTTTTTCCAAAAGAATTTCCAATGCCTTCCAATAACAAAGACATTACACTATATTTACTTCACATGACATTGAACTAGACATTAGACATTCAAAAATTTTGTGCTAGGGTAGTAGATTTCTAATCATACTAGCATCCAACTTCTGAACCCGGCTCTTACAATACATTTAAATATCAAAGATTATCATCATTATTATTATCATGTGTAATTAGTTGTTTACATGTCTTTTTCTATAAAATTGTTACACCCTTTTATATAAAAATGAAGGTTCAAGCTCATTAACAATGCTTTTAGTCAAATATACATATCCAAAACACCATCAATTTTAAGATTTTGCATTATAGGTACCCAGGACAAGAAAAGTCCTTTATGAACAAGAGAATCTCATGGCATTAAAATAAAACCCCATGTCCAAAAAGTTGGGATGCTGTGCAAAATGTAAATTAAAACAAAATGCAATGATGTGCAAATCATTTAAACCCTATATTTAATTGAAAATAGTACAAACACAACATATCAAAAGATGAAACTGAGAAATTTCATTGTTTTTTGAAAAAGAAAAAATGCACATTTTGAATTTGATGCCAACAACATGTTCCAAAAAAGTTGGGACAGGGGCAACAAAAGGCTGGTAAAGTTGTGTAATGCTAAAAAAAAAAACATCTGGTGGTTAATTGGCAACAGGTCAGTAACATGATCTTATAGTAATGAAATGAAATGAAAATGAAATGAAATTTCATTCATCCATTCATTCATTCATTCATTCATTTATTTAATTTCATTTCAGTAACAGTATCCTGTACTATGTACTATGCAACACTCAATGGGAGCCATAGCGATTGCTGGTGATTTAAAACAGTCTTATTCATGACAACAAAAAACGGCAAATTGGTGTGCAAAAGTAAGGTTTAGCCTTTTGGGGGAAAGCTAGTGTGCTCTACTGTTTAAGGTATTTCATAATGCGATGATATAGTAGGTCACTTTTGAAATTTAGCTATAACAGAATAGGTTAGCAATATACTTAGTAACATACAGAACATAGTAACATATAAGTCTTATATAAGATTGATTAATTTACTTTTTCACTTCATTTATTAATTAAAGTACACAAGCAGAGTGTTTTAGTTTGCAGACTCACATCCTGTTCTATCCTCCATAAAGCTGTGCAGGTTGTGGCAGAAGTTTCACCTTCAGTCAGCAGATGGAGACATTTACTATAAAACAGAACACTAAATTTCCACATTCTCAACCAGGAACACGGATGTTTTACATTGATGAAAAAGTGCTAAATCTTGGAATAGCTTGACTTAACAGTGCTAAGAAAACACTTAATAAACTAAATTCAAACATGTTTTCCAGGACACATTACATTGTACAGGCTGCAGTGTGAATGGGTGAGAAAGTCTGGCATGGTGACAGGCTTTTTCTGACCTTACCTGTAAAACCAGAACTTGTTTTCCATCAGATGTTTATAGTGGTGATATGTAATCATTTGATTTTCAGATACAAATTTTGAACAGAATGCACTTTGTCAAATCATCTTCTGCACTGTAAAAAGTTGATTTAAAATGTTTGTGATGTTTTTATTGATAAAAAAAATTTGCTTAGGTTTCTACTAAAGTATTTTGCTTGAACAAAACTATAAGCTTCTTACCACATGAAGTCATCTGTAGATTGAACTGACTAAACATTTTTACGCTGTACTCTACTGATTATTCAGTCAAGGTGAGGCAATTGTTTTCATATAGCACCTTTCATACACTGCGGTCATTCAAAGGTCTTCACAAATAGTAAACACAAAGAAGTAAAAGTCACATTAATATTAGGATAATTAAGCAACACAGTCCTTACAAACTAAAAACAAATGACCAATTTGATGAAGTCATTAGTACTAGGACGTGTATTTATAACCAGATGTTTATGATCTATAACCAATGTTTAGTTTCACTTCACTCAAAAACAAGTGCTGTCTGGTTTACATTGCCTACATATTTCAAATACAGTGTAGTGACAGGAATCGTAGAGACAAATGAATAGAATGACGTCCAACAGCAAATATGCTGGTTGGTTTCACAGGCTGCAGGTAATGCATTCAGCTCCATAATTGACACACTTGGTAAAGAAGTATTAAAAAGGTAACAAAATTGTTTTTTTTTCTGGCTTAGTCTCACAGACACTAAGAGAAACATATACCCTTTAATTGAAATAAATTAAATTTGACAAAACATTTCACAAATATTAGCACCCCTGCATTTAATGCTTTGTGGCCGGTTCAAGAGAACAATGTGATAGAGGGAGCTAACAGCCAACAGGTAGAATAGGCAATATTGGTGTATTTGTTGTTTTTCCTGCTCTCCCAATTTTTCTTTAGTCTTTTTTTTTCTTCTTCACCAAGATACATGGTCAAACACAAATTCACAACTTTTCACTACAAAATCATGTCTGTTTTTAAAGCAGTGCTGCCTGAGGGCCTGAAGATCACAGCCAACCAGTATTTTTTTTTTCTGGCATGTCACTTTCATACACAGATTTCTCTGGATTCTCTGAAACTTTTAATATTATGTAGAGTTCCCACGTTCTTTGCTTTTTTTGTATTCTTAAATTATTTCCCTATTTGCCCATGCAGTCTTTCAGAGTGGTAAACCCCTCCCTGTTTTACTTCTGAAAGACTCAGCCTCTCTGAGATGTTCTTTTTAGACCCAATCATGTTACTGAACTATTGCCAATTAACCTAATTAGTTGTGAGATGTTTCACCAGCTTAGCATTACACAACTTTACCTGTCTTTTGTTGGCCCTATCCCAATTTTTTTTTAATGTGTTGCTGGTATCAAATTAAAAATGGGCATATATTTAAAAAAAAAATCATTTTTCACTTGCAACAATTGATATGTCTTTGTATTATTTTCAATGAAATATATGGTTTAATTGATAAGCACATCATAGTCTTCTGTTTTTATTTACATTTTGCACAGTGTTCCAACTTTTTTTGAAACAAAGTTGTAAGTACTTATATACTAAATGTATTTAGACACAACTCCAATTTTTTACCAGATGCCTGGGGTTTTTCAAGGATATCAGGCAAAAGGATATTTTAACTAATTTCTCATTATTTTCATTCTACACAAAGAAAAATGCATCATAAAGGACATCTTAATTCTTAATTCATATCTGATGAAATTTGGCCTGATGGTGAGTTTTGGAGGTGTAATACTTTTAGGCAGCCCAAACATCCAAATTTGCAGAGCACAACAGACCATGTATGGTCTTGGGATTATGTCCTCTAATCCTGCAAAGCAGCTCAAACTAAGAAAGTTTGATAAGCCCTTTGTTATCATAGACCTCACTTTTATTCAGGGTCTCATATGTATCTTCTGGACGATATTTGATCCTGTTAATCTTGAAAAATTCAGCTACTTACCCTGAACCGTCTGTGCACTCAGGGCTCTATGTATGGCTTTGATGCGATGCATGTCTACATTGCTTACAAGCTGTGGTAGTGAAGAATAATGTGATGGAGCTGATAATCTTCAAATGCTCATCCATCTGTTTGCTTGGTTCTGCTTTATTCCAGTCTTTATCACCAAAAATGAATTGCACTGTATCGTTTAAATCTCTGGCATTATGATCTCCAACTTTGGAGTAATCTTCTGTCACTTCACCCTGAAAAGGTTTAAGATACTCTCAGAAAAGGCTGAAACATCCAACTTGGATAGTAATCTACACTGTTAGAAAGGGTCTGTGCAGGTAAATGTTTTGTTCATCAAGGTACAATCATTGTAAATGTACCCTCAAAGGTACAACAGTGGTTTTAAGGTCCAACTGAATGCGTTAAATAAGTTTTTCCCAAGTGAAAAGTACATATTTGTACCTTTTCAAACCAAATGTTTTAAAACTAAACAATAAAATAAAAGCCTGGAGACGAGACACGGTGTGGAGTTAATACAACTTAGAAAATATCATTTCAGTGGATTATGGTACAGTTATGTTCCCTGACTAAAGGTACTGAGATGTACTCTTGAGGGTACCACCCTAGTGACAAGAGGGGTACTGCCCCAGTGACAGTATAGTACCTTTATTTCTGAGAGTGTAGAGACAGTAGAGAAGAAAAAAATGCAGGAAAAATTTCATTAACGTGCAGCAGTGAAGACCCGCAACCAGCACAATCTAAAAGGCCAAGACAGTGCGGCAGGTCACGTCTCAAAGTACAATATTCGTACATGGTGATTTCAAAGACCACACCTACTGCCCTACAGCCTGGCACAGAACAGCACAAGCAACACGTCTGTGCTAACAACCCTCAGAAAGCCACAACTATGAACATTAAAATGTCTCTTCTACCTCAACATGGCACTCCCTTAAGGCCAAGCTGCTCTGCGTAGCGACACTTTCCGCATGTCCACAGTAGTTTGTTGCTACAGTAAATCACAAGATCACAGATCACCACTATAAGCATCTGACAAAAGCATTATAAAGTCAAAAATTACATCAAAAAATCCAAAAATTAAACATGTTTTCAAGGACATCTTACATTGTACAGGCAGCAGTGTGAATGGGCGAGGACGTTTGGCACAGTGACAGGCTTTTTCTAACCTGTCCTGTAAAACCAGAATGTTTTTGTCAGATGCTTATAGTGGTGATCTGTGATCTTGTGATTTTCAGATAAAACTTTAAACAGAATGCACTTTCAATTGTTAAACAACCCACATCTTCTACACTGTGAAGTTGATTTAAAATGTCTGAAATATTTTTTACTGATAAAAAAATTTGCTTTGTTTTGTTCAAAACTATTTGCTTCTTACCACATACAGTAATTTTCAGATTGAACTAACTAAACATTTTTACACTGTACTCTACTGACCATACCATGCATACAGACCTATACCATGTATAGCTACACCATTTGCCCACGTTGGCTTCTTGCTAGCATTTAATTACAGCAAGCAAGTAGCCAGATTTGCACAGAATGGTATAGATAGTAACAGTTTTGGAAGCCTTTTGAACCACTTTATTAAAATTTCAGGCAATGGAATTCCACAAGATGCAAAATTTAACAGAACAACATTGCCAAAGAAGGTCACCCTATCTCCTTCACACTGAGCCCCGTAGTTTACCAACTGCAAATACTAAGTAGCCCATCCACTGATGACTATTCTATGGCTCAACTTGTCTCTGACTGCTCACACAATGCACGCTTAGCGGGTACATTTAGTGTCTCCCATTAGGGGTGATTGTACGAGGCTAAAATTTGCTACTTATTCGCAGCTTCCAGTGCATTTGGCTTCTTTTTTGCTGTGTCATTATTTATCACCTGAAGTTAGCTCCTTATTTGTAGGTTCGAAGCTATATTTTGCATTCATAAATAAGGTCATAATACAATATGACAATGATTTTTCAGTACACCATTGTAAATATAATAATTATGTAATATAAATGTATATGATTAAAATATATTACAAGTATTTAGTTTTTAAGATGTATAATGTTCTCTCAGTGTGTTTCAAGTGCATCACCTCATTTCAGCTTGCAAGTGCTATAAAGCATAGGACTGAAGAAAACACACTCACATACATGAAATAGAAATGTTAGTTATTTTTTTATATTGCGTATTTGTTGACAAGCAGCTCTTGACTGCTCCATTATGGTGGACATGCAGACATACTGCCACCACTAAGAACACAGCCCATCTGTGTATATCTTCTAAATTGTGAACTAAGGAGTTTTCTCCATTAACCACTGCTGATTTGTTACACCCTCATAGGTACCAGAAAGTAAGTCAGCGAAAAGAAGTAGTACTCATTTTTTAAAGTAACTTGTTTCTGGCAAATGCCATTTTTAATGAACAGAAAAATGTTTTTCACGTTTGCAGCCACACAGGTCCAAAAAGAAATTGTTCATCAAAATAATGCAAAATAATAGTGAGAATAACTTGCAGTACTTTTAATAAAATTGTCTTTAAAAAATGCTGTGTCAGTGTTAGAACACTCTTAAAATACTAAAATAATTCTAAATAAACTATTTCAAATGTCTACTTTTGCATATCAAGTCATAAAAAAGTGACTTACATAATGAAGATCATAAACGCTCCATAAGCTTTTTTGATGCTTGCCATGGCAGTGTGTTTTAGCTTAGGATGCTGGATTGTTTTGGGTTGATTTTCCTTGACCTCGCTGTCTGATTCTGACCCAGTTATGTTGTCGTCTGCCTGTCGCGAGCAGATGCATGCTTTACAGGGAAGGGGGTTGATTAGACTTAGGTAAAGCTCACATTCACATTGATGTGTACACAGTCTATTTGTTGTTTTATAGCTTTGAATTAGGTAGATACAAAGTTATTCTTGTACCAGAGTTATAGAGGCTTTTATTCAGAATATTTTCCTGAATTTCAAGCTTTGTTGTAATTATATAATTAAATACACTACAGAGGGATGATATTTGTTCATTTACATTAAGTTTTCACTCTGAGCTCTGACTACACAGAAGGGCATTTATTGAAATGTCAGCCTCACACTGACTTTCCACATTCTTGAACAGAAACGTCATGAAGTGAAGGTTGCACAATGTTTTCATTCATCTAGTTTCTACAGCTTTAACAGAGAATAAGAGCTAAATTTAAAAGAATAACTGATGTGATAAAACATCAGTTGATGTGGTTGGTACATTTGGTGAATGAATGCTAGGTCAAATTTGTACTGTATGGAATACCTTCACATTCGGTGCACATGCAGCGTTAGAGTTTAGCATGGAGGCAGCGTTTTCTCAGACAGAAAGTCATGTCAGATCTTTGCTGTAAAGCCAAAACTTGCTTCGTGGCAGATGCTGTGTGAAACTGCCAATGTAATTAAAGTAACATTCATTTTTTAAATGAATGATTTAAATGAATTTAATTCATCTCCAGTCGATAAATAACAGCCATCTTTTGGTCTACTGATCAAAGTTATTCTATTGTATCTGCATACTATGTAACATTTTAACAACTGACATTGCTTTCAGAATAATTTTGATGAATTTCAGGCTGTTTGACCTATGTGAGACTTCTTTTTCGCAACAGACGAGCACACAAACTGAAAGAAAAGGATGGTGTAATGAAGTGCGTCATTTCTTAGATGTGCTTTTTATTGGGTGTGATGCTTTTGAGTTCCATTCATGTGTTGAATTACTGATACTTGATCTTTGAAACCAGATACTGTGTCTCGTTTTGAATTGTGTTAGAAAATAAATATAAAGGTCAAAAGCAAATATTTTACAGTTTCACAGACAACAGTATTTTAATTAAAACATACTCTGTGATTAGAGACTTAAAATAACACTCATATATAGAGCAGTTTTTTGTTCCATAGTTAGACTAAACAGGTTCTGCTTCTTTGCTCTGTGGATCCTGTTCCTACACATTCTTCCTCTCGAAGGTTTCAGTTTGCATACAGTTCTTTACCAAGTTACCCTCAAACACATTCATGACATGGCGTCATGTCTATCTTCTCTGTGTTTTTGTGGGTTGTGGGTGGCTGTAATGTTGGGGTTGGGGGTCTGCTCCGATGATACGGAGTCCCTGTCTGGGGCGTATGCACCTGGAGACATTATCATTGGGATTCTGGGATCAGTTCACTCCAAAGTAAAAGACCTTCAGGATCGGGTTCGCCCAGACAAATATACCTGCACAGAGTAAGTGAGAGAGTTAAGCTTCATTTGTTTAAGTCTTATTAACTACCAGTGCTGATTACACCTCACTGTAACTTGCTCTCTTTCTGTCTCCTTTACAGCTTCGATCTCATACCATTTGTACAGTCTCTAGCTGTAATTTACACCATTGAAGAAATCAATGACTCTGGATTTCTTCCTGGGATTCGGCTTGGATATCTGATGTGTGATCCCTGTGTGTACGCTACCAAAGCCTTACAGTGCGTGGAGCACATGCTCTCTATTAACAAGACACTTGCAGTCTACGCTGACAACTCAAACTTTTCTTCGCCAGTGAAGGCATTCTTAGGAGAGAGATATTCTGAGCTGTCCATTCCTGTGGCCAAACTGCTCAGCCTCTACATGATTCCCCAGGTAATATTGGTTGGGTCTCTAGGATTAATGGGGCCCTGAATATAGCCAAAGACTGAATGATGTGAGATGTTATGATGTAACTTTTTTAAAAATCAATGATACAGTTATATATACTTTAACATGGCATACTAGCAGCAAAGAAGCCAGTTGTTGCATTTCCTAACTATGTTTTGTACACATTCTATACATTATGCCCATTAACTACACATCAGACCCACATATAAAGACCCTGTGCTCTCAAAAACAAAAATAGTTAACTCTGCTGATGTGGCTTATTATAAATATATAGGTTGGTATTTGTGTCTTTTGTCTTACCACAGGACTTGCTTCACATTTCATCTCCTTGGAATTAAAAGGTTCTATGTGCATTCAGAGCAGCTTTGAGATATTGAGCTTCAAATTCTAAATAGCAAAACAATGTGGAACAAGTCTGTGTCATACATGAAAATGACAGACACCCTAAATATGTTGTTCTAAATGTACAATATCAAAACCCTTTCAAATTTGTAAATGAGTTTTTTTGGAACAGGTCAAATGCAGACAGAGCTTTCTAATCCTAAAAACTCACTTTCTGCTTGGAGTTATAAGGTTCTGTCTTTCTTAACATGAAAAGAAGCAACGATTCTCAAGGATCACAAACAGGTTACTCGAAATCTGTTTTAAATAATAAAATTGCTATGGTAGCAGAGTGTCTACATTATCAGAAAGTGCAATTTAATGCCTTTTATGGCATTTTTATGACAATTTTATTTATTTTCTATGACACTTATTTCTTGTTTAAGGACAAATTATCTTTTTATTATTTATGTAAGTATAAAGGTCAGTGCTAACTATTTTTGTCCAGTACCGAGGCCAGTTATAGGTAGAAACCATTAGTTTAAGTGTAACCGGTCAGTCTAAAGGCAGAAAGAGGTTTTGTTTTATATCATAAATGTGACTCTAATGAGCCAAAATGTTTTATTTTGGGAGAAAGAAAAAAAATAAAAGCTGGACAAATTAATAAAGGTAATGTTTATGTTGTAATTGAGACCTCATCAATTCAAATGTTCACTATTTAATTACCTTTAAGGCTTAATATTTATAATATTTAAAACAATAACATTTTTTAAAGAACTGCAAGGAGACAGGCAGAGTTTAATCAACATGTTTTTGTGTTTCACAGTTTTATAAACTTCGACATGCAAATACATACAAACAAGAAATAGTTATTAATTTAAATTAATTATTAATTAATCAATTGTCAAGTCATTGCAAGACATAAAAAATGCAACAACTCAGTTTCTACTAACAATCAAAAATGATTGTTTCATTTCAATTTCATAAAATACCTCTAACTCATCAAGCTGTCAGATTCTGAGCTTCATAGCCTTGGCTCAAGGGTCCGGCTGCAGTCTATTGGGGCATTTTTTTAACAAAGCAATATAATACTGTCCATCTGCAAGCCGCTGGGTCTAGAGGTGTGACCCTTGTTATGTCTAGTAAAAACCCATTGCTCCACTGCCACTCTTTCTGCTACCTTTACCTCACTAGCCTGGAGAAAAAGAAAACATGTTTACCATGTCAGAGATTAGGGTCATCACAAAAATAAAAAGAGACCAAAAAGTTAGTAGCATGGTACCACTGACTACATGGTATCATAGGTGCCACAAAGTTAGTCAGCGAACAGAAGTAGTACTCACTTTTTTGAAATGTTGCAACTTGTTTCTGGCAAATGCCATTTTTAATGAACAGAAAATGTTTTTCATGTTTGCAGCCACACAGGTCCAAATAGAAATTGTTCATCAAAATAATGCAACATAATAGTGAGAATAACTCACAGTACTTTTACTTTTAATACTTAAGCATATTTAAAAGCAAATGATTTTGTACTTTAACTCAAGTAGAGAAAAATAGAAAACTGCTACTTTTACTGGAGTATTTTACAAAACTGTAAAAACAGGGGTTATTGAACTTTGTCCTACACCTGTTCATCATGCAGCCTTTTCATACTTGTTCATGATGGTAACATTTACATGTATAAGCCTAGGGTTCATACAATTTTGATAGCTTGTATGCTGTGAATGTCATTAGTGACATAGTTTGAATTAAACTGTGGTTTAAACTGCTGTGTTACCAATAGTTTTGGGGAACAGTCATTAGCAAGAAATGAGTTTGTTTAGTGGCCCGATGTGTCAGTGTTAGAACACTCTTAAAATACTAAAATAATTCTTAATAGCCTATTTCAAATGTCTACTTTTGCATATCAAGTCATGTAAAAAGTGACTTACAAGAATAAAGGATAGAAATGATCCATACATTTTTTGATGCTTGCCATGGCAGTGTGTTTTAGCTTGGGACGCTGGATTGTTTTGGGTTGATTTTCCTTGACCTCTCTTTGAACTCAGTTATGTTGTCTTCTGCCTGTCGTAAGCAGATTCATGCTTTATAGAGAAGGGAGTTGATTGGGCTTACGTAAAGCTCACATCCACATTGATGTGTACACAGTCTATTGTTGTTTTATAGCTTTGAATTAGGTAGGTACAAAGTTATTTTTGCACCAGAGTTATAGAGGCTTTTATTCTAAAGTAGCTAAAGACTATTTTACCATCTAATATTACAATCTTTCTGCAGTCATTAATATTTTAATACAGAGGTAACTGTTAGAACAATCTTTCTTCAAAAACCCAAACTTATCCTTCAGTGCTTGCCTCCTAATATTAGCATTAGCTGGGAGACTAACATTAGCATGCTAGTGTTATCTGGCTAGCGCAGTAGCTAACAATGAAAATAAAACACCAGTTAAAACAGTTAAAAAAGGCTTAACTTGCCTGTCATTTGTACTGTTGTCCTTCATGAGATCATCAATAAAGTTCTCCATCTTGAAGTTTCTCCTAAACTTCGCCTTATGTGACATCTTCTCATATTTCACTGCTGTGCTCCTTTTGTCCTTGTGTATGTTTGAAGTGCTGATTGGGTCACAGATAGAACCTAATAGAACTTAGAGAAGTTAGAGTTTGACTTTGCAGATACAACATGTTTGTTTTCTAGATAAAAAGTCAACTCAAAAATACATACAACTCAAAAATACACCTCAATTAATGTTAAGAAGTGTCAGAGAATAAGAACATGTGAATAACTCAATTTTGACAAAAATGTCACATAGGAACGATTCCAAGGAGATGATTTGTTATTATAAACACAGACTTCCTTTAGTACATTTATTTCTAAAAACTATCCATTGGATTTTACACAACATCTTAGTTTTGTATGAAACCTCAATCTATTGAGAGGATTGCTACATAGTGACAGGCAGTTTTTGGCTACAGGACATTCAGGTGCTAACAAATTATAATGACTGTAGCAATTAGTTGAAGTAGATTAGCACAATTTTAAAATTATGATGATGCAAAAAATGTGACAGTGTAGAAATTGTATTCATCCATATAAGAAAATGTGAAATATGGTACATGGAGCAGTTAGTCTACTGGCTAAGCTGGACCTCTACTTTGCTATTTAGCTTAGCAAAGGTTTAATTCCAGCCTTGTGACCATAGTGGTTTCCATGCCAAACTGGTCTGCCCTGATCTCATCCGATCTGCACTAATAGCCTCTCACTGTAACAGGGGCTTATTTAACACCTCATTTTATACAAATACTGACTACACAGAGTGAAAGTAGCAAACTAATAAAGTAGTTAGCTATTTGGCTTTTATGGTTGGCTAATGTACACTCAGTTAATGATTGGGACAGTGGCTGCAGTTAAATGCAATATCACTGGATAAAATAATGCACAAAAGCATGCACAAACTCTGTCCATCTAATTTCTACTCTAACTGTACCATTTCCAGAAAAGGTGCTGCTTGAAATGAACTAGTCCTAGGGGCTGTCACAATTACCCTATAAAAACAGTGAGTGCATTTACATGCACTTAATAATCTTATCATAATTGGATTTCTGCAGTTATCTGGTTATTAAAGTGGTCATGTAAACGGCATACTCCAATACTCTTAGATCAGAGTAAGGTCTAGAAATCTGATAAAGAGAGCTGGATTTTGACTCAGTAATCAGATTTTCAAAGTATGTATACTGTTACTCTGATTTCTTTCAGATTTTTCATCTGCATATGTGTGAAAACAGACCGCGGTACCAGAAATAAGCAAGCAGTGTTCAACACTGCAGTCATTAGATGGCAACAAAACACTTTTGGAGGGAATCTAAAACCAAATACATACACAGTTTATTTATTGGCTAGTTGCAAAGTAGAAATCCGATTACTGCTTCACTCATGTAGAACTGGAGTTTTCCAGTTATCTGATCACCCAAGGGCATATACCCACGGATTAATCAGATGATCGGATTAATGACAAAATCTGATGAAGAATTTCGGCAGTTATCAGATTATTAAGTGCATGTAAATGTTGTCAGTGTTAGCTAGTTACCCACTTTGAGTTAAAAGTCTATTGTTGGATTGCACATAGATTAATTTCACTTTACCTTTCTCTTAATAGATCAGCTGCACATCTTCTTCACCAGCACTGAGTGACAAGTTACGTTATGCATCCTTTTTCCGTGTCATTCCAAGCGATGTATACCAGACAAAGGCACTTGCAAAGCTCATGGCATACTTTAACTGGGACTGGGTTGGAGTGGTGTCAATAGATGATGACTATGGAAAACCTGCCCTGGAGAATTTTCTGCTTGAAAGAAAAGAACACATATGTGTAGATTTTCAGGAACTGTTACCAAACTACCTAGGCTTCATAAATATTGAACAGCGCATCATGGAAGTAGCTAATCGTATTAGATCATCCACTGCCAAAGTTGTGCTGCTCATCTTGAGACCGGAACTCGTTGAAATGCTTTTTCAGGAGCTGATTAAGACAAATACTACTCGAATCTGGATCGCCAGTGATGCCTGGTCTATGGCACGCCTTGTAATGAAGATGAAGGACATAAACAAGGTGGGAGAAATCTTTGGCTTTACATTTATCACTTCGAACATTCCAGGTTTTGAAGACTACCTCCAGAATCTGACGATAAGCCCAGGGGCAAAGAATGATTTCATCGAGGAGTACAAGCAAATTAGGTTCAACTGCAGCTCTGATCAGCAATCAGAGCACACATCACCTGTAGCCTGTAATATAACAGGCCCCCAAGAGGCAAACGATGACTACCTGCTCCATTCTGTGCATTTGACGAAGGCCTACAGTCAGAGAGTGGCAGTGTATGCCATAGCTCACGCCATCAAGAAAGTTCTTCAGTGTAACAACACTGCCTGCTCTGGAAATACCAACTTCATGTCGTGGCAGGTAAAATGAGTATGTTGTGTGTTTATAACAGCAAAACAAATAAATAAATAAAAGTAACAATAAAGTAAAAGCTGGTACGTCAATTATAATATTGATAACAGAAACAGGATGCAATTTTTGTAATGAAACTTGACAAAATCAGAAATTCCAAATGGCACGACTTGCTGAATTGACTTGCTAGTGCATGTTGATATGATTTCAATAATGCTATGTTCCCCTCAGATGTAGCTAGAGGTAGAGAGGAGATAATATGAGGCATGTGATGGAAGAAGGAAGGGAAGGACAGAGACAACAGTAGTTGCAATTTTTTTTCTTTACATTACTTCCCACTTGCAAAAGTGTGTGATACAAGAATAATATGTACAAAGAAAGAGCGAAAACCATGAAACAATAAGCTATCTATTGCTAGGATGCAAGGAATTAATGATAAAAGTATGGAGTCAAGAGATAATATTCCACTAACCACTGATTAAATATGAACATTGACTTGGAGGATCCAGCTAACTGCAAAGGTGGACTGAGGACGGCGACAAAGAAATTAAACCAATAATCCAACAGCTAACCTACCTAACCAGGTCTGATCCTTGCGATAAATGCAGTGGCACTCGCCCCTTATCTGATGTGTCTAAACAATGAAACAACTACCATGTATGTATAGGCATGCCCAAACTTTCCTGTCCACACATCGCGCTGGAGGTAGAGAAGCGAGCGAGAAAGAGAGAGAGAGAGAGAAATAGAAAAAAAAACTAAACTAAACATACCTGCATCGCAGGCACATAACACATAAAAATTAATATTTTGTCATAATAAATAGGTTTTAATACTCTCTTGCAGAATGAGCCAAAACTGGGGAAATGGGACAGCTGACGCCTTTAAAGTCATTAAACCAGATGTTTGCTTGATCACGTTTGCTTGAAAGCATACCCTAAGCACAGACCTACTGATTCGTCACTGTTATATTAGTTAACAAATTACACTTAAAGAATAAATCTGTTTATTGTTTTGTGCAAGTACACCCAAGAAATAAACCAGTTTCATGCATGCAATCAGTTTAGAAAGTATTTAATGTGTTTTTGCCTGATATACCTAGTGTGAAATTTGGCTTTCAGTATTCTTCTACATTGATGTGACTATGATAAGCATGGCAATGTACAACAAAACAGAGCAAGCAAAAAAAGTATTTGTTGTGTTTATAAAAAAAAATAAAATCATAACCTTTACATTGTGTAGCACTATTTTTATTGTTCTCGGAACAACATCAGTCTGTGGCTTTGGTTTCCACTTTTTTCCCACAAATATTGGAAAAGTGAGTTTCCTTCATCCATTCTGTTCAAAGTTTCATCACTGTGACAACCTTTCTACCTAAGCCTATGCTCTGTAATATGACCAGTTTTTAATATGATGCCCAAATTTGTTACGGATTTTTTTAAGTGCTTACTGTACCAACTGTAACCTATTATATAATTGAAAGATAGGTGACATTAAGATGGTGGAAGAGACAGAAAGCTCAGGCCTGACTGATACGTGAGGCTGAAAGACTTGCTCTTGCTTATATCTTCAGAGTGATTATATGTTGACCTGTGGTGACAGTTTTTATATTATATATGTCAACATGTGCTTCTACTTTTATATTTATATTTTCAGCTTGTGGACGTTCTCCGTAAAGTGAACTTCACTTTGGATGATGAGACATATTCCTTCAATCAAGTCGGTGACTTTGAGAATGGTTACGATCTCATAATGTGGAAAGAGAGTGGTGCTGAAAGAATACCTGATGTGGTGGGAAGATTTCTCATAAAGAATGACAAGGTTGAGATTGATGAGCATAAAATTCCATGGACCAACAACACGGTAAGAATAATTTAAATACTTTTTGTCCCATTAGCATTAGCATTATTTAATGCATTGGAAACCAAAAAACTCTCTTTCCTTACCTCTAGGTGCCCAGGTCCAGGTGTTCAGAGCCATGTCCCCCAGGCACAGAGAAGAACATATCAAGTATCTCCTGTTGTTATACCTGTACTAACTGTACTGAAGGATACTATTCTAATGCCACAGGTGAGTAAATTATCTACAGTAGCATGCAAACGTTTGGGCATCGCTGGTCAGAATTTCTGTCACTGTGAATAGTTAAGTGAGTAGAAGAGGCATAAAGTTAAAAACAAAACATTTTTTTTTTTCAAAATTAGAAGCAAGATTAGAGTATTATTTCTGTTTTGTACAATTTTAGAGTGAAAAAAGTACAGCACCACCATGAAAAAGTTTGGGCACCTCAAGAGGTTTGAGCTCTCATAACTTTTACCAAGATTTTAAACTTAATTAGCTTCGGAAAGTAGGAATTGCCAGGTGATGCAAATTTCACAGCTTTATTAATACTGTGACCCCTTGAACCTGATCCCAACAAGCAGCAGCCCTGGGCTCTTCTAAGCAGCTGCCTGGTACTCTGAAAATTAAAATAATTGATGCCTACAAAGCAGGAGAATGCTATAAAAAGACAGCAAAGCATTTTTAATTAGCCATTTCCTCAGTGCATAATGTTATTAAGAAATGGCAGTTAACAGGAATGGTGGAGGTCAAGTTGAAGTCTGGAAGACCAAGAAAACTTTACAAGAGCACTGCCCACAGGATTGCTAGAAAGGCTAACCAAAACCTTCATTTGAATGCAAAAGACCTTTAGGACGATTTAGCAGACTGTGGAGTGGTGGCGTGCTGTCCTGCCTTCTTAGAAGGGTCATCAGGAAAAACACTATTTTGCATCCTCACCACAAAGTTTGCAAATAAACATCTAAACAAGCTGGGTGCATTTAGGAAACAAGTCCTGTGGACTGATGATGAAGTTAAAATAGAGCATTTTAGCCACAGTGATGTATGTTTGGAGAAAAGAACACCTCTCTGACTGCTAAGCGTGGGGGTGGATCAATCATGCTTTGGGTTTGTGTTGCAGCCAGTGGCAAAACACAATTCACGTTGTGTATGGAAAATGTAAATTTCAGTAGTAAATTCTACTATATTACTAGTAAAAAATCAGTTTTCACTAAAAACATTTTTTGCAAATTTAATTCCTTTGTAAAATTTATTGTAAATTGAAATTATGATCAAAACTGCTTGCAATAAAATCAATTCTTGTATATAATTAGAATCTCAACATGTTGGAGTGCTTATTGCTTATTATTTTTTTTGGATTACTAGCAAAAGCCACTTTCCACACCCAGGAGGAGGACTCACCAAATATCGAATTAGACACAGGAATAAGAGGCTGTGTTAAATACACGGCTAGTTGAAGAGGAAGAGAGGAATCTGTTAATAATGTCTTTCTTTGAAACACTCTTCATGTTCTGCTACAGAAGCAGTTAGAACGTTTGCCGTGATGCTCCATCCAAATAGATCAAAACATGTCTTTTAAATATATTAGTTAATATTTTTACATGGCGGGTGTTAACCTAGGAGGGCAACCCAGGTTTAATATTTTTTAATAGTCTAAACAAATATTTTGTTCTGATATTTTAGGGCTGAGTGTTTCTGTTCATTTCAAGACTTTCAGTTTGACTTGGCATAGAGCAGAGGCTGCAGTAATTTTTCCCTGTATTGTTTATTTTTAGATATTTAATTTCTCACATAATATCTTAATTTTTATCTAGATTTTTATTTCTTTTTTATTGTATGGGCATTTGACATGATGATGCCATGTTTTGTGCTCTTTCTCCATTCTCTAAAGAATGTGTAACCATCTTGATGGATTAATCTAAAAATTCTAAGCAAAAATTGCCAGATAGAAAGAAGCCTGCATTTGCATGAGACTTTACCTCCATCTTACCAAAAGAGGAACTTGATTGAAGGAATATGTCTCTCAACAATTGCTTTCTTATAGTAGTTTTGTCTTAAATGTTGGAAGAAACAGGTTTGTGGCTATCATGCTGCAAAGGAGTCCTACAGCAACGTGTGATATTGAGTAAAATAATAAAAAAAATACCTCTATCTACACCCTGTCTGACTTTTATATGTTTCTCTTTCTTTCTCTCCACAGATCAGCCTGCCTGTCAAAAATGTCCAGAAGGCTCTTGGTCTCTTCCAGGATCGAGGGAGTGTCAGAGATGGAATATTTGGTTTTTGGAGTGGTCTTCAGCTTATTCCATTGTAGTGGTGATTGGAACAGTAATAGGTGCACTACTGCTGGTGTTCTCATTTATCTTTTTCATTCTACACAGAGAAAAACACATCATAAAGGACATCTTAGTCATTTCTTGTTTGATGAAATTTGGCCTGATGGTGAGTTTTGGAGGTGTAATACTTTTCTTAGGCAGCCCAAACATCCATCTTTGTAGAGCACAACAGACCATGTATGGTCTTGGGTTCACTCTCTGTGTGTCCTGCATTCTGGTTAAGGCCCTTCACATATTCTTAGAGTTAATGTCCTCTAATCCTGCAAAGCAGCGCAAACTAAGAAAGTTTGATAAGCCCTTTGTCATCATAGGAATCCTCACTGCTATTCAAGCTCTCATCTGTATCTTCTGGATGATATTTGATCCTGTTAATGTTGAGGAGACACAATCAAAAACTCAGTTACTTACCATGAACCGTCTGTGCACTCAGGGCTCTATGTATGGCTTTGGTGTGATGCATGTCTACATTGCTTTACTAGCTGTGCTAAGTTTTGGACTGGCCTTCAAGGGGAGAGATAACGAGACTGATCCTATAGTCTTCAGTATGCTCATCCATCTGTTTGCCTGGCTTTGCTTTATTCCAATCTTTATCACTCAATATGATTCACGCCCCATCGTCCAGATCTCTGGCATTATGGTCTCAAACTATGGAGTCATCTGCTGCCACTTTGCCCCAAAATGGTTTAAGATTCTCTCAGAAAAGGCTGAAACAAAGAAGGCAGTAAAACCACCAGTTGAGTCTCTTACGAATGACTCAGACTCTGGAGTGGTTTGTGGGACCTCAAGCGAGACAGCATCAATACCCAGCACACCACAGAGTCAATTCAGCATTGCAGAGTCAGAACAATCCAACTGGGATATTAACAGCCTGCATCTGTCAGAAGCCAGTATTGCCTCATTTAGGCGTCGGAGACTAAAAAGTTGGAGATCAAGAAGTCTGAGACCAAGAAGTCTGAGACCAAGAAGCTGGACACTACAGAGTTTATAAGCCTGTTCAGGTTGAATTATTTTATCAGTGGGACATCTGTAATGAAATTTGTAATAAGATTCTTATACATCTTACCAGTGATCATTTTTCCACAGAGCAAACAAGTTTCTAGTGGGTTGTATTTTCTACAACCCAGATGTCAAAGTAGAAAACTAAAAATTGTTGATATTGTCTGTATGTAATCAGAAATTTATACCTGTTGCTGCCATAATCACCCCTTTATTTTCTTTCTCTTTGTGCTAATGTTCCTCCAGTGTGGAGAGGATAGTGAGACCTAGACTAAGACCTAAGACCAAGTAAATGGTCTAGAGAAACCTTCATATAGACACATACATCACTTTTCAATTTGAAAATGTGTTTAATTTGAATACACACGCTAGGAGACTGTGGTGAGTAGCAGTGGTCAAAAACATTTTTTCCAATGTGTGGTGACATCTCCTTGGAAGATCATAGAGATTCAGACAGATGAGCTCGAACAAAATTCAAATTCTCTGGCCACCTCTAAGTTCTTTCAAAAACAGTAGGTAATTTGGTCTGTGATTTTCTTAGGGAAAGAGGTACAAAAACACCAACATGTCTGGTTAAGAAAATGGATGTTATAAGAACATTGTATTCTGTATTGCTCAGTGGGTTCTGCATACATAGTTATGTATTTTTATTTTTTCCAAGTACTGGAAACATGTTTGGCCAAATAGTCTCATCACAAAAAAGCCAGAACTTTTCAAAGTACTGCACAGAGCGCTAACATATAGACTCGGACAGACAGATGGTCAAATTCATTGGCAGAGCCACTCAAAATCCCTATTTCATCTAGAAGACTGGACATTTCCCAAACAGTGAAACCTCCCTGAGTCTGTGCTTAGTGAGATGAGCTGTGGCTGAGACGTTTTACTGTGATACACAAACTAATGCACTTGATCACAGTTTATTACTACTACTTCACTTTGTGGATTTATGAAAACTTACTTTGAATGTTTCTTGCTGCTGCTGCCCTAAACTAAGGCCGCCTTCACATGTGTCATATGTAGTGCAGACCTATCATACTTTTTTTATTCAGTTCTTTTTGATGTTTAAACATTCCTGTATTCGGCAGTAATCATGGATCTTGGTCCGCTTCTTAGTGAAACCTGCTTCAGGTCGCTGCTGGTGGGGAAACACATTATATGACAGTCCACACCAATTGTGAACTCAACACTGAGGCTGCTTTTCTCAGTGCACGTCAGTGCTGTACTGTCTGCAAAATCTGACTGCATTAACGCTGTTTTTTACAGATGCTTATATAGTCCTTGCAGCACGAGCTGCTGTTAATAGTGGCAGATGAGCAGAAAAATAATAGCAAAGATGTGTGTTTGATTTTGGCACATGGATCGCTAAAGGTATTTTTAGTATTTGTGACCTGATTAGTGACCTAATTGTGTCAAAGTAGATATCAACTAAGGTTTATTAAGATTATTCTAAATAATATACACATGGACACTAAGAATCTCTAGTTTCCGTTGTGCTATTATCATAGCGGCAAATGTGAGAGCAACAGAGCAGATGTATCCCTGCAACATTTCTACTGAAAAACAAACACTCACAATTTGGTCCACTTAAGCTGCTGCAGTGTGAAAGAGGTACAGTATCAAAAAAGCCCAAGTTCTGGTGCGAACTTTAGATAATAAACCGTATGAAAACAGCCAGAGCTGCTCTGCTGGCAATGCTATGCTGCTTCCAGACTGGGCATAGGTAGGCAACAAAAAGTCTCCTTTGTAGGATTACTATGAATAACAACTCTCTCAGTGCAGTAAACCTGTTTGGTGCTTTCTTTTAGAGAAAGAGCAACAGTTTCTTATCGCTATCATTTATCGAGAATTGTTCTCAATTAGATAAAACTTGCTGCTCTGTGCATATGGAAAGTCACAGTCTCCATGATACAGCAGTCAAATCTTGTGTTTTTAGTGTTATTTTTTACATATTTTTGTGTATATATTGTTTCTATGTTTTTTTGTTTGTTTTTTTTTTTGTTTGTTTTTTTCTGTTGTTTAATTTGATTCTGTGGGTTGGGACAGGGATGCAGGGATGTGTGAAACTGAATGTGCATGGTGTTTTATATTACTGTACTATAAATGTATGACATCTTTTATTAAAAAAAAAATAATAATAATAATATTTACAAAAAAAAATTCTTCAGAGGTGGGGGAGTGATGGTTAACTGCATTGCGTATATTAAGTTGCCCAAACTTTTTTGTTTTTTTGGACTAGAAGGACAAAACAATATACCAAAAAAGAAGGCATCGAAAAGAATGGTTTTAAATAGAGGTGGTTGCTGAGATGTTGCTAGGTTGTTGGAATGAAGTCCCAGGTGGTTACTAAGGTGCTGTTAGATCATTGCTATGCTGTCCCCCGTGGTTGCTAAAGTGTTGAGTAGCAGTTGTTATGGTGTCCCAGGTGGTTTCTAGGGTGTTTCTAAGTCATTGCTATGCTATCTCATAACATAGCAAAGTGGCAGACTGCATATAGTTTCAGAGCAGGGTCGCTAGAGTTCCAAACCTCATTTGACATTAACATCAGCATAAAAACTGTGCGCCAGGAGCTATATGGCATGGGTTTCAATGGCCAAACAGTTGCATGCAAGCCTTACATCACCAGGCACACTGCCAAGCTTCGGATGGTCTGGTGTAAAGCACGCCGCCACTGGACTCTGTAGCAGTGGAAACATATTCTGCAGAGTGATGAATCACACTTCTCTATCTGGCAGTCTGATGGACGAGTCTGAGTTTGGCGAATGCCAGGAAAATGTTACCTGCCTAACTGCATTGTGCCAACTGTAAAGTCTGGTGGAGGAGGGATAATGCGATGGGGTTGTTTTTTAGGGGGTAGCCTAGGATCCTTAATTCCTGTGAAGGGAAATCTTAATGGTTCAGCATACCAAGACATTTTGGACAATTGTATCCTTCCAACTTTGTGGAAACAGTTTAGGGAAGACCCTTTTCCGTTACAGCATGACTGCCCAAGTGCACAAAGCAAGCTCCATAAAGGCCTGACTGGGTGAGTTTGATGTGGAAGAACTTGACTGGCCCTCACAGAGCCCTGACCTCAACCCCATCGAACACCTTTGGGATGAACTAGAATAGAAGTTATGAGCCAGGCCCCGTCATCCAACATCAGTGTCTGACCTTACAACTGCTCTTCTAGAGAAATGGGCAAAAATTCCCAGACACACTCCAAAATCTTGTAGAAAGCCTCCCAGAAGAGTAGAAGCTGTTACAGCTGCAAAGGTGGGACCAACTCCATATTAATGCCTATGGATTTAGAATGGGATGTTATAAAAGCTCCTGTAGGTGTAATGTATAGGTGTCCAAATACTTTTGTCCATATAGTGTACCTGGTTTTCCTAGCTATGGAAAGGAAAACCTACAAGTTTTCTTACATTGCATGTAGTAAGGTGCCTGCTTGGACTCCACCCTTTCTGTATCTACCATCATCCACTAATCAAATTTTCTGGAGCTTTAATGAAATAAAATAAAATCTATGGATTGTTTATTATAACAAATAAATGTACTTTCAGGTAAAGGGTTCAGGTGCAGATCAGCTTTAAAGGCTGTAGAACAGTTGTCTAAATAAACATTCAGAACAAAAATCATTTTTAACCTCATTTTGTTATATAGTTCTGGATGTACTTTTTCAGAATCTCCAATGATGTACTCTGTTACCCCTTTGTGCTGGATTTATTAGCTGACTTCCTAGACTCTGTCACACAGCCTCCGAAACCCCTTGTAGATTCGGACTCGATCTCCCAGAATCCTCTGGGAGATCACATGACTTCTGATCTTCCCATAGGCGATAAGACTAAAACGGACTTAATATCCCAGGATCCTATGGGAAGTCACATGGCGTCTGATGTGACACCGCGCTCCTATCAGCGCTCTAGCTCTCCAGAGTATGATGTGATTCACCTGTGTTATGTGTCATATGATATACTTAGTATAGTATATAAGCCGGGCTTTAGCTTAGTAAAGTTGTGAAGTATTGTATCCAGTTTGTGACCTACTGAGCGTTTATTCTATTGTTGTGTATTTCGTGTATGACCTTTGCTTATCGTTTTCTCGCCTCTGCCCTTTTTGCTCTGCCCTTTGGACTTGGTTGCTATTGTCTCTGATTTTGGATTATGACCACTTGCCTGTACCTTAGACCACGCTACTGCTTTTCCCTTTTTGGATTGTTGCCTTGGCTGAACTTTGTCTCTTTCGTGTGCCTTCCGGATCTGAACTCTGCCTGGTTATCGACTACGACTTTGAACTCTGTTTCTACCAGTAAAGCCCTTCTGTAAGTTACATCTGCGAGCGTCTGACCATGTTTGAAACCTTACAGAATGATAACATTATTTTTTTTATATTATTAATATTATTATTGTTATTCAAAATTACTAAAACACAGTGCACAGATAACCATGGCAAACAGTGGTTTATGGAAGTAGTAGTGCAATTACATATTAAATAAAAAGTAGGCACATTTCAAATACTATTGAACTTGAACAAAAAAATAATAATAATTGGGGGTTATTTTAAACTCTGTGCCCCACTGAACCTTAAGACTCCCAAAAACCCCAGAGCATTTCCTTGGTTGGGTGCTACGTGACAAGGATAAACAGCATTCCAGCAGGTGGTGAAAACTGTCCAATGCATCACAGGTACACAGTTACCCACCATTGAGAGCATTTACCATAAGCACTGCCTGGGCAGGGCGAGGAACATCATCAAGGACATTTCTCATCCTAACCACGGACCTTTTACCCTCCTCCCACCTGTCAGGCATTACAGGAGCCTCTGCTCCCACACCAGCAGGCTCAGAAAGAGCATCTTCCCTGAGGCTGTGACCCTGCTGAACTCCACACCGCCACTTTAACCACATCTGTGCATTTACTGCTCTGTTACTTGACTATGTCCTAGTATTATTGCACTATTTATGTTTGTACAGTCTATTACTGCTCTATTCATATTTGCACAGGCAGTTACTGTACATGTTTTTACTCTTCACTCATCATTTTACATATGCTGCTCTCACAGTACATACTACCTACATTTGCATTCTCTCCACTCACTCTGTATACATGTATATTGTATTTATACCTGCAAAATCTATATTTTTTTTTTACCACTCTAACAGTGTCAAGTTTAGTGCCATAGGGCTGACGATGGCAGCAACAGCACTCTGATGCTCATTCTGATGTCCTCTGCATCATCGATGCTGGTGGGTGTGCAGCTCATCTGCACTACCCATGAAAACCCTGCTGCCTTCGACCTGACAGCACACCCCACCTCCACAGATCCTCCAACCAGCCCTGATGCTGCATGTTCTACTATGCAGTGGGCGTCAAATGGCTTTGGGTTCCACTGTGCAATGGGCATCCAGTGGCTTCATCGTTGCCATATGGATGCCTTTGACACTTAGCATAACTCTCTCTAGGTCCATTTGGCACCTGTTGCTTCTCAAAAAATCTAGGCCTTGAATGCACATCTTGGACTTCAGCTATGCAGACTAAGTGGTGCTTATTCTTGCCCCCAACTGTCAGTGTCTCACCAGACAAATGTGGAAATGAACTGCTATTCCTTCCAGCTCATACTCTGCAGGTAACACTTCTGGCTGGGTGACTGTGAATGAACCAGAGCAGGGCATGGAACTACTTCAGTATTGATGGAAATGTGGCAGAAGTCTGATATGGATGTTTGCCCCACCACGGCCAGTTTATTTGCTGCCTGTGTTGTTCTTTTTGGCTAGGTTAGAATTCTTTCCCACTGGCCTCACAGCCATAGAACAAGCCCTAGCCAGATGTCCTAGTTGGCTGCAAATCCAGCACTGGTGGCCCCATGCTACTGGCTGTATGCCCCTGCTGAGAATTTGCTTTATGATATCCAATAGAAACCACTAGTTTCCTGTTATTTAGATCCCATTAAGACAGATGTACCAGCCAGCATCTTGTCCAGCCGCAGCAGCCCTGTGCCACTGTCCAGCCAGGAGAATCTCTACTGCAGCTGCTTCAGGGTCTTACTCACACCAATGTGAGCTACCCCATGCACCAGACCCATCCCTGTTTTCTGCAGGCTATGCAGCACCAGCAACTGCCAGATGTGCTTACCAGGCACCAGATCCTCCCATGTGTGGTACAACAGTCCTTCACGTAATCTGAGGCTGCTCCAGCCTGCACTGAGCACCTTGGTGGTGGGCCCCCTGGTGCTGGGTAGGTGAGTTGAACACAGGGCTTGACTGTCTATGATGATAACATTTGAAAGTCAGCCTTCAGCTGACAACAATGACAAACAAAGAATTTTTTAGATTTACACTTTTCAGTCAGGAGAATTTTGGCCTTGCTTGGCTCTGTGGAGTAGTACTTCTCTTAGCCTCTGACAGCCTTCACTGGCTGTGTTTACATGCAAAGATTTTTGCCAGTATTCAATCCGATTACAGATTCAGACTGAGGTGTTTATATGCACACTCTGTTCAACAATCTGATGGAAAATCTTCGTTTATATGCTCACTACAAGTAATCCGATGCAAAATGACGCGCATGCGTGGAGTAGCGCTTAGAGTAAACGTTACCATGACAGCGAACGTCACGTGAGGTCCAGTCCGCGTGAGATGAGTTTCCAGTTGGCGCGCTGGAGTTTTAATAGCTTTAAAATGATGTCAGACTCAGGAAAACGTGCTTCACATGTGCTTATTAAAGAAGGCGAGAGGAAGACGTCGTGTTCTGAGACTCATAAGCTGGTCGTCCGTCCCACCGCCGTCTTTTAAAGATCAGAGCATAAACTTCGTCTCCTCTGCAGACCAGTTTCTGCTCCGCCATGCTGAACGGTATAAACTTTCGCCATGACGCGACGCACCTGCGCAGAACATACTTACACGTTCCGATTGGAATGTAATCGGATTCAGGCGTTTACATGGCTATTATTCTTCTATTTAACGGATTATTTAGAGGTTTACCCACCTCGTTCAATCGGATAGAAATTGTATTCCGAATGGCCTCAATCGGACTAGACTATTCCGTTTGAGGTGTTTACATGGACGTGTTCTATTCCGATTGAGCTATTAGTCGGATTATTAACGGATTATCAGGCTGCATGTAAACGTGGCTTGAGGTGTTTATATGCACACTCTATTCAACAATCTGATGGAAAATCTTCGTTTACATGAGCACTACCATTAATCCGATGCAAAATGACGCGCATGCGTGGAGTAGCGCTTAGAGTAAACGTTACCATGACAGCAAACATCACGTGAGGTCCAGTCCGCGTGAGATGAGTTTCCAGTTGGCGCACTCGTGTTTTTAATTGCTTTAAAATGATGTCAGACTCAGGAAAACGTTCTTCACATGTGCTTATTAAAGAAGTTCTGAGACACATAAGCTGGACGTCCGTCCCACCGCTGTCTTTTAAAGATCAGAGCATAAACTTCGTCTCCTCTGCAGACCAGTTTCTGCTCCGCCATGTTGAACGTTATAAACTTTCGCCATGACGCGACGCGCAGAATATACTTACATGTTCCGATTGGAATGTAATCGGATTCAGGCATTTACATGGTCATTATTCTTCTATTTAACGGATTGTTTAGAGGTTTAACCACCTCGTTCAATCGGATAGAAATTGTATTCTGAATGGCCTCAATCGGACTAGACTATTCCGATTGAGGTGTTTACATGGACGTGTTCTGTTCCGATTGAGCTATTAGTCAGATTATTAGGCTGCATGTAAATGTGGCTACTGATGAAGATTGATGATGCATTAGGCAGGATGTCTGTGGCACAGTCTGAGGGGCAATGAAGAGGATATTCTGTGGCCTTGTTAGTGACCTCAGCAAGTCACTGTACTCAGGAGTCAACGTGTCTGCTGCTGGTCTTTCTATAGAGGTTGAGCTACACTTGATCCAGAGTTGTAAAAAACTGTTTGAAACTAATTAATCACGGCTTGCAGCTTTTGTTGTTTAGTTAAAGCTTCATAGAACTTTTCATAGATTAAGATGTGCCAGTATATAGCAACTAATCATACATAATGAGTAAAAATCAAGATTAAAATTAAATACATTGTTAGAGAATTTGGTTTTAGGTTTTTTTTTTAATATGAAACTGTATGTTTTTCTGAATGCATTAAAGAGCAGCTCCTTTTTCTATTTTTTTCTTCAGCACTACGATGTGTAGGTTTAAACCAGTTCTTCCTGTTTTGGTCTCCCACATGTTATGCCTTCATTCTCCCAGAACATGCCCTTGTTTAATATTATATTAAGCTCCACCACAAATTTCCACTCCTTCACTTCAGTTTCAGACAGTGAGTTCTCAATATGAGGTCTCTTTCTTGTCTTTTTGTGCTGGGGGTGGCTGTAATGTTGGGGTTGCATTTCCACCACAGTGTTACGGAGTCCATATGTGGGGCGTATGCACCCGGGGACATCATCATTGGGATTCTGAGTTCAGTTCACCACGACATAAAAGATCTTCAGCCTTGGATCCTTCCAGATACGTCTGCCTGTATAAAGTGAGTATGCAGTTGAGTTTATGCTACTTTTGGTGGTATGGAATTATTTTAAAAACAGGAACCTCATATAATTACCTCTACACATTAAAATCCACACTTAATCATCGTAACTAACTTTCTTTCTCTCTTTATTCCAGCTTTGATCTTGTAACATTTGTTCAATTCTTAGCTTCAATTCACACAATTGAAATGATCAATGACTCTGGATTTCTTCCTGGGATTCAGCTTGGATATCTGATGTGTGATCCGTGTGCGCATGCAGCCAAAGCTGTACAGTGTGTGCTGGATATGCTGGCTGTTAATGGGTCACTTACAGTCCTCTCTGACTTTTCAAAATTCAGTCCACCTGTGAAAGCCTTTTTAGGCGAGAGATACACTGAAACATCTATTCCTGTTACCAAACTGTTCAGCTTGTACAAGATTCCCCAGGTAATACTGAGTAACATGTCATTATTATATTTAATAGTTTTTATATTTATGCAAGACATTTTTGTTTAGTTGTGAAATTTGTTTAGTTGTGAAATCTTTACAGTAAGTTAGTGCCACCGTATTGTTGTTATTTCTTTTTTAACACTGTAGAGTTTATATCAAGGTGATACTGATTTACACACAATCAACATACTTAATTAAAATGTTTACATTAACGTTTTTAAGGAATTTATAGCTCGTTGGTATAAAAAGTTCTGAACAATTGATCTTAGGGCAAGGAAGGGGTCTGTTTCATAGTTGATTATTTTTATACAGCTTCATTCTTTTGGACTCCAATGCGATTTCTGTTGTTCATTTCCATTCCTATAAAATTGCTGAGATCAAGTTTTTCCTTTTTAATATTATTTAATATATACTATAAAAGAATCAGTTCAGATACAAACATTCCAACTTTCTCATTACAGGTAGCTTGCACATCTTCTGCAGCAGCCCTAAGTGACAAGTTACGCTATACATCCTTCTTTCGTGTCATTCCAAGTAACATATACCAGGCGCAGGCGCTGGCAAAGCTGATGAGGCACTTTAACTGGGACTGGATTGGGGTTGTGTACCTTGATGATGATTATGGTAAAGGTATCCATGAGAACTTTGTGGAACATGCAGCTACAGAGCAGATATGCTTTCACTTCGATGAAATGGTATCAAACTACATTGATGTGAAACAGCGCATCAAGCAGGTGGCTGATATTATCCGAAACTCCACTGCTAAAGTTGTGGTGCTCTTCCTAAGAATTCAGCAGGTAGAGATGCTCTTTGAAGAGATGATTAAGACAAACACTTCTCGAATCTGGATCGCCAGTAACACATGGTCTATGGCACGTCTCTTAATGAAGATGAAGGGCATAAACAAGGTGGGAGACATTCTTGGCACTAACTTCATCACAGGGAAGATCCCAGGTTTTGAAGACTACCTCCAGAATCTGAGGCCACGTCCAGGGGCAAGAAATGACCTAATCAGGGAGTACAAACAAATGAGATTTAACTGCAGTCAGCAATCAGCGCACACGTCACCTGTGGCCTGCAATGTGACAGACCCCCAGGAGGCAAACGATGACTACCTGCTCCATGCTGTGGACGTGACGGAGGCCTACAATCAGAGAGTAGCAGTGTATGCTGTAGCTCATGCCATCAAGAAACTTCTTCAGTGCAATGACACTGCCTGCTCTGGGGATACCAGCTTCATGCCATATGAGGTAAAAAATATGATAAGGATTTTTTGGTTGTTGCACATTACTCTTTATCATATAGCTGAAAGTTTTCAGTACAAATGTATCATCAGGAGATCGCAAGTTTGATCCCTGGTGATGCTACAGCCATCTGTAGCCGGGAGTCCGAGAGAGCACAATTGGCCTCGCTCTCTCTGGGTGGGTGGGATGGCCCCTCCTTCTCCCCCCATCACTCAACGCGATGTCTGTCAGCGCAGGCATCTGTTAGCTGATGTAACAGATCTGGCGGTTGGCGCTTTCCTCCGTTTCCTGACGTTGTGTGAGCGGCAGTTCGAAAAGAAGCGGTGGCTGGTTTCACAGGTCTCGGAGGAAGCCTGTGTTAGCCTTCGCCCTCCTAGCGCTGATGGTATTGTGTGATTGGTTAAGTCCTAACTAGCTGGCGATGACTAAATTGGGGAGATAATTGGGTTAAAATTTAAATATGATATTAATAAAACTATCACTCACTGTGTCAGGTTTGCTGTTCATCATGATTTTTAGCTCTGGTTTACAAACACTAGTATTCACCATTCATTCTTTTTAGTAGAAGTCATTCTATTAATTTAAATCATAAAAATAAATGGATGTTTTCAATTCTGCATTTTCAGCTTTTGAACATTCTTCGTAAGGTGAACTTCACTTTGAACAATCAGACATACTCCTTCAATGAAAATGGTGAATTTGAGAATGGTTATGATGTCATGATGTGGAAACAGAACGGTGATGAAAAAATATCAGAAGTGGTGGGAAAATTCCTCATAATAAATGGGGATGTTACAATCTATGAGCACAAAATCCCCTGGAACAACAATACGGTGAGATAAAATTACATCCTGTATGTCCTGTATTGTGCATTAGCATTATGTAAAGCATTAGTAACCCAAACCACTCCTTTTTTACATCCAGGTGCCCTTGTCCAGGTGTTCAGAGCCATGTCCCCCAGGCACAGTAAAGAACATATCAAAAATCTCCTGTTGTTATAAATGTGCTAACTGTAGTGAGGGATACTACTCTAATGAGTGTGGTGAGTAAGTTAATGAACTTTTGTCCAATTAGCGCTAACCAGTGGAAGGTTATTTAATACCATTTTTCCTGCTACACCAAAGTTTACAGTTGGCACTCTGCGTTCAGGTAGTTGTTCTCCTGACTGTTCCAAAGTCCAGTGGTGGTGCACTGTACATCACTTCAGCTAATGCTGGGCATTGTGCAAGGTCGGTTTGTGTGTGGGTGTATGGCCTCTGTGTTTACCAAGGAAGCCCAGACCAGCTCCTACTGAATTAGCCAAACCCATTAATAAGGAGGATTGCCTATGTAGTATATGTCTATTTTTTAAACATGAAGGTGCAAAAAAGGTGTTTTTGAAACAATGTCACAAAAGACTCACTTCGGTTCGGTAAACAACCATCTTTGTAAATAAAATATGTAAAATATAAGATAAATAAAGCATTTAAACAGATTTAAGAATGTGTATTTTCACCAACATTCCAAATCATTCATATCATGAATTTTGTGTAGAAACTAAAAATAAATGAATTCTCTCTACATTCCTATCTGATTTTTATATGTTTCTCTTTTCTTTCTCTCCACAGATCAGGACACTTGTAAACAATGTCCAGAAGGTTCTTGGTCTCTTCCAGGATCGAGGGAGTGTCAGAAATGGAACATCTGGTTTTTGGAGTGGTCTTCAGCTTATTCCATTGTAGTGATGATTGGAACAGTAATAGGTGCACTACTGCTGGTGTTCTCATTTATCTTTTTCATTCTACACAGAGAAAAACCCATCATAAAGGACATCTTAGTCATTTCATGTCTGATGAAATTTGGCCTGATGGTGAGTTTTGGAGGTGTAATACTTTTCTTAGGCAGCCCAAACATCCATCTTTGTAAAGCACAACAGACCATGTATGGTCTTGGGTTCACTCTCTGTGTGTCCTGCATTCTGGTTAAGGCCCTTCACATATTCTTAGAGTTAATGTCCTCTAATCCTACAAAGCAGCGCAAACTAAGAAAGTTTGATAAGCCCTTTGTCATCATAGGAATCCTCACTGCTATTCAAGCTCTCATCTGTATCTTCTGGATGAAATTTTATCCTGTTGATGTTGAGGAGAAACAATCAAAAACTCAGTTACTTACCATGAACCGTCTGTGCACTCAGGGCTCTCTGTATGGCTTTGGTGCGATGCATGTCTACATTGCTTTACTAGCTGTGCTAAGTTTTGGACTGGCCTTCAAGGGGAGAGATAATGACAAGACTGATCCTATAGTCTTCAGTATGCTCATCCATCTGTTTGCTTGGCTTTGCTTTATTCCAGTCTTTATCACTCAATATGAATCACGCCCCATCGTCCAGATCTCTGGCATTATGGTCTCAAACTATGGAGTCATCTTTTGTCACTTCACCCCAAAATGGTTTAAGATCCTCTCAGAAAAGTCTAATACATTGAAGGCAGTAAAACCCCTAATTGATCCTCAAACAGATGACTCAGACTCTGGAGTGATTTGTAGGACTTTAAAGGAGACAGTGTCAATACTCAGCGTACCACAGAGCCGATTCAGCACTGCAGAGTCAGAAATGTCAGAAATGTCCAACTTGGATAGTAACAGCCTGCATCTGTTAGAAGTTAGCATTGCCTCATTTAGGTGTCGGAGACCAAGAAGTCTACGATCAAGGAGTTTATAAGTCATCTGTCTCACACATTTGCTAAAGGGTATAAGATCCACTCAGAAATTAAGAATTTAAGTGTAACAAATAAAAATAACTAAATCTTGCCATAGAAGAATTTTTGTCAGACTCTAGAGCAAGTGCAACTTCACAGAGACCTTAAGGGAGTCCACCACAATACACAGCATAATGTCACAATGTAATGTCTTATATTTGTGAAAGTCAAGAATGTTCAGGCAACTACATCAAAACCAAGGTAGATATCAAATATTAGACAAAATCATACCAGTTGCAAGTCAAAAACACACCAACTAGCAGAATTAAGCGTTGAGCAAGATTGTCAGGTTTAATTGATCAGTCCTTGTGAAGAATGAATAATTGCGAGAAAAAATAGTTTACAAAACACTTCATTAGAGAGCAGATAAAACAGTCTTCTTCTTCTTCTTCTTATTATTATTATTATTATTATTATTATTATTTCTTACACCATGACAGGGTGTACAGGCATAAGTAAAGATACTAGCCACTACAGACACACATAGTATGATACAGGATTACTTCTTGTTTTGTAAATGAACATGAATGTCGTTTTCAAAAAATTTCACATATTTGTACATAATATACATGATTCATATTAGACTCTTCTAAATGCCCAGGAAATACATGTCTAGAAATCATATTTTAGTAGTAAATTATGTAAATATAGACAATTATCATGTGTGCAGATGGCATTAATACATTTATGAGGTTTTCTCAATATACAGAGGGGAAGAACTTTGAATACCTACATGACTAAAACTGATGAGTCTCTCAGGGGTTCCCAAGTGGAGTGGTTGTCCTAGAAGTCCGATCAACTGAGGGGTTCATGGGGGCTGAGATGAAGTGAACAGTGCTCCCCAAACGTATTGATGCCATCTGCATTCTGGAGTGGGCGTAGCACTTTACATTTTCTTGAGACAAATATCTTCAGATAATTATCCTGAGAAATTTGATACATATACCAAGAAATTATACAGAGGTAAATAACTTGAGAAAGTCTCAGGTTATTTAACAGGCAGGTTTTATATTTATTATAGAAAAACCTCATGTCCTTTATTGTGGGCTCAATAGAGAGGTGATGGCATTAAGGTGAAAATAAGGAAGCTTTCAAAATAAAAATAAAGTTTTACCTTATTGTTATTAATTTATTTCTATATGTTAATCACATAGAGTAGAAATAAGTATGAAACAGAAATGAACACAAATTAAAATATGTGTTTTGTTTTATTTATATTATTTATTATTGCACTTTATTTATTTTGTAAGTGGAAAACTTATGTAGAACTAGAAGCCAAGCATACTGTAGAACCAGAACTTTTGCTACTACTGCTACCTCTTCAGTTTTCACAGATTAAAAACACTCTGAACCATTAATGATAGCCGTCTGTTTATCTGAATTGAATAAGGGCACCCTCACTGGTAAGTCACTGCTGGTTCATGTCAATTTCAGATCAGTCTGGGCTGAGCAGGTATCCACAGCAACAGTAAACAGTAAACAATACACAGATATAAACACCAGCCGCTGGTGGCAGTCTAGTAAAACCGGGCTTACCTGCGACATACACAAAGTGTGGTCACATATGTGTCTTTTGTGTTATTATTATTCTTTAAGGTTTTTAAACCTGCCACTTAAATCCTCTTTTCAATGCACTTTAAGCTTTCTTTGCAAGTATGCCTGCTGTTACCTGTGTAGCAGCAAGTCATTTCTGAAAACAAGCCATATCTTCTGTATCTTCATTTTAACCCATTTTTCTCAGGTGAGCACTGTGTAAAAATGCACTAAATTCACCCTCAACTAACTAATACAGTGTATGGGTACAGATTTGTACATTAATGTCGACTTGTGCGTTGAGTAGTGGTTTATTATTTTGTAGAAATTTAGATGTGCAAATCGTAAGTTGTAAAATGGCAGACATACCAGGTAGTTTTAGTTAATGGTGTTTTAGCTTAGCTCTTACTTTAAATTCTGTGGTGAAGAAAACACTGATATATGTTTTAAGATTGTTCTACAACTTTATTTTGACAGTATTATTAAGTGTCAAAATGTGATTTCATGTGATGGCCATTCTGAGTGACTTCAGAGTTGTCCGTTAGCATCTATAACATTTTTTTCCTAATGATTTCAGTATAAAGCAGAAATAAATGCATTTCTGACTCTGGTCCATTATCTGTAATGGATGTGCAACCATAGACTACATATATAAGCATCAGTAATTCTATTAGCATATAAAACATTCTGTTGAGAATATATGTACGTGTGTATACATACATACATACATACATACGTATCATACATGCATACATATATCAACATTTGTAAGAAAAAAAAAGAATCCCAAATATATATCTATGTTTTGTTTACATATACACGTTTATGGATTAATATGCAACTATATCAATATATGTGTGTTTTGCACTTAATGGTGATTTGTGACCAAAGAACAAAACAGAGATTTCTTTATGAAGGAAATTGTTTTAAAACCGAGACCAGAGAGTCAATGGTGAAAGCAAGCCATGTCTTCTGTCTTGTCATTGTTCTCCTGTTTTTCAAGAATATTATTTTTTCCATGGACAGAGTGGGTGAGATGACTAATCAGAGCACAGGAGGGCAGGGCTTAAAGACACAGGAGCTCTAACAGGCTATTTCAGATAGAGGGTAAATAAAGTTATACAGTATGCATATTGCTATACATAATATAAAATCTTTTTTATCAGAAAGTGTTTGTGTTAGGTACCAAAACTACCAGAATCCTATAAGGCCACTAGCTGAAATAAGCTTTATTGTTTAGTAGTTGTTTTCCTCATGTTTTGACTGAGTTTTGACATTCCTGGCCTAGCTCTAACAGTTACGGTATGCCCCTCGTTATTCACATTTGCATTTTTGCAGCATTTAATCAACTTTGTATGTTAGAATGTTTGAAATATTTACATGAATTTTAGAATTTCTTAGTATTTGGTGCTGTACCCCCTTTTGCTTTAATGTCAGTGTTCATGCAGCTGTTAGCTTTAACTGGCTAGTTGAGCCAGCTGGTTACAGAAACTTTAGCTTTCAGAAACTTGCTTCTGTTTTCATGGCTCAGGAATCTGACAATGAAAACTACCAACTTGCTTTCACATCTATGCCTGGGGATTCCACATTCCACTCTCAGCTCAATATTGAATGTTTGGCTACTCATCTGGAGCTCATGTTGTTCATCATTAAGCCTTATATAAACTTCTATGGGGTTCAATGAGGTGACCTTAAAAATTAACTTGAGAGGTTAAACCTTGATCTAGTGCCAGGCCATGCACCAGCATCCATACATGTCCTCACAGAAAACAGCTCTAATTGAGGTTCCAATCAGAAGTTCTCTAATCAGAAGGATGAGTCTCATTACTGTCATAAAGCTGGTCATTTTGCAAGAGATTATGGTAAGAAACTAGCAGATAATCACAAAAGGAATTCAAAGATGAGGGACAGCATTTTAGGAAATTCTTCTTAGGGGTTTTCACAGGGGAATACAACAGGGAAATCATTCCAGGGCATTTCACAGGACCAAGGCAGTGCAAGGATTCACAGAGGTGCCAACAGCTCCATCTGCCCCAGCTTTAAACTAATTTCCCCTGCTGCTTCTGCCCATCTGTGTGCTATCAGTAAGTTTTTTAGGAAACGGGATTTTTCATTTCTTGTACAAACAGGAGCTCAGGTTACCACTCTTTTTGAAACAGTCTTTGTATCTTTAGAAGTACCTTTGACAGATAGACATATCACAGCTGAGCAACTGGGTAATGCTGGTATTTCCTTAACTCTACCTGTACCCATAGACGATAATCTAGGACCTAAAGCAGTTTCTGAGGAAATTGAATTGTTCTTTGTTTAATAATGCTGATTCTTGTGCTTGGAACGTTGTTTCTTTAAAGCAGTCTGATTTAGCTGATCATCCCATTTAGTCTGACGGTAAGGATGATTGTGGCCTTCTAGATATAGAACCAGTTGTTCACACAGGTTGTCAACCTGTTTGTACTAAGCAATATCCCATTAATAAAGTAGCTTTGCAGGGTATTATGCCTGTAATCAGCTTGAGAAAAGAGATGTCTTGGTCAAAGTACAGTGTGTATCCAACAGTCCTGTGTGGCCAGTTTGTAAAGCTAATGGAACTTGGCGGCTAACAGTAGACTACAGGGTAGCCAGTCAGCATATTGACAAATCCATTGGTTGCTGACCCATATACCATATTTGATGGCATTCCCACAAAATACAGTGTTTTTGCTGTTGTTGATAAGGTTTTTGGTCAGTTCTGTTAGCATTACAAAGCCAGCCATAGCTCGCTTTCACTGTGGGGGATGTGCTGTGTTAATGAACATGGCTGCCACTGGGATTTCACAATAGCCCCAGTATTTACCATCAAGCATTCAGAAATCACATCTCCCAGGCTGAGCACACTTTGCAGTCCTCTGTTATTATTTAGTATGTTGATGATGTTTAACTGAGTACTGAGAATGAGGAAACACATGACAAAGAGGTGATGGCACTTCTTGATTTTTTGGTGAGCAATGGGCCACGAAGCCAGTCAGGACAAAGCTCAGCTGTGTTGTCCTGGTGTGCAGTATTTGGGACAATGGGTTACACAGGGTTCTGGAGAAATTTTGCCTGCCAGCAGCTCTGCAGTTAATGCAATGTCATTGCCAACCACAGCGCACAAATTGCGAGCTTTCTTAGACCTATGCAACTACTGCAGACCTTGAATAGATTCTTATGCTACAATTTTACAACCACTAATCTTCTTAAAAGTAACCCTGGGCAACATGACCATATTGCACACACAGATAATACAATTACTGCTTTTGTAAGCTTGAAATCATACCTGACATCTGCACTGTTCCTGGCTTTTGTGAACCAAACAAACCTTTCACTGTCTTTGTGCGTGAAGATTGTAGTTTCATGATGCCCTGTATGACTCAGGAGCATGATGGTACGCAACATTCAATAGCTTATCATTCAGCTCAATTAGATGCTGTGGCATGTGGAATGGGTCCATGTTTAAGAGCAGTACAGGCTACCTATCTGGTACTGTTAGCATTTGCACCATGGATACAGGAACAAATAGTCACAGTCAAATGTCTTTATTCTGTGTCAGCATTTCCAAAAAAGTTGGGATGCTGTGCAGAATGTAAATAAAAATAGAATGCAATTATGTGCAAATCCTGTAAAACATTTTTTTAAAATGAAAATACCACATTGACAACATATCAAATGTTGAAAATGAGAAATTCTACTGTTTTGTTTTTTTTTAATAATATGCCCATTTTGGATTTGATGCCAACACGTTCCCAAAAGTTGGGATGGGGGCATGTTTACCACTGTGTTTCATCACCTCTTCTTTTAACAACACTCTATAAGCATTTGGGAACTGAGGAGACACTGCTGTACTTTTGAAAGTGAAATGTTTTCTCATTCTTGTTTGATACAGGATTTCAGCTGCTCTACAGTTCAGGGGCTAATTTGTCATATTTTTCCTTTAATAATGCACCAAATATTTTCATTGGGTGACAGGTCTGGACTGCAGGCAGGCCAGTTTTGCACCTGGACTCTTTTTAGTATGGAACAATGCTGTTGTAATACATGCAGAATGTGGTATGCCATCATCTTCCTGAAATAATCAAGGCCTTCCCTGAAAAAGACATTGTCTGTATGGCAGCATATGTTGCCAAAACATGTATATATCATTCAGCATTAATGGTGTTTTCACAGATGTGCACATCACCCATGCCATGCGTGCTATTGCACCCCTACACCATCATTAAAACTGGCTTTTGAACTGTGCACTGATAACAAGCTTTTTAGAGTGTTAACTTCCATTTGTGGATGCAGCGACGAACTGTTTTCAGAAGTGTTCCAGAGCCCATGCAGTGATTTCCACCACAGAATCATGTCTGTTTTAATGCAGTGCCGCCTGAGGACTCAAAGATCATGGCCAGCAAATACTGATTTTTGTGCCTTGCATACAGAGATTTTTCCAGATTCTCTGAATCTTTTAATGTTATTATGTACTGCAGGTTCTTTTTACAGACAGTTCCTCAACCAACACTGATGGTCAGCGTAGATCTGGATGGGCAGTAACTAACAGCTTTCAAACTTTGGCTAGTGGTAGTCTTCCTCCCTCTCACTCAGCCCAGCCGGTCAAGTGGGTGGCTTTAACTGAGGCATGTAAACTTGCATCAGGCAGGAGCACTACAATTACTGTCTCCCGATATGCCTTTGGAGTGGCCCATGATTTTGGACACTTATGAAGTCACAGGGGTTTTCTCACAGCTGCTGGCACTTCAAAAATTTCTGATTTTGTACAGGGTCTTTTGGAAGCTGTTAAACTACTTGCAGATCTAGCTATTATGAAAGTCAAAGCACACAATAGTGGTACTTTCTTTGAAGCACAAGACAATAGAATTGCAGATAAACAGCTAAAAGGGTGAGTTTTTACTACCAGCTAGCATTGCAGTCTCACTAACACAGACTGCAATACTAATGACATTTCTGCCATCCTCAAGCTACAGTTTAACTCCCCAAACTGGGAACTCTGAACTTGGCTGGATTCAGGTGCAAAAATTGTTCCAGATAGTGTCTAAACCTAAGAGGGAAAACTAGTCACACCTGAATCATTACTTCCTTACCTAGATACACAAATACATTCTTTGGGGTAGAAAAGATGATGAATCAGTTTTCACACTCCTGGTGTAATTCTAAGTTCAGGGAACAAGCTAAAACAGATGTTTAAAATCGTGTTACTTGTAATCAAGTCGATGTTGCACCTTAGATGTAAAACTCCTGCTATTAAAACAGTGGCACCTTCAGGCCCATTTCACCATTTATAGGTAGAGTACATCACTTTCTGCTGCTCTCCCTCCCTTAAGGCCTTTCTTGTATGCACATGGAAGGGCAGAGAGGTCCCAGAACCAAGTAATACTGCCAAATATAAATTTACTGTGAATAAAAATATTTTTTTTACAGCTTGATGATTTCTTCCACATCTCCAGTTATGCTTGTCTGTTTGAGCCAATTCATTTTCTCATCTTTCATCAGCATTTTGAAATTGGAACACTAGTTGGAGAAATGCTTGACAGTATCACAAAAGGGGCAGTGCTTTTTAGGATTCTCTAACGTTGATTGGATTTGATTGTCACTTTGCTTGGGATGTGGGTCAGATTTAAGAAGGACAGTAGTGGTTTGAGAGGCTGATTTACAGGACTGTCTGTCTGCAATGCCCTTGGCGTTCTCTGGTGGACTGATCAACTGTGAACTTAGATTCATTATCTGGAACATGTACCTCATATTCCAGCAATTCTGATAGATCCATTAGAGTTGGATTAGAGCTGGAATCCATCTTTGATCTTTTTGATGGGGTTGCTAAAGTGTTTAAAGTTGGTCATGAGGTAGCTTGGCCAGCAGATGACCAACATGAGATCCACACTGGAGTTCTGTTAGACCCGCATTCCCTAGTTAATCAAGCTGAGAACCTGACTTTGCTGTTCTATACTTTGCTGAGCAAGTTTGTTCAGCTGTCCATAATTGTCTGCTAGAGAAGCTATGGTATCACTGGATATCATAGGGACTGTTACCGTATGAGTCAGCCTGAGAGACTCCTATTCCTAAATTTTCCCACAAGCTGGCACTAGAATCCTGATCAAACAGGCCTGAAGTGCTCAAGAACTGACGTTTGGAACACATTTTTGCCAAATAATTTAAGTGACATGCACTGGAATCATATTTAATAACACAACAATAGTGTCTGAATAATTTTTTACCCTTACTGTATGTGCATTCTTATGTTTCCTATGAATTCTAATCAGGGGCTTGTATGCTAGTCTGCAAATGCCAAATGAATGCCAATGTCAAATAGAGAAATACTAAATGCTAGACATAGCTTTGGTCAGCAAACTCAATTTGTATCTGGTGTCCCTAAAAAAATATGACTGCAAGGGACTTAAAGGGTTTGCAAGGGTTAAATAAAGGTTAAATGAAATAAACAAATCTGTATTTGTATCTATTTTTAGTTCCTTCCTTCAGTCTTTGGTTAATCATTTAATTTAATCTAATCTGCTCTTATGCATCTGATGACCTGGTTGATTTGAATACTTTTTTTAATCAGTGATTTTTAAAACTGGACAAGAACATTTTTTGTTCCTCTTGAGAAAATCTTTTACAAAAATGAACTTAATTTCAGATTTCTTGAACAAAATGCTAAGCTTTTGCTCAGAAGGGGAGCATTAAAGGGTTTCCCATATAAAAATGAGGCAAACAGTCAACCAAAGGTAAGACAGGGTCAAGTCTCTCACCTGTATTTACTTAGCCTTTGTTTTTTCACTTTCACTTTGTTCAAAGGCAAGGTTTTATTGGCACACACTGCTGACCTAGTGTATGGTCAGTAAGTTCTTATTTTTGTGTTTTACAATGTTTTCATATATAGCTCGTTTAAAATGAACCGAACTGAGCTCTGTTAAAGAGAACTGGAAAAGGAACCAACTGCAGATGACCTCAGTTCTTTTTTGTGTTTGTAATGTAAGTGAATTATAAAGAGGACTCAGTTTTCTTTCTGGTCCTTTGAGATCTCAGACCACTTCTTGTTCAGACCACAACCCCATTAGAACTCAGACCCCTTTCACGCCACTCGCAGTGTGTGCAGCGCTCACACAGGGGGCAGCGTTCTGTAATAAATCTCACCTTTCAGGTGGTGAGAGGAACCACCAGACACACCGTGTCTGCCGTGGTGGGTTCCATTTTTGGACTGTGCTCCTTACTGAGCTCCACCTGTGAAAATCTGCATCAGTGGTGAATTTTCATTCATTCAGCATTCAGTGTGAAAGCAGCTTAAATTGCATTGCACGACCAGTATCAGCCTTTAACACGCCAAAATCACACGGGCTCTCGCATCGTATCACTTTAATATGTCAGCGGCTTTGTCCTGAGTAGAACCTTATAAATGATCATTGGTCTGTTTTTACCTGCTGTAGTGCTGGAAGACATTGGCTGGATGAACAGTGAGCCTCTAGATCTTCACCACAAAGCAAAGCTTAAGCAGACTGGGGCCGTTTTGTTTTAACAATACACAAATCAATCGAACCACAAAACAAACTACAAACACATGTTTGGGGCCTTTTAGGGGGATCTGAGTTTGTTTGGCGTTTTCACATATGCAAAAGAAACCGTGACTCAGCGGTCTGAGTCCACTTCAGATGCTGAAACGGCCCAAGTGTGAAAACACCCTTATTTTATGTTACAAGTAAGCTGTGTGGATTTAAAGAATTGCACTACGGAGATTATGCTAACTGATAGCTTCATCAGCTAAACAAAATAGAGGAAAAATAAATAATATTTGTAAAAATGTTATAAACTTCTTATGTGCCTGGCAAAAGAAAAATCACAGATAGAACTACTTAAAATAAGTAGCTGTAATAAATATTTGATTAAATGATCTCTTTTACAGATATCTCAAATTAAAGAAATATTACATTTTGATTAAATATAAAACAATTTCACTTGCCAAGATATTTGTATGCAGTGTGAAGCCTATGAACCCTTCTCATTCAGTCTTAATCAGAGGCCTGCTATACCTACCATAACCTACCATAGGCATATTGAGACTGGTTTCTCCTGTTCTGATCTCCCACATGTTATGCTTTCATTCTCCCAGAACATGCCCTTATGTAATATTGAATTAAACTCCACCACAAATTTCCATTCCTTCACTCCAGTTTCAGATAGTGAGTTCTCAATATGAGGTCTCCTTCATGTCTTTTTGTGCTGGGGATGGCTGTAATGTTAGGGTTCTGGGTTCACTGCACCGTTGGCGAGTCCATGTATGGGGCGTATGCCCCCGGGGACATCGTCATTGGGATTCTGAGTTCAGTTCACACCGACATAAAAGATCTTCAGCCTTGGATCCTTCCAGATACGTCTGTCTGTATAAAGTGAGTAAACGGGAGAATTTAGTGACCTTAAATTATCATGAAAACAGTAATTTTCAATTATTACCAATGCTAGTTTACAGTTCCTCATGTTTTTATTACTGTAACTTTCTTTTTTTCTCTTCTTTACAGCTTTGATTTAGTAACATTTGTTAAATTTTTAGCTGTAATTCACACAATCGAAATGATCAATGACTCTGGATTTCTTCCTGGGATTCAGCTTGGATATCTGATGTGTGATCCATGTGGACATGCAACCAAAGCCGTACAGTGTGTTGAGCAAATGCTTTCTATTAATGGGTCATTTACAGTCCTCTCTGACTACTCAAACTTCAGTCCACCTGTGAAGGCATTTCTGGGGGAGAGATATTCTGAGACGTCTATTCCTGTTGCCAGGCTGCTCAGTCTGCATAAGATTCCCCAGGTAATACTGAATAAGAGTCCGAGTTTTTACACCCTGTATTCCAGGGTGATTCAAGAAGATTCATCCGATTTCAAAATGATTCATTACAGAACAATGCCATACATTTTAATTGTTTTAAATTATAATGTAATTTTACAAGTGCTCAATATGACCTGCTCCAGCTGTGCAGACACATCAACACGATCAAATTCATCCCATACTTGATTGAGCATGTCGGGTGTCATTTTCAGACATCATCCAGTGTTGTTGGGAGTGGTGGCACATAAACAGAACGTACCCCCACAAAAAAAAGCCACACGGTGTTAGATCTGGTGCTGCTGGTGACCTTTTTCTTGGAACTGTTGGTATCAGTGATGAATACTCTGAGCTGTTGGAGGTTCACTGCCATCCTGACAGTCAGAAACTCTATGACCCCCTCTTTCAGTTGGTATGTGATTGGTTTCTAGGCACCTCACGGTTCGAAAAATATGGTGCTTGATGTGATATCGGATGAATCTTTTTGAATCACCCCGTATAGTAACAAATTAGTGTATGACATAAAACATAATGGTGTCACACCATTTTGCCATTTTTTTAAATGATAAATGATATAGTATAAATGATAAATGATGTAGTATAAATGATCTTCCTTAGTATAAAGACCAGATTTAGTCTACCTAATGATTTAACAGTTTTTGTTTCCACATTATTGTTGGAAGCAAATCTTGAAACTCTTTTGGCTCAAAGGTGGTTTAAACAACTTAAAGGTCTGTGTGCTGGCAAATGCTGACATCACAACACATGAGAAAATAAGTGGGCTTTGGCTTTATTCCCAAGATGTCGCTAATATTAGCACAAATATTTACATATGGTATTGTTTTCCTGACTCATTTTTAATATATTATGACAGACAGCATTATAATCAATTCATAGTATAAACCCATTTCCAAAAAAGTTGGGATGCTGTGCAAAATGTAAATGAAAACAAAATGCAATGATGTGTAAATCATATATTGAATTGAAAATAGTACAACATACCAAATGCTAAAACTAAGAAATTTTATTGCCCATTTTGAATTTGATGGCAGTAACACATATCGTAGCGTTTGGGAACTGAGGAGATCGACTGTTGTAGTTTAGAATGTGAAATGTTTCCCCATTCTTGTTTCATATAGGATTTCAGCTGCTCAACAATTCAGGGTCTCTTTTGTCGTATTTCTCGTTTTATAAAGTGCCATATGTTATCAGTGGATGACAGGTCTGTACTGCAAGCAGGTCAGTGTAGCACCCTGATTCTTTTACCATAGAGCCATGCTGTTGTAACGTGCAGAATGTGGTTTGACACTGTCTTGCTGAAATAAGCAAGGCCTTTCCTGAACAAGACGTCGTCTGAATGGCAACATATGTTGCCACAACATGCATATATCGTTCAGCATTAATAGTGCCTTCACAGATGTGCCATTCACCCATGCCATGTGCACTAAAGCACCCCTAAACTGTCACAGATGCTGGCTTGTGAACTGTATGCTGATGACAACCCTGATGGTCTTTTGCCCGGAGGACAGAGTGTCAATGATTCCCAAAAAGAATTTCAAATGTTGATTTTTCAGACCACAGAACACTTTTTCACTTCACCTCAGTCCATCTGAAGTGAGCTCTGACCCAGAGAAGGCGGCGATGTTTCTGGGTCCTGTTTATTGATGGTTTCTTACTTGCAGAGTAGAGTTTTATCTTGCTTTTATAGATGCAATGATGAACTGTGTTCACAGACAGTGGTTTTCAGAAGCGTTTCTAATTTCCACTGCAGAATCATGTCTGTTTTTAATGCAGTGCCACCTGAGGGCCCAAAGATCCTGGCTAGCCAATAATGGGGCTGCGTCCCAGTTGTGTACTACACACTAATACTATACAATATATATTGCATGCTAATCTTAATAGTATGAGCTCGACAGGTTAGTACACAAAATATTAACATACTGCACCATTGACGAACCGTTGCTATGACAACGCACATCATAGCAAGCTAGACTCTGAAGGCTAGCTAACAAATTAACGTGCGTTCGCTAACAAATGAAAACATTAGTAAGTATAACACATTTGTTTTTTTACAGAATATTTAAAAAAGTTTGGGATGAACATTTATACACCATTTCTGGTCCCGCTACTATCGCAGCTGCTGTCGCGTCGCCGTTCGCCATTTTTTCAGAATTTTCCAGACGTGAGAAGCTCCTCCCTTTCCGTTTCCCGTTGGATTGTGGGACAATAGTGTCCATCATTACTATACTCAAAAAAACGACTGGTTCTAAGTATGCACTGTGGATTTTTGAGTATACTCAACTTTGACACTTGTGAATATACTACATACTACATACTCAAACACTAGTTAGTATTAGTATTAAGTGCGCAGTTGGGACGCAGTGTGGGTTTCAGCTTTGTCCCTTGCATACAGAGATTTCTCCAGAATCTCTGAACCTTTTAATGCTCTTATGTACCATATATGATGAGTGGTGAACCCCTGCCCATCTGTACTTCTGAAATACTCAGCCTCTCTGGGATGCTCTTTTTATACCCAGTGATGTTACTGACCTGTTGCCAATTAACCGTCAGGTGTTTTTTTAGCATTACAAAACTTGACCAGTCTTTTGTTGCCCCGTCCCACCTTTTTGGAACATGTTGCTGCCATCAAATTCAAAATGGGCATATATTTTTCAAAAAACAATCTTATTTCTCAGGGTCATACTATTTTCAATGAAATATAGGGTTTAAATGATTTGCACATCATTGCATTTTGTTTTCATTTACATTTTTCACAGCGGTCCCAACTTTTTTGGAAATGGGGTTGTACATGCTTGCAAATAATGACTAATACTTTCTGAAATAATGCAGTCTTTTACAACCATAAATCAGAAATTTCCTTTAACTTGCTGGTTATATTCGGTTCTTTGGCAAATCTAGATGTATGTGGATGACTCTTACATTAGAAAAGCTTCTCTGTTCCCTGAATAGATTAGCGATATTAGGAATTTCAACAAGCCAACTTGTACGAAAATTCGCATTAAATCCGGCTAATAATGATACATTCAAAATCATGTTAACTATATTTCAGTTTCCTATTATTTTAATTGTAGTCAAACATTTACATTTTCTCATTACAGGTGAGTTGCACATCTTCTACAACAGCCGTTAGCAACAAGTTACGCTACACATCCTTCTTTCGTGTCATTCCAAGTAGCGAATACCAGACGCAGGCACTGGCAAAGCTCATAAGGCACTAAGTGGGACTGGATTGGGGTTGTGAGCCTTGATGATGATTATGGTAAAGATATCTATGAGCACTTTATGCCACATGCAGAGAAAGAGAGGATATGCTCTGAGTTCCATGAAGTGATACCAAACTACGATAACGTGAAACAGCGCATCAAGCAGGTGGCCAGTATTATCCGAAACTCTGATGCCAAAGTTGTGGTGCTCTTCTTAAGAATTCAGCAGGTAGAGATGCTCTTTGAAGAGATGATTAAGACAAACACTTCTCGAATCTGGATCGCCAGTAACACATGGTCTATGTCTCGCCTCTTAATGAAGATGAAGGGCATAAACAAGGTGGGAGACATTATTGGCACTACCTTCATCACAGGGAACATCCCAGGTTTTGAAGACTACCTCCAGAATCTGAGGCCACGTCCAGGGGCGAGAAATGACCTAATCAGGGAGTACAAACAAATGAGATTTAACTGCAGTCAGCAATCAGAGCATACGTCCCCTTTGGCCTGCAATGTGACAGACCCCCAGGAGGCAAACGATGACTACCTGCTCCATGCTGTGGATGTGACAGAGGCCTACAGTCAGAGAGTGGCAGTGTATGCTGTAGCTCATGCCATGAAGAAACTTCTTCAGTGCAATGACACTGCCTGCTCTGGAGATACCAACTTAATGCCATATGAGGTAAAATTTCTATGTGATAAAAGTTTGAAAAAATGTGTTACTACTTGCTTATTATTGTATTTTTACAGATAGACTTTAATCCTACAAACGCAAACATTCTGCATTTAGTGTACATCTGAAGCAGTAGTTCTGTATGTGGACACCCCTCCTACTTATTGAATTCAGGTGTTTGAGTCATGTGTTTTGCTAACAGGTGGACAAAATTAAGCATATAGGCATGTAATTTCAATAGACAAACACTGGCAGTCCAATGGGTCGTACTGATGAGCTCAGTAACTGTAAATATGGCACTGTCATAGGATGCCACCTCTGCCACAAGTCAGTTTGTAAAATTTCTGCCCCACTAGATCTGCCCTGGACAACTGGAAGTGCTTTTATTGTGAAATGTAAGTTTCTAGGAGCAACAACAGCTCAGCCATGAAGTAGACAGCAAACTGTGAGTTTGCTTTGTGCTAAAGCACACAAAGGCAAGTGTCGGTTGGAGTGGTGTAAAGCATGCTGCCAAGGGTCTCTGGAGCACTAGAAACATGTTCTTTGGAGAGATGAATCACGCTTCACTGAATCACTAGCTTCACTATCTATCTGGTAGATGAATCTGGGTTTGGCGTATGGCAGAGGAACGCTACCTACTGGAATGTGCAGTGCCTACAATAAAGTTTGGTGGAGGAGGAATAATGGTCTCGGGCTGATTTGGAATGTCCATTGTGAGCCAGGCCTTCTTGCCAACATCTGTGCTTGACCCCACAAATGCTCATTTGACTGAATGGGCACAAATTTCCACAGACACACTCCAAAATCTTGAAGAGTGGAGATTGTTATAGCTGTAAAGGGAGGCAACTTCATATTACTGCCCATGGTTTTGGAATGGGATGTCCAACAAGCTCAAATAGGTGTGATGGTCAGGTGTCCACATACGTTTGGCCATACAGTGTATGATATAATGCTATATAATAATAATGAGTTACATAATTCCATTATTCTATGTTTGTACCTTTTTCAGCTTTTGCACATTCTTCGTAAGGTGAACTTCACTTTGGACGATCAAATATACAACTTCCATGAAAATGGTGATTTTGACGATGGCTATGATATCATGATGTGGAAAAAGAACGGTGATGAAAGAATATCTGAAGTGGTGGGAAAATTCCTCATAAAGACTGGGGATGTTGAGATCTATGACTACAAAATTCCATGGACCAACACTACAGTAAGATACAATTAAAAACTCTCTTCAAATCTTTAGTACCTCAGTATGTATACAGCATAAATGTATATCTTCTTGAATGTTCCAACCAAAGAAAAGTACTCTATTTACATCTAGGTGCCCTTATCCAAATGTTCAAAGCCATGTCCCCCTGGCACTGAAAAGAACATAAACAATCTCTCCTGTTGCTATAACTGCACTAACTGCAGTGAAGGATACTACTCTAATGAGTGGGGTAAGTATGTAAAATATGAATATTTGTAAAATCATTCTCTCATACGTGTCAAGCTCCAGGTCCTGGCGAGCCAAAACACTTCAGATTTCAGCATGCTACCTCATTAAACACACCTGATTTAGCTCATCAGCTAATTAACAAGGCTTTCAAGAACTGAATTCAGAGTGTTAGATGAGGGTAAATGCTAACCTCCGCAGCACTTTGGCCCGGAAGGTCCCCAGTTTGACATGCTTGCTCTAGAAGAAAGGCAGTGTTTTTTTAATTACTTTTTTTTTCACTACTGGGAGGTGACTTCACAATACGGTGATGTCACTGCCAGAATCCCCCAGAGTCTGTGAAAGGAAAGATGGCATATTTCATATCTTCCTCTTCTAAACTGGGCAATGCATGTATAAGGTGATGTGAAAATAGTGCGCTCGTGATTCTGTCAAGCTAAATGAGTAAGTTGTAAGTTTTGTAACTCAAAAGATCAATCGGGCAGAAACCTTTTGACACCCCTCATCATTAATAATTATGAAGGAAGTCCATTCTGCAACCTCTGACTAACCACTATTTGTCGTCTAACTGCTAAAAGGCCTAGGGTTTGTTACAGTGTGTGTACACTTACACATTTTCTTGCTGCTGTACTGGATCTGGATCTTGCTGCTTCTGCTGTACTGGATCATTCTGCTCATTGCTGTAGGGCATTTCTATGTCATCATGGAAATGAAGGAACCATACTGAATACACACCAATCAGGCATAACATTATGACCACCTCCTTGTTTCTACGCTCATTGTCCATTTGATCAGCTCCACTTACTATATAGGTGCACTTTGTAGTTCTACAGTTACAGACTGTAGTCCATCTGTTTCTCTGATACTTTGTTAGCCCCGTTTTACCCTGTTCTTCAGTGGTCAGGACCCCCATGGACCCTCACAGACCAGTTACTATTTGGGTGGTGGATCATTCTCAGCACCGCAGTAACACTGACGTGGTGGTGGTGTGTTAGTGTGTGTTGTGCTGGTATGAGTGGATCAGACACAGTAGTGCTGCTGGAGTTTTTAAACACTGTATCCACTCACTGTCCACTCTATTAGACACTCCTACCTTGTCAGTCCACCTTGTAAAGTCAGAGACGATAGCTCATCTGCTGTTGCTGCACAGTTTATGTTGGTCATCCTCTAGCCCTTCATCAGTGATCATAGGACGCTGCCCACAGGACGCTGTTGGCTGGATATTTTAGGTTGGTGGACTATTCTCAGCCCAGCAGTGACACTGAGTTGTTTAAAAACTCCAGCAACACTGCTGTGTCTGATCCACTCAGACCAGCGCAACACACACTAACATACCACCACCACACCCACTGGGGCAGTAAACAGTCTGCTACACTGTTTGCACAAGAGTTTACAGTGAGACTAAAATACAGACACATGCTTTTTGATGCTTTTATCATTTTCAGAATGCATCTGTCATCCACACAAACTAGAACATTTGCTTGTGCAATCCCACTATCAAGCTAGCCAGCTTCCTTAGCAAGTAACCTATGAGCTCTGCATGGTTTAAATTTAGTCTTATCACTTGAACCAATCACAATTATCACAATTTATTTATATTCGGCTAAATTTAGTTTTTTTTACTTTATTTGGTGTCCAAGTTTATATTTGTAGATGTCAACCTAAGGGGTTACTGATCATGAAACCAGTAATACAGACCTTCTCAACAACCTCAACAAGCTGCTAGAGTCATGCTGCTGACAACATTCTATAAGGTCAGGGTTAGGATTAGGGCCAGAGTGAGGGTGAGGTCCAGGTTTTGGGTTGAGATTAAGGTTAGGATTAGGATTAGGATTAGGGCCAGTATGAGGGATAGGATTAAGTTTTGGGTTGAGGTTAAGGTTAGGGTTAGGTTTTAGGTAAGGTTGGGTAAGGTTAGGTTTTGCTTAATGGAAGTAACATTTCAAATCTGCTTCATGTAACATATCAACAATACATCTTCAAGATATTTACCTCAATGTGTTCAGATGCTGCACTGCTATTAATTCACTGATATGTTGTTAATGTGTTACTGATAATCTTAAAATTATCTTATCTTAAAAATTAAGAGTTTATTAATCATCTACAAAGGACCACTCAAAAAAAATGTTAACCTATCCTATAACATAACTGCATAAATATACATTTTGCTCTTATTAAAACACATTTTTATTTAATTTTGTGAATTTTGCAACACTTATAACAGAGTAACACACTTGATCACTGCTGAAAATGAACCATAAATGAATGGTCAACTTTATATCTTTGCAATTTTAAAAATATACAATAGTGGCGTTAGATTGAAAGAAGGAGGGGCCAGCCATGCTCCTCCCCTCAAACTTCAGTTATAACATAACTATATTTTGTGAGTTCAGACCATGCCTTCAACATGTGGTGGTAGTATGAGGGAAAATTGATTGAGAGAGGGGGGAGAACTCAGCTGCCAAGCTGTAACTAGAAGGCCAGATCCCCAAAAGGCTCCAGGATGAACGGCTGTTGAGGTCTAGGACTGAGCGATTATCGCATGAAGAGAAAAGATAGTTCTGAAATAACAACTGTAGCAGCTTGGGTAGAAAACTTCGTAAGACTATACCAGCGGTATATGGAGAAGCTGGATTCAGAATGAGATTGGTCAGACGGTCTAGCATTTGTGTATCTGAGGCATAGTATGGTCCAGTAGAGAAGTTTAGTCTGGGCAGGAAAGAGGTCTAGTAACATGGGCCCCTTGTATGGCATTGGAGTAAGTGGTTGCTATCAAGGATGTAAGAGGGTAAGAAAAATGGAGGAGATTTTATTTGCAGAGTTTGATTTTTGAATTTAATTCTGTGTGGCACAGTGGCATGCTGCTGAACAGACATCCAGGTCTGAACCCTTGATGATCAAGCCAAAGGCGACAGTGGCAAGGAAAAACTCCCAATGAGGAAGAAACCTTGAAAGGAACCAGGACTCAACAGGGGAACCCATCCTCCTCTGATCGACACCGGATTGTGAAGATTGTGTTAAATGTGGCAGACAAAGGGCTTAGAATGATAATAAAGCAGATTACATCCTGAATGAAATTAACATGGAGCAGGAATGGCTGTTGGAGGTAGCCGGTCCATACGAGTGTTGAAGGGCTTGATGACTGAGGCAACTGGATGATTATCTGGCCACTGCGGGACATAGTTTGGCATGGAAAATCCTGTTGGCAACAGCACGGTTGTTCAGTTATAACATTAGATGAGAATCACTTGATCACTTGCTTGGAGTTTAAGCCCCCAAAAACTGATGATGACAAAAGGACATAGCTCCAAGGACTGAGAGCTGAAAGGGAAGAGAGCAAAGGCGACAGCATGAGAGTAGTCAAATCAGCGGTGGCAGAAGAACGGCCCAAGAGACTAGGAGAGCAGCAGGAGAGCAGCAGGATACAGGCAGCATTTTCAAACAAACCAATAATAGTCCAGTCAGAGAGAAAAATAAAGAAATGGAACTGAGTCAATATAAAACCCATCCAAGATGGAGCTGATCTGAGGTGAAACCGAGGTAAGACAGTGATGAGTTGTGGAGCTGACTGTGGTGGAACCGAAGCTAGATGGAGCAGATCTCAGATGGAGCAGATCTGACATGGAGCCAAACTGATTCAGAAAGGAGTTGCAGAGCTGAGGTGCATGGGATCTGATTCGAATTGAAGCCAAGAGGAGACAAATGAGTTGCGGAGCTGTTGTACTGCAGCTGATCTGAGATGGAACAAAGTTGAGTCAAAGTTGAGATGGAGTGGGCCGTGACGGAGCTGGGTTACAGGAGCCAATCTGAGATAGAGTGGGCTGAGATGGAGCCATGTAGTGTCAGAGGGGAGTTTCAGAGCTGGGTTGCAGGAGCGAATCTGAGATGATGCCGATCCAATATGGAGCCAAGTGGACCGAGGAGTCGCAGAGCCGCACGAGCTGAGGGTCAAATAATGGGGCCAAAAGCAGGTTTGTTTACCTCCGTCCAGAGCCGAGACAGAGCGGAATACATCAGCATGGAAGATGCGTTCCGTCCATCAGGGCTCACCGGTAAGCAGTTGCGGTCCAGACAAGGGTGCAGTTTGGATGAAGCTTGTGGAGGCCGAAGGCAGGAGCAGAGGAGCGCGGGCCGTCAAGGCTTCAAGCACCGCATTCTCGTCAGAAGTGCCGGAGCCAGGCAAGGAGACTGCGCGTGGCCAGGGAAACGTCAGCCAGAGCAGCGGGTATGATGAAAATGGATTTCCTTGGGATGCGGACTGGTCTGTATCTGCAGGAGGACCAGGCTGACGGCCGAAGGAAACTCACATGAGAGAATAGAGGTCTGTGCCAGAGTGGCTCGCAGCTGCACCAGCGTCACACAACTGATTGCGAACACGTCGTCACGAGAACGGAAGGTGAGGATGTGAATTTATAGGGCATTAGATTGAAAGAAGGAGGGGTTTCAGCCATGCTCCTCCCCTCAAACTTCAGTTATAACATAACTACATTTCAGCTTAGCTGCTAATTCTGAAGGTTCACGTACCACTCACAGGTATTGGATAATTTTCCTCAGTAAATAAATGACATAGGCTAATATTTTTGTCATATTTGTTTAATTTGGTTCTCTTTAGCTACTTTTATGACTTGTGAAAATCTGAAGAAGTTTTAGGTCAAATGTATTCAGAAATATAGAAAATTCTAAAGGGTTCATAAACTTTTAAGCACCACTGTAGAAGTCAAAAGCATTCTTTATTATATAATAGAACTACTTTTAGTACTACGACTACGTCTGCTTGCCTATAGAACATTTCAGTCAATGGTCTTTAAAGAAGCATTTGGTTCATTCTACAGAAACATCCACTGTTCTATCTCTCCATAAGTGTAAGAAAGGTAACACCAGAGACATTTTAATGAAAAATGCATTTTACAAAATGGCTGCTACAAAGCATCAAACCACATGTTGTCAATCATGGAATATCCACTAAATTATGTGAATATTAATCCATTTGTATTCTATATTTTCACAATTACCTAAGAATAAAGTAGGTCACACCAGTGACGTCAACTAATAGCTTCATATGAAATCATGAGCTAAACGTGAAAAGACACAGTGGACTTACCATGTGCTTTTTTTAAGAGGTCCTCAGAAAATATGTAAACAGAAGTTAAGCGATGTCATCAGTGTGATTTTTATGTAAAATAAGAGATTTTTTGTTATGCGGTAACACCAGTGACATGACTCCTGGGGAAAACTACTTTCATTATATTTTTTATAATATTTATTTGCCATTTGTTTTCTTTATGTCATTTAATCTATATATTCCATAGTCATGTATGGATTATTATAGTTAAAATTGCAGTATTTTTTTTTCTTCCAAATATGGCACTCACCTTTTACACTTGACTGTGGGGACAAGCACTTCTGTGGTGCTTGGAATTCTAAATAATCAAATAAAAACCAATATTGATAAAATAATTTATTGTTTTATTTTAAAATATAAATAAACTGTTACCCTTACATGTTTTTCAAGTGTAACATTTCTGTAAACGCTAAGGACACAAAAATGGATGTTTCTGTAGAATGACCCATTCTTGTAGATCTTTTTACAGCTTAAAGAACCCTCAAGTAATGTAAAGGTTCTGGTAGACCTTTTAACTGATATCAAGTCTTTGCATCATGTGGGTGATCATTACATTTTAAAAGTTTGTTGACTCATGCACATCTTATGCATTAAAACTTTCTTTGGGAAGCCAAAAGTGGTTCATCTATGGCAGGAGTGTTCACTTCTGGTCCTGGAGGGAGCATAGTTTTGTGCTTTCCCTTCTCAAACACATCTGGTTCAACTCACCTGTTAATTGTCAGGTTTTTGGGTGTGTTTTAACAAAGAAAGCACCAAACTCTGCTGGACTGCAGCCCTCCAGAACCAGGAGTGAACACCCCTGTTCCATGTCATCACTGCAAAGAACCCTTTGGTAGCTTTATTTTTAAACTGTGCTTTTTAATCCAAAGATTATACAAATATACATTGGGTAGACACTTGAAACAAAACATTTTTTTTTGTTTTGTTTCAACATGTTTTCATTCCTCACTTGTCTTTGTATGTTTTTTCTTTATTTATTTTTCTCCACAGATCAGGACACTTGTAAACAATGTCCAGAAGGTTCTTGGTCTCTTCCAGGATCGAGGGAGTGGGAGAAATGGAATATTTGGTTTTTGGAGTGGTCTTCAGCTTATTCCATTGTAGTGATGATTGGAACAGTAATAGGTGCACTACTGCTGGTGTTCTCATTTATCTTTTTCATTCTACACAGAGAAAAACCCATCATAAAGGACATCTTAGTCATTTCATGCCTGATGAAATTTGGCCTGATGGTGAGTTTTGGAGGTGTAATACTTTTCTTAGGCAGCCCAAACATCCATCTTTGTAAAGCACAACAGACCATGTATGGTCTTGGGTTCACTCTCTGTGTGTCCTGCATTCTGGTTAAGGCCCTTCACATATTCTTAGAGTTAATGTCCTCTAATCCTGCAAAGCAGCGCAAACTAAGAAAGTTTGATAAGCCCATTTGTCATCATAGGAATCCTCACTGTTATTCAAGCTCTCATCTGTATCTTCTGGATGATATTTGATCCTGTTAATGTTGAGGAGAAACAATCAAAAACTCAGTTACTTACTCTGAACCGTCTGTGCACTCAGGGCTCTCTGTATGGCTTTGGTGTGATGCATGTCTACATTGCTTTACTAGCTGTGCTAAGTTTTGGACTGGCCTTCAAGGGGAGAGATAACGAGACTGATCCTATAGTCTTCAGTATGCTCATCCATCTGTTTGCATGGCTTTGCTTTATTCCAGTCTTTATCACTCAATATGAATCACGTCCCATCGTCCAGATCTCTGGCATTATGGTCTCCAACTATGGAGTCATCTTTTGTCACTTCACCCCAAAATGGTTAAAGATCCTCTCAGACACTGAAAACTTGAAAGCAGCAAGTAAAAATAATAATCCAGTAATTTTTCCTATAAAAGAAACTTTGTCAGACTCTGGAGTGATCTCTAACTTCACAGAGAGCTTAAGGGAGTCCATATCATTACACAGCACAACATCACAAATCCGGTTCAGCTTTGCAGAATCAGAAATATCCAACTGGGATAATAACAGCCTGTATTTGCCCAAAGTCAGTATTGTTTCTGTTAAGCATCGAAGACCAAGAAGTATGAGAACAAAGAGTCTCTAACTTGTTTCATATATTCAACATGCAAGTCAGGAATGTTCTAGCAACTACATCAAAACCATCATAGATAACAGAAGTCAGTTCTTTTCTAGTTTAAAACTCTTTTTAACATATAAGTAGGTGATATCATACCAAAAAAAGGCCAATAAAGTTTAACAGTATGATAAGTTTGATATATCTTTTCTACAAGAATAATGTATATTACACTAACATAATTTTTTCTTTCTGATTACATTATTTTGGTAGTAATTTTGCTAATAATATATTAGTAATAGATTTCAAAATGTTCTTGATATTTTAAAACATTTGAGTGTAAAAATCCAAATACTTTCAAATCTAGGTTTTCTAGATTAAAAGAAGGTTATATAGCATGTGTGCAGATGGCATTTATGTGTTCTTGTAATTTCTCAGCATGCAGTGAGAAACAAAGTCAAATGATAGTGAAGTGATATGGTGAAAGTATATTTATGATAAATAATGGGAGTAGACTCTTAGGTTATTAAATGGTTTATCCTGTATGTCAAGTCAGGGCATAACACAACTGCTTGTTGACAATAGAAGCTTCCATAACAGAAGCAGTGAAATATAAACAGTACTCATTCAGTAAAAGAACACAGCAGTTCAGCAGGTCTTTATATCTGAGAGGTGATTTATTGTATTTTAGACTGAGAGAGAGAGAGAGTGGGAATTAATACAATTTTTTTTACTTTTTGTGGAAGAAGTGAAACTATTGCACTTTGTTTCTTAGACACTAAAACACAATGACCCTTATTCATCAAAATTTGCTTAAAAAAGAGCACCAGTTTCACCACCTTTAGTACAAACAGTTCTGCATCTGATTCATGAAACTATTGTACAACATGGAAATGATGTGCGCAAATGATGCTTCAGTGCATTAAATCAAGCGCCAGCCTATCTCATTTACATATTATTTATGAAGCACGGCCTAATTCATGCAGTTTCAGTAGGGAACCAAAAAAATGACAGCATTCAGCATTTCGAGAGCCAATGGCTGTGTTCATAGGCAGAGTTTGAGGTGGAGTAGTGAGCACACTGCTTCCCCTACTGACCAAACTTTATAGTGTTAAAATTATCAGAACAAAAACCAGAAGAATTAAATTTGAAATAAACAAAACATCTTTGTGTTTTAAGGCATAGAATAATGTGATTTGCAGTGTGATTCTTTTCCTAAAATAGCATATTTAAACGCTGTATTATTGCAGTCTATGAGAGGCTCTGCACTAACTGTGTTTTGCATTGATTATTTTGTGGGCAGAGTCAGTAATATAAAACAAAAGCACAGTGTATTTTTACCAGTGTACATGTAAAGGACTACTACTAATCAACTAATGTACTGGACTGCCATATGCACAAATGATCAATACTACTATTATTTCTGTTTTTTTCTTATTATTGGTATTCTAAATGATCCTGACAATAGTTTTGATTAGTTAGCATGTATCACTTGGTATGGGCTGCATTTTAGATGCTGTACATTGTGGGAAGATAAGTTAGCAGACAGATTTCCTTGGTAGACCCTTGGTAAATTGCTGTAAGTGTGTCTCTTCTGTTGATTCTTTCCTGAATACACAGTCACTTTAATCTGTACATTGTCTGCAGTTTTATTAATCTTTGTAGTTGTTTTACTAAAGTATTACTGCTAACATCTGCACAACTGCTATTGTTGCTGTGGACCAACAGTTGATCTGTTCTCTCTACTGTACTGTGCTTAATTTGTGTAGTTGTGTAGTTATTGTATGCTGTATAGAGCTGTTTATTGTATAGTGTTTGTATATGTTCTCTGTATGCATTACAATTATTGTTACTGTTCTCTGTTAAATATAATACCATTTTCTGAAGAAACTAGATTTCATTCCTCTCTCAACACATCTGTGATGAGAAGAAATGACAGGATGAAGCTGACTTTGACTTTGACTTTGAATGCCGTAACAACCACCAATACGTCGGTAGCATGTTAAGCTGCAGCTCCACTGCGATCTCCTGCCGTAACGCACTTTAGAGGAAGCTGCTTTTTCCTTCTGTGCACAAACCTGTTTAGAAAGCGTGAACAGGTTTTATATGTAATAGAAAAACAGTTAGATTAGAAAATAAAGATCATCAAAGATCACGGCCAACAAATACTGGGTTTTGGCCTCCAGATTCTCTGAATCTTTTAATGTTATTATGTAGTGTAGACGTTGAAAAGCAAAAGTTCTTTGCTATTTCATGTTGAGAAATGTTATTCTTGAACTGTTGCACTATTTGCCTGTGCCGTCTTTCACAGAGTGGTGAACCCCTCCTCATCTTCACTTCTAAAAGACTCCGCCTCTCTGGGATGCCTTTTTATGCCCAATTATGTTACTGACCTCTTGCCAATTAACCACCAGGTGTTTTTTTTTAACATTACACAACTTTACCAGCCTTTTGTTGCCCCTGTCCTAACTTTTTTGGAACATGTTATTGGCATCAAATTCAAATTGGGCATATATTTTAAATATATAAAAAAACAATAAAAAACAATAAAATTTCTCAGTTTCAGCATTTGATATGTTGTCTTTGTATTTTAATAATTTTTACTTAATTTTCTTATTTTTCTGATATTGCTTACTCTTCTGTTAATCCCTTATGCAACAGAATACTAGAAAAGTCCAATATGTCATTCAAGTATATTTTACATTACATAGAGGGGAATGTTATATAGTAGAGCTGCCGCGCATAAATGCTTCATTACCAAGACAAATGACCATCTGAGAGACCAGTGGCATAAAAACCATCAACACTGCTCTACAGAGATGTGAAATAAGGTAATGGGGTCAGAAGAGTCGCCATATTCTCCACAAGTGGGAGAGTGCATGTGCAGAGTACCACAAGTGAACAATCCAATGTCTGAATGCATGACCCCTACAGTGAGGGGGGTCTAGAAGCTCTATTATGCTGTAGGGAACATTTGGCTGGCATTGTTTAGGTCTACTTGTCCACTTAAATGTAAGGGTTAATGCAAATCAATTCAAAGTTATTCTCACTGATTGCTTTTGTTTTATGATGAAAGGTTTGTATCCTGATGGGAGTGGTCACTCTCATCGTGAATATGAAAATGATGTAACTTATGTGCAATGGCCTTTGCAGCCACCAGATCTCAACCCAATCAAGCACCTATGAGAGATTCTGGACTGACTGAAGTTAGACAGTGCTCTTCATCACTATCACCATTACACCAGATGAGGGAATATCTTTTGGAACAATGGCCTTCCATCCCGTCTGTTCTGGCAGCTTGTGGAAGCACAACACCTCACTAAGACTCTTTAATTTGTTTTTATGTAGAGAGCACCATGGTTACTAATAGCTGGGTTAATATAGGATTTTTCTTAAGCATAGACCAGATAACAAATACTATAAATTTAAATTTTTGTTAAATCCTTCCTTTAATATAATGACAGAGTCTGCCAGTAAAAGTTTACTGTAATTAAAAAGGAATATTTACAGTTGCTATTATTCAGCCAACGTATTCATTAAAAATGGCTGACACATTAAGATAAACTATCACCTTTGATATGTTTCTTTTAAACAAGTTACCATAGTTACTTTGCCTGATTTATTACTCTTCCCTCCAGTACACTGTGCAGGTTGCAGTGTGAGTTTCAGTCAGCAGGTGGAGACATCAACTTTAAAACATCACATCAAATTTCCACACTCTGCTCAGTTCTGCTCAGGTCTTTGAAGACAACAGGTGACAATTACAGTTTGTACGTCATACAGTGCCTTCTAGAAGTGTTATCTCCCTTGTTGATCACTAGCTTGAACTTATACAGTTCCTGTTCTCCTGCATTCTTTCTCTCAGTGGCTTCAATTTTTATGCAGTTCTTCACCAAGTTACCCTCAAACACATTCATGACATTGTTTTAACTGGGAAAGTAATAAACAGATAATACATATCATTTTGTGTGCTGTGGGAGGCTGTGATGATACAGAATCTCTGTGTGAGTCTTATACACATGGGGATGTTGTCATTGGATTTTTTGTATCAGTAAAAGATGTTCAGCTTTTTCATTTAATTTTAATTTGAAGCCGTCTTATAAGTCTTTTAGTACACCCACACCTACACTCCTTCAAGTTTGTCTCCAGATACATATTCACGTTCGAGATCGTGTCTGGCCCTGCAAGACTAAACATGTTGATCATGTGGGTTTGCAGTCTGCCTTTTTGGAAACAACCAAGTGAACATACATTGAGGTTGCCATTGTTGACATCATCTGAGGTTGGATTCAGCTTCAGGCCTCCCTGTACTTGCTTATGCAGCAAAACCATTAAATAACAGGTGTACATAGTTGAGGTCACTAAGGGTACCCACTATGCCATAGCAGTGAGAAGTCTCCATCCTCTGCCTCCTAGCCAAGAGCTGAATTTACACAATGTTAACACAATGTTGGTGAAGACTCCCTGATGATCACAGATAGCTGGGGACTGTTTCATAAAGCAGGATATTGATGTAGACAAAGGGTTGTTCTAGCCCCATTGCTGTGCTTCTCTCTCTCTCTCTTTGTCTCTCTCACACACACACACACACACTATGTCACATCAAATCAAGTCAAGAGTCAAGAGCATTAAAGAGGTGTGTGTGTGTGTGTGTGTGTGTGTGTGTGTGTGTGTGTGTGTGAGTGTAAAGTATGTTTGTGAGGGGGTTTTCAGTTCAGTCCTTGTGAGTTTGATTGAGACACAGCCATTTTGTGGGCACATAGGCTACACTTAGCTATATTTAACCCACTGCATTCAAGTTACAAAAATGATTAAGGTAAAGTTTTAAAGTTTCTCAATTACAGCTTTTTCAAAAAGCACTAATAAAAACCCACAGCAAAAATGTAAAAACAAATGAAATGAACCAGAGACAATTATCAAACTGTTTTAAAAGAAGATCTACAAAAAAAGCTGAAAAGACAAAATAGGGGATGTAATAAAAAAATCTTGGATGCTTGCTTTTTTTTCAAAAACAAATTAAATAATTATTTTGAAATAATAATAATAATAATAATAATAATAATAATAATTAATGAGCAACATTTTGCAAAATAGGTATGCAAGTAAAACCTGCCTATTTACAAGACTATTTCTAAATAAAGTTTTTGCCAGTGCGGTTAGTCACTAGAATGAGTTATAATAATAATTATTATTATTATTATTATTATTATTATTATTATTATTATTGTTTTATTTATGTAGCTCGGTCCGTAATCACAAGGTCATATTACAAAATACAGAAACAAAAAAAAGAGGTGTCACTTTATGATAAGACACTAATCATCCAAAGAAACCCCTGAGGCAGTGAAAGAAGAGACGTGCTGTGTGAGCAGGAAATAGAAGTGCAGCGCAGGGATGGGGTGGGGAATTCCAAAGTGTAGACACTACAGCCCTGAAATACCTGTCATTCATCAAGAATAGTCTAGGGCAGTGTTTCTCAACCCTGGTCCTAAAGGCCCACTGCCCTGAACATTTTCTGTTTTCTGCCTTAACACACCCACTTTAACTCAATAATGGAGTGTTAATGAGCTGATTACTTGGATCAGGTGTGCTGGGAGTACAGAAAGAATTAAAAAGTGCAGGGCAGTGGGGCCTTCAGGACCAGGGACGAGAAACACTGCTCTAGTGTATGGGATTGCTAGCAGTCCACTGCCAAAGGACCTGAGGATCACCTCTAAAGGGCTTGCTCACAGAAAGGTATTTCACGAAAGGGTTATGAATACATTTCCTGATGTCTGAGACTTTGTTTTAAGAGAAAGATTTGGTTTAAAATACATTTTTAAAATCTATTCATGATGGAGGAATACATGCAGGATATTATGATGCAAACTAGTGTGGCATTGGCACAGAGGAAGACAGACAGCATAACACATACAGGCAAATGCTCTTAATTGAACAGGCACTTCAACAAACAGTCTCGAAAAAGACTAGGAAATGCTCAGCGACACCCTGACATGAAACACAGGCAGGGGATTATGCTAAATGACATGACACACAAGGAGGGTAGACACTTGTAACCAGTAGTTACACAATAAAGCATATCATCCTCTGAGACAATTACTCTAATAAACACAACTCCAACAACGACAACACATCAGCAACAACAGCAACAGTAAGTGTGCTTTTTGTGGCGCACCCTTAGAGCTTCTTGGCACCGGGGTGGATGCCAAAATAGTTTTTCACCGCTTTTTTTTTTACTATAGTTTACCGCTTGTAGGTTCACTGGTGGTTTTAGATAGCAAATAAAACAGTGATATTTGTGTTGTGTAGTCATGATGACCCCTGGTTCCTATCAGCACCACTGTAAAGAAATCTCTAAAATCACTCATTTCACACCAAACCACTCTGTTTACATCTCAAACACTGAGTTATGGAGAAATTTTGAAAAAATCTTTGGAATTCCACTAATGCATTGAGCACCAAGTGTACAGGAACAAGTGTGAGTGTGCAAATAGATCATCTTTAACGAACTTGTTAGGAATCATAAAGAACATTTTTGGTACGTAATTAATGTATGCCAAGTAAACATTTTTTAATTATTTTGTTTGGAATTGAGCCCTATTTTAAAGTGTTGTGACCTAGGCTGTTCCACTACTTTATGCCTTAACATGTCCTCACTTGTTACTCTGAAGAGAGAGAAAAATGTATTTTTTGCAATATAATGCACTTTCAAATTGAAACTCACTGACTACAGCAGAGCTTTCACTAAAATCCTCCCCTGGATACTGAAGATTGTCCAATGGTGTCTCAGCAACTCTAATGAGGCCTGGCAACAGAATAAACAATATGCCACAATGTTATGAGGGGAAGATTAAAGGGGGGTATCTGGCAATGTGGTAAGAGTTTGGAAGGGGAGGAAGCTTTGACCTATTTCCTAAGACACAGGGGGAGAGGTGTAGAATGTGTGTTAAACAGTGTGGAAGAACATGTGATCTCTTAAAGATCACATGGAACAGCACACCTCCTCGAAAGTTTGTGGCTAAGCTGTATAATGATGCCTTTTGCTGTTATGTGTGGGTTTAGTTTCAATACTTATGCTTTTAGCACAATTAGGCTGCTGAGAAATCAGAATGTTTTGTATATGACCTTCAAATGCAGACTGGAGATTTTTTTCATTCCTTTATGACAATTTGAATATATTGATCCAAAATATTTTAGGAGCTAATCGTCTATAGATATATAAACATAGATGCTGTGTTGGGTCAAATTCTTTATATGAAAGTCTGTCCACTTGATGGCCATCTTGGCAACACCACTGGGCAGTTATTTCCAGTTGTACAAGTCCAGAACCCCTCTCTCTTTGAGTAGGAAAAGAATTTTAAAACCAAAAATGAAAGCCACATTAACATCTTAAAAACATTTGAAATTACTGATAAAATCTGACAAAAACAGCACAGATTTGTGTTATTTGGCTCAATTAATGCACCAAATATATATTTTTTCAGCTTGTTAAGGATACCGCACATCTCCACAATTGGAATGAGGAGGGGCTTAAACAGCAAGCTGATTGGCACTTTTTTATGAAGGGCGGGACTTTGCTCGTAAACAGATGCCATGCTGAGTGTTACTATATTTCAACCAGTAACCGGTCTCCTTTATAGTGTCTCTGATTGGGTCCAACCAGGCACATCCACGGTGCTACCATCTTGGGGTGGTCAATACTGCTGCTGGATGGTATTAAATACAATTACAGAGCGGCAGTTAAAGAAAAGTACTGTTCAAAATCATGATATTTGAAGAATGTAGCACTCAGGAACTTGGATAACATTGTACAACAAGGAGAATACAATGACTGACATTCACAGGCCACTGACCTGCTTTGGGTCGGTGATGGGCTGGAGGTCAGGGAAGCAGCCTTGCGACTGGAAGGTCACCGGTTCGATCTCCTGAGCCGACAGTACGTGACTGAGGTGCCCTTGAGCAAGGCACCTAACCCCCAACGGCTCCCCAGGCGGATAGGGCTGCCCACCGCTCTGGGCAAGTGTGCTCACTGCTCACTAGTGTGTATGTGGTGTTTCACTGCACAGATGGGTTAGATTGTGGAGGTAAGATTTCCCCATTGTGGGACTAATAAGTGTCTCTTAATCTTAATTTATGTTAGCGTGATGTTTATGTACAGATTTGGCCATGTGGTTGAGGAAGCACAGAGAACCCGGCGTGTTGATTGTACAAAGCTAAAGCCGACTTCTTACTAAATTTATTGGTTCCACCTTGAATGGTGCAGCAGTTACATTCCATTTAAGGTGGAACAGAAAATTGGAATAAGAAGAAAGCTTCATGAAGTTAACACTACTTAAGTACTAGCTTCTGATTCACTCCTTATTCGTAGTGTCTGGTTAAGTGAATGACTGTAAACTAAAAGGAGTGTTCACATTGGAATATTTACTGCACAATTAATGTTTCTGCAAGTCATCAAAGGTAAGAGAATATGCATGGTTCATAACCGTTTTTAATGTGTGCTGTGGTGGTGAGCTTTAGCTTCAGATGTTTGTCAGTTCGGGTTCAGCAGGTGGTATGTTTTTTCCTTAACTTTGCTTCTAACTTATAAGTTATATGGTTTTCTTTGGGGTAGACGTTCTGCCGGACACAAGCAAATGCATGCTTTATATGAAAGGTGTTGGGTGGGTTTAAATAAAGTCTGCATTCTTGTAGATGCGTATATAGTCTTGTTATTGTCTTCATAGCTTTTGGTTGGGTAGGATGATGACCTTATTAAACAATTTATGTACATATTGAAATGTGTTGTATTGCATGTTTAATTCTGTTTCTTGTTCTCTAGGTATTAACATAGGCTTTTGCTTCTAGCAGTATCTGAGCTCAGGACTAGCTTTTTCTTTAACCTATTTGCTACTAGCAAAGACACTTTCTCTGAGTAGACAACAAAGCACTTTCGATAAGAGCGTCTGTTAAATGCTGTAAATGTAACTGTAAATGTAAGCCAGAAGAGCAATTTGATGCTTGCTTCCTGCTTCATTGCCTTTCAGACACTTCTCTTCTTAGCTTTGCTGTCTTTAATTTTCTTTATTTTCAGAAGTTTCTTATTTTTTTTAGCTATAGTGTCTGAGCTTCAATAGTTCTGTAGTATCATCCTCCACTCCTGCTAACACAGCCTGTCCTGCTAATGCTAATGCTAAAACTGCTGGTCAGAGATGACAGCTTAAAGCCAGAGCAGAATATCGGCCCCAGTCACTTTATTTCCAAACCAGATCTGAATCACTGCTAAGCCTCAATGAGTTTCGCACTAACTGAGGCCTAGCAGTGAACATAATGCAGGAAGAACCAGAAGTGTCAGCTGGTCAGAGCACCCCAGTAGAGCCACAGAGCCCTGGTCTGCAGCCACAGCAGACACCTTTGTTTTTGGGAATGACTCTGTTAGTGGTGTGAAAAGCCAAAAACTCATAGTTCGATGTGAGCCAAACATCACTATCTTTGAGCTGAATGAAAAGCTTCCTACATTACTGGCCGAAATCAAAACGGTGAAGTGGATCATTGTTCATATGGGCAAGAATGACCGAAGGAAGCAGGAGTATGGAGTATTAAAAAGAGACTTAGATGATCTAATTAATACACTGCTCGACCTCAAAGTCCAGTCATTTATCAGAGATCCTCTGCCTGCATGGAGAACCAATATGTTCTCATGCTTCTTGGATTAAACACGACTTCACCAAAGCTGCAGGTCAAAATGACTGAATTTTATTGACGATTTCTGAATTTTATTGAGTGGACACCAAGAAGAGGGAAGTGAAATCTCTGAGAGAGAACCTCATTTTCTCCATGTGGAACTCATCCATCCTCACTGGTGGAGACACATCAACACTAACAGCCAAGGACTCTCAGATTTTTTAAGGATGAGCCATGCACAAGTTAAAGTTAAACTATGTCATGCCATCAGAAAGCTTCATGGAGACATGCTGCTGCAGTTCAACTCCAAAAGAGAGAATGTAGGAAGGCTGAACGAAGGTGACATAAAACCAAGCTTCAGATCTACCAAGAAATCTTTAACGGTACACTGTGTGATCACAACAAAGCAGGGATGGCTAGTAACAGAATACATGTAATGACATTACATAATTAGGATCCAAAAAAGTAACTGTATTCTGTTATAGTTACAGAAAAAAAGACAGTAGTCAGATTACAGGTACATTATAATTTTAGAGTTTTTGCTGCGTAAAATATTCAGTTTGACCAGCTATAAATCAAAATTTTGTGAACATCATCCTGACAGTTTTTTATACTCTGGGGTCCACAAACTCGCCTGTATGTCAAATTCCATGTTTTTATATATTTTCTCTCTCTTTGTGATAAGACATTTCCTGAATCTGTAGAGTCGCCCTTTCCATTACGTATAATCGTAGATCGTACATGACTCACATCCAGAGTTATGAGGCTATGAAGAGGGGCTGAGATACACATCATCTGCCTCTCACCATGAGGAACTGGTGGATTTGTGTGTCTGTCTACATTTAGTGTGAAATGAAAATCACTAAGGACTGACCCATCACGCTGGAGAGATGAATTTGAGAAGATATGTAAAAAATGCCTTTAGACCCCAGAAGGTTAATGATGAAGTAAGTAAGTAAGTAAATTTTATTTGTATAGCGCTTTTTACAACAGGTGTTGTCACAAAGCAGCTTTACAGAAAAAAAAAATCAGCATTACAGAAAGAAATCCAGGTCCAAACCCCATGAGCAAACCAGTGGCAACAATGGCAAGGAAAAACTCCCTAAGAGCAGGAGGGAGAAACCTTGAGGGGAACCAAGACTCAGAAGGGGAACCCATCCTCCTCTGGTTGACACCAGATAGCAAGCATTGTTAGTATAAGGTATTGTAGTACACAATGTGGAAAACAGGTGGAGCAATGGTTAAATTGATTAGTTTAGTTTATGCAGCAGCAGCATCTTCAAAAGGGTCAGTTCGTGAGGGTGAGGTTTGCACAGCGTTGTTCAGCATGAAACTCACTGGTGGTCAAGCAGGTCCACAGGGCTGGCGAGCAGTGGGCACCCAATCAAGGCAGACGAGGCAACATCATCAGACGCACAGGACAGAAAGAAAGGAAAACACACAGAGAGTTAGTTCTGTAATGAGTGACTGATCACAGATTACAGTGTTAACAGAGCAGCAGAAACTCTGTCAGGTCTGGATCTGACAGGGAAAACTAATTACCAATGGCTTGACTATACAAGTAAGTTTTTAGCCCAGACTTACAGACTGAGGCTGTGTCTGAGTCCCAAACACTGACTGGAAGATTATTCCAAAGCTGGGGGGCTTTGTATGAGAAGGCTCTCCCCCCTGATGTAACTTTATTCATTCTAGGTACTAATAGTGAGCAGCACCTTGTGATCTAAGTAGGCGTGATGGTTCATAGTGGGAAAGAAGTTCACTCAGGCTTCATAGGTCAGTAAATGAATTTTATAGTGGATGCGAAATTTAACTGGTAACCAGTGTAAAGTTGATAGAACTGGGCTGATGTGGTCAAACTTTCTGGTTCTTGTGAGGACTCTGGCTGCAGTGTTCTGGACTAGCTGAAGCTTGTTAAGGCTTTTGCTGGGACATCCAGGGCATTACAGTAATCCAGCATTACAGTAAAACAGCAGGAAGGCTGTTCTAGTAATATTAGTTATGTGTGCGTCGAAGGACAGATCAGGGTCTATAATGACACCAAGGCTTTTTACAGGTGAGCTTGATGCTACTGAGAAATTGTTAAGTTTGAGTGTAAAATTGGACAATTTGTTTCTAGCTGCTTTCGGACCAAGAAGCAGAACCTCTGTTTTATCCGAGTTAAGGAGGAGAAATTATGAAGTGAGTTTACATTAACTAACAGTCTGAAACATAAACACAAAGCAACGTCTCATGAGTGGTAAGGAGTTTAGGGAGTGTCTACAAATTATGATCATCAAAGTCCAAACACAATGCACCAACATGAGACCTAATGAGCCAGTAAAGCCTTTTAGTCGATAGAACAAAAAATAACAGCCATTTAGAGTTTTTAGAATTACTTCTAATTATAATTACTGCTGGTGAGGGTTCTCAAAAGAAGATTTATGCCAGTTTGATCTTTTGACGTCTTTAAGGTAGAGAGATTTAGGTGAAAGTCCCAGGAGAGCAATATTTGTTTTTTTTTCAGTCATTACTTGTTTCCCTGTGTTTTAGTCTCAGATTTTTTAGTCTCAGTGTACCAGTTTTTTCATTTTCGTGTTAAAATCACACAATTCTTTTCCTGGGTAGCTGTGCCTTGATTTCAAACTTATCACCTTTTTCACTGTAAGTGTACATCTTTAAACCCAAACAAATTATACCATTGAAATATGTTACCTTTATGTTTTAAATATTTCTATTTATTGCTCCTCTTAGATTTGGATGTTTTGCTAAATGTGAGATCAGTGACCATTTCTGTGAGGCACAATATTTAGGTCATCATACTATATCATTTTGCTTTATAAAAGACTGCAGTTTATGAGTTTGCCATGTGTTAAGTTACATTACATTAAGAATTATGTTTTTAACAGGTAATCAGTAATCTGTAATGAAATGCATTTGTAAAGTAACCCTCCCAACCCTGGTGCAAAGCTCAACAAAAAATCAACAGTAACATTAACAATAGCTAAATACTCTTTGCCATGGTTGATAAACTTTGATTTTTCTAAAATTCATAATATCAGGTAACCAGTACCACACCTATATGCACCAATGTGCCTGTGTTCTCTTCATCACCGCATAAAGATATCGTGGTTAAAATGATTGATACCACTGATCACAAAATTCTCAAATTGATACCACTGATCATAACATTCTCAAAGATAGACTTGAGAACTGGGTTGGCCTCTCAGAAAAAATCTAAAGAACTAGCACAAAACCCTGGTGTACTAATGGACTCTGATCTCGGTCGTGCCAAAGCAGCATTTTATCACCTTAAAAACATCAACGAGAAATTTTCTTACTAAACCAGACCTGGTGAAACTCATCCAAGCCTTTATTTCTGTAACGTTTAGGCAGCCCTCTGGGACTCCTCCGGCCACTAGGAGGAGCTGGAGGGCAGGAAGGGCTACTTAAGGCTGAGCAGTGACAGCTGTGGATGCCTTATTTAAGGGATACTGAGTTCTTGCAGCCACATGCACGTTACTCTGACTCAGCTTTTGGAACTGGTCAGTTAGTCCTGCTGAAGATAAAACCACTTGACAGAGAGCATTAGAAGAGCCCTGACACTGGACACTTTTAAATACGGCCTGAAACGTTCCTATTTGAGCAGCCTCAGCTCAGTTTAAACACTGTTTGCTCTACTGCACTTCTCTTCTGTAACGCCACTTTATCGCCTCTTAATTTTTAATTTGATTTTTAATTTAATGATTAATTTCTTCTCTTTTAAATCTATCATTTTAATCATGTTTTTAATTCAAATTATCTTTGTATTTTCTGATTTGAAAAGCACTTTGACTGCAGGGTATGAAAGGAGCTATGTAAACTTGCCTTGCCTTGCTATCTGAGAATTGTTGTTATTCTGGATACTATCCTTAATTTCAGTGTTAATTTTAACTTCATAATTAAAAACACCAAGGAGTAAATTTGTTTCATTTACATTTCATTTTAACTTTAGTACACTTCAGTACACAGAGGCATTTATTGAAACTAAAACAGTACCCTGACTTTCCACATTCTTGAACAGGAATGCCATTGTTTTTTTTTTCTCTAACATAAAATATACATACATACATCATCTAAACCGCATATCCTTCTGGGTTGCTGGAGCCTATCCCAGCTGTCATTGGGCAGAAGGCAGGATACACCCTGGACAGGTCGCCAGTCCATCGCAGGGCAGACAGACAGACACACACTCACACCTAGGGGCAATTTTAGCATCTCCAATCAGCCTGACTGCATGTCTTTGGACTGTGGGAGGAAACCGGAGTACCCGGGGGAAACCCACGCAGACACGGGGAGAACATGCAAACTCTACACAGAAATGACCCTGGTCACCCGGCCGGGAATTGAACCCAGGCCCTTCTTGCTGTGAGGCAACAGCGTTACCCACTGCGTCACCGTCCCGCCCCTAACATAAAATAAAGTTTGCAAAATGTTTTCATCCATGATTCAACAGAGCATGAAACATCTACCTTCTGCAATCTTAAAATAAATCCAAATAAACTTAGTAAATTAAAAATGAACTGAACTGCATCATCATCCTCTATTATTAATCAGTCATTTCCACTTAAATTGGTGATTTATTTTCTTGCTCTTTGGCCTTCATTTACAATTAAGAATGCAAAAAAGAAAAAAACCAGCATATTTGCATACAGCAGTTTGTCATGCCATCTTTAGACTAAACAGGTTCTGCCCTTTGATGTGTTGTTCCTGTTCTCCTACATTTTTCCTGTTGATGGTTTCGTTTGCATGCAGTTCTTCATCAAGTTTTCCTCAAACGCATTCACGACATGGCGTCGTGTGTATCTTCTCTGTGTTTTTGTGGGTTGTGGGTGGCTGTGATGTTGGGGTTGGGGGTCTGCTGTGATGATACGGACTCCTTGTGTGGGGCGTATGCACCTGGAGACATTATCCTTGGGATTCTGGGATCAGTTCACTCCACAGTAAAAAACCTTCAGGAACGGGTTCGCCCAGATAAATATACCTGCACAGAGTAAGTAAAAGATTTTAAGTGTTGTTTTTTCAAAATATCAAAGCTGATTACATGTCACTGTAACTTGCTCTCTTTCTGTCTCTTTTCCAGCTTTGATCTCATACCATTTGTACAGTCTCTAGCCACAATTCACACAATTGAAAACATTAATGACTCTGGATTTCTTCCTGGGATTCGGCTTGGATATCTGATGTGTGATCCCTGTGTATATGCTACCAAAGCCTTACAGTGTGTGGATCGCATGCTTTCTATTAACAACACACTTGCCATTTTCCCTGACAACTCGAACTTTTCTTCGCCAGTGAAGACATTCTTAGGAGAGAGATACTCCGAGCTGTCCATTCCTGTGGCAAAACTGCTGAGCCTCTACATGATTCCCCAGGTAATATTGGTGAGGTCTCTGGCATTAAAGAGCTTCTGCAGTATAGCCAAAAACTATATGACATGAGATGCCATAATTTCACTTTTTTAAATATCAGTGATACAGTGTAATGGACTTTAAGCAAATCTTCAGGAATTCATTTGTTAAAGCCACTTTATTTCTTAATCGTGTTTTGTACTCATTTTATATATCATGTCCATTAAATACTCATTAGGCTCACATTTAAAGATCCCCTGCTCTCAAAAACATGTCATTTATCTTACCACAACACTTATTTCAGCTTAGTGTTGTATGTTATTAAACAAGTCTGAACATTCAAGAGGAACTTTTAGCTACAGGATATACTGAATACTGTCCTAAATGTGTTTAGTAATGTATTCTGTTAAAATCCATAAAAAAATAACACATTTAGAATACGTTCAGAATACATACTGATAAGCATAGAGTCAAAACACTCGTAATTCTGTTGTAATATCACTTTGATTCACACTGTTCCTTGCTGTCACTAACTGGCATTTTTTGTCATGTAATTTTTATACTAATATGTTTCATGAAAAATTCACTTATTTTTATGACTACAAAATTTGCATTTTTTGGCTCTCATTGCCTACTTCAGTCCACTGCTGCCCACTTAATTCCACTGCTGCTTGCATAATCCCACTGCTATTCCGACAATCCCACTGCTGTTCCCATAATTCCAGCGTCAAACAATTTGCCATATCGCAATAAGATGTGATTTTTAGTTAATTGAATGTATGTAAAGAAACACATGTGACAGTACAGCATTTATAATTATAGCTTGTTACAACACCACTGTTTGATGTGTGGGTCTGTGAGTGTGTGTCTATGTGTGTTTGTGTGGCGGGACATTCATGCAAAGGCCAGCAGTTATATGGTGGGGTTTTGTATGTATAAATAAACTAGGGGACTTGAGTCTAACTGTCAAATTATTACATAGGACTGGTAGCTGTTAGGGGTGTTTATTGTTCTTGAATGGGTTGAGTTGAATTCATTAAGTTTGGGTGGGGTTACTTATTGTAGGATGTTAATGAATGTTGACCAGGTTGAGCTGAATTCAGTGGATTTGTTTGTGATCAAAGCTGAAAGGTATTCTATTGGTACATAATCAATGAACAAGTTTTTTCAGTGAGTGATGCTAGTAGTCCTCCTTGATTTCAAGTTCAAGGATAGTTTTTTCAGATGATAGTTAGCACTATAAGAAGTATTCTACTGTTTTTCTTTGTTAATCTAATTGTTGATATATCTCCTAGTAGTAATGGGGATAGTGGGGTGAGCTGGTTCAATAGTGTGGTTAACCGATCAATAATTTTTATTCAAGTGTTTAATGTACTATATGTACCATATAGCATGAGTGTAGTTATTGGGGGTGTTTAATGAGCAGTGTGAGCAGATTTTGAAGTCTATAAATCCCATTTTAAATAATTGTTGTCCGGTTTAGTTTACTCTGTGAAAATGTTTGTATTGTATCAGGTGTAGACTAGTACTATTAGTCATGTTAAATACGGTTTTAAGAATCTGTGATCAGAAATCAGCAGTGGGAGTAACTGAGAGATCTTCCCATTTATTAGATGGTATATGTATTGTTGAGTCTGATTTGGATGCCAGCTTATATATTTTGGACATGTGTTTATTTGTAGTGCAGATAATAACAAAGTTTGAAATTGAGAAGGTTTCTTCACATGTTTGATCTTTGTTCTTGATTTTGAGCATATATTTGATTTAAACTGAAGATATTCAAGGTACTGGTTGCTTCCAATGCCATATGTCAGGATTAGATGTGAGAATGATATCATTTTTTTTATCCTAAAAGATATGTTTGAAACATGTTATGTTTGGAATTATTTTGGTAAACTGGAAGTCAAACTGGAAGGTAAATGGTCCTTTCTAAGGCAGACACAAACCCGCTCTAGGTAACCCCACTGCCCAACACAAAATAATACAATAAACACACACACCTTTTCATCAAATGAACAGCGACATTAACAAACAAAACAACATTTTATGTCTCTTTGGTGAAGAGGGGCAGGGCATGCAGTGCAGCTCTGTATATCATGCCTCTAGAGTCTCTTATGAGAATGAGAACAAGTGGCATCTAATTTAGACTTGATGTGCTAAACTGTCAATTACTTTAAAATATAACAGTAAAATAAATGAACTTTTAGTATATAATTTTTATGGGACACTCTGAACTGCTACATTTTGTTTTTTTCATATGTTTTTAATACACCATTTTATAATGAACAAATTCCCAATTTGATTGACATACCTGATGTATGTGGCTACTTGACACTTTAAAAAGTATGTGCTGAAATAATGTTTTGGAATGAGTCTAATGTCAAATACTCTGTACTTTTTGAATTTTAGTCTGCCTTGTAAACAATTTATCATGTACTGAATCTGGTATTTTGATATTTCAAGCTGCTCCATGTAACCTTAGTCCAATGAACCAGACGCTTGCAGATGTAGAAGGTCAAAGAGGATTTATTAACATTTATTATCATTTGGTGTTTTTGGTTTATTTATTCATAAAACTTTAATATTGTAACTATATTTGAGCAGTTGGTCATCATGGATAGGCTAGCGACAAAAGTTGGATAGCAAATATAATTTTTGGTGATTACTTTCATTCTTTCATCTTTTTGTCTTTATCTTTATTCAGGCTGCTTGTGAAAATAAAACATTTTTGACGTTCATTGTTTAACTGTCAGTAATCTGGGCATGCTAACACAAAGATTGTGCTATCATTTTGCTGTAGAACACGGCTTTCACCAAATGTAATGCAGAGTTCAGATCTACTTTACATCCTGCTGCATGTTCAGTGTGAAGACCCAGCATTGCTACTTTCATCTGTGTTAAGCTTTTCAGCACTGAGTGCTACATAAGAAAATTGTAGTGAATTACATGCAGATTAATTACACTTTACTTTTCTCTTAATAGATAAGCGGCACATCTTCTTCACCAGCACTGAGTGACAAATCACGTTATGCATCCTTTTTCCGTGTCATTCCAAGTGATGTATACCAGGCTACGGCACTGGCAAAGCTCATGAAGTACTTTAACTGGGACTGGGTTGGAGTGGTGACGATAGATGATGAGTATGGAGAACCTGCCCTGGAGACTTATCTGTCCGATTCAGAAAAAGAAAACATATGTGTGGAGTTCCAGGAAGAGTTACCAAACTACCTAGGCTCCACATATTTGGAAGAGCGCATCAAAGTGGTGGCTGATCTTATCCGAAACTCCACTGCCAAAGTTGTGCTGCTCCTTTTGAGACCAGAACATGTGGCGATGCTCTTGAAAGAGATGATTAAGACAAATACTACTCGAATCTGGATCGCCAGTGATGCCTGGTCTATGGCACGGTTCATAATGAAGATCAAGGACATAAACAAGGTGGGAGACATCTTGGGCTTTACATTTATGACTTCGAAAATTCCAAGTTTTGAAGACTACCTCAAGAATCTGACGATAAGCCCAGGAGTGAGGAATGATTTCATCAGGGAGTACAAACAGTTGAGGTTCAACTGCAGTCAGCAGTCGGAACATACGTCCCCTTTGGCCTGTAGTGTGACAGACCCCCAGGAGGCAAACGATGACTACCTGCTCCATGCTGTGCATCTGATGGAGGCCTATGGTCAGAGAGTAGCAGTGTATGCTGTAGCTCATGCCATCAGGAAACTTCTTAAATGTAATGACACTGCCTGCTCTGGAGATACCAACTTCTTGCCGTGGCAGGTAAAATTTATTTTACATATTAATACAGCAAGACTAGTAACAATAAGAAAATAACACGTCTTGCTTGTTATTGTTTATTGTAATGTTGATAACGGAAAGCAATAGCAAATCGTTTAAATTTGGCTAATGCAGAGGAATTTATTCCACTCTTTGACACAGAGGTGAGGACTATAGTCAGCTTGAGATACAATTTTTGTAACAGAACAGAAATCTGAAATAACAAAATAATTTTTGGCCTGCTGAGGTGTGCTGCTGTGACTGCTATGCATCAATATGAAGAACTGTTTGTCATAATACGTTTTAATAATAGCTAATATAGCTCTTTGATCAGACTGAAGCAGCTGGTAGTGGTGAATGGAAAGGATTGAGCAAATATGCACTCGAAAATAATAATGTACTCTTGTAGCCATTGAGGTACCATGCATAACCACTTTCAGGTGCAAAACTGAAAAACAACAAGGATGCAAAAACAAACAAGGGCAAAACATATAACAGTCACTCAAAATGGAATGGCCACAACATCAATCTTTATGTAGTACTACAAAAAGACAAACAGAAATATAAGTAGGGAGCATGGTCCTATGGTGGCCCTAATTTTGGAGTTAATTATGCACCAGAAAATGTAGATTAAAAAACAAAATCACCAAAATTGATCTCGAACAATGGCAGAGGCAATGTAAAACAAAATTATTATACATGTTGACCAAGGGGGCACTTGTACTGCCTGGGTTTATTTATAGATTAGGTAGTGGGAGGGAACCAAGAGCTTTTGAGAACACAGGATTATTTCAAAAGAAGTCTTCATTTATATCTTTTCAGATGGCATACACAACAGCACCCCTCCAGCTGCAGCGGCTGCAGGGTAGTCTTTTACAATGCCTTACTCTCTGGCACCCCTAGCTCCTGTGCAGGTAGTGTAGGCTGTCACAAGGTTGTAGGTAACAAAGAAATATGGCAGACTAAACCACATTCAGTGCAAGAGTGTTTATTGGTGCTTAATGAAATTGCACAATTAAAAAAAAAGAAAACTAAAGAGAAATGAAAACTGAAGCTACTTACAAAGTATTTACAGTGTAGACAGAATTTCTTTTAAAATCCTAGTCATGTTATAAACAGCAAAAAGCCTTTTTCAGTAGGTGGTCTAGAGGGTATCACCCTCTCTCCTCTATTAAGACATGAGAAGAGAGAATTAGTCATTTGTAATGGAATAATTTTTGGGCAGTTTTTTATTTTGGACCATGACCATAGTTTTGTGTTATTGAAGTAGATCATGTGTGTAGCTACAAACTTTTAAAGGCTAATTTTGTTTGTGAGCTGTTAACTTCCCTGTGGAGTTTGTTTGTACATTGTTGCCCCAAGCATCCAAAGTGGCTTAAGTAAAAATGCATATACTGCTGCAGATTTTGTAATAGTAATACTTATTTGCACAAGAAGGTACAGCAAATACAAAGAATCAAATCACAAGAAAACAAACACATAGTTAGATGTTTTACATTTAAGGTTGTTAGATTGAGAGCAGATGAGTTTTAATCTGTTTTTAAGCCCATTAGACTGGTACAGTTTTTTGGCTGAGGTGGTAGACATTTCCAGATTCAAGGCTCTCAGTGAGAGAGTGTATACTGTCTATGTGAAGTCCTAAAAAAAGCTGTGTGAAGGTCATTACAAGATCTTGTGGAGTGGTGAAAGTTAGACTAAAACTGTTTTCAAAGCAGTCAGGAAGAAGATTGTGTGTAAAAGAGAAAATGATCTGGCATATTTGAAAATGGTTAAATTCATGCACGTTGAGTATTTGAAGGTTTTAGAAAGGGGGTCAAATAAGCTGAAATGACTACTCTAACAAAGCACTTCTGAAGAATATGCACTGGCCTAAACATTGCAGTAAGAGAGTTAAGCATAAGTCAATGTGTAATACAAGTTAATAAGTATTTTTGTGGCAGTATGCATTTGATTCTTCTGATGACACCAATATTTTTGCTGTTTTATCTGATACTAAGAAAATGTTTCTAGCACAGTTTGTCATTGAGTACACCAAGAAATTTAGTACAGTGGACCTGAGTTAATAAGTGACTAGACATACAGACTGGTGGAAGTGTATCAATGCCTTTTTTTATTTTTAGGGCTGAAAAATATTGATGTTGAATATTGAATATTGAATTCCACAATCTATATTCTTTTGACTGGAGCAAGAGCTCTGCTGTAATCTAAGAACTTTGTTGGGTCATTTTATTTATGTAATGGGATAACTTTGCCCATTTCATTTCATCAGGAAATATGCCAGAGCTTAAGAATTGGTTGATGAAGTGAAATAAATGTTTTGATAATGATGGGAGACAATTCTTCAATAACACTGCCGGGAACTCATCCAGACCAGCAGCAGTGTTCTTGAGTTTGTTTATAACATTTTTCAGTTCCAATAAAGTTACAAGCCATAATTTGAAACCTTTAAGTGCTGGTGAAGGGTCTGATAGAGACAGCAGAGAATCAGTTATTTTGCTTGCTACAGAGGGTCCAACCTAAACAAAACAACAAAAGAAATTGGCAATGTTGCATTGATTAGTGATGATGGCATTGTGTGATTGAGATTGAAATTCATTAGCATATGTACTCTGGGTACAACTAGTTGTTAGTTCATTGATAACTTGCTATGTGCTCTTGTTATTTTGGGCTCTTTAGAATGTATTTAGAATGTATTACTATAATAGTGTTGTTGCTGAGTGTGTGCTGTAGCTTATTTCAAAATGCAGTGTATTTTCTGTACTTTAATGGGGTAGCATTACTGATTGTGGACATTGGTGACTTAAAAGGACTTCTTTACAAATGGAAATGACTGATTAATTCCTTGAATAATGATATCTCTAAATGCAGAATAGGCATACTGTGCATTACTTTGAGTCTGAACAGCATTCTATGTATAGTTTGAAATGTACTTAATGAATTTTTTAGTGTTTCTTACAGTGATAATTATCATAGCTATGTGTGATAAATATCCTAGCTGTAGTTACTATGGAAAAAAACTGGAAGATGATGTCAGCATATAGTACACCATCAGTACTAGAGACCACATTATCAATCAGTATATTAGTATTTGATGTTATTATAGTGGGGAAAAGAATGATGCACACAACCAAATAACTGAAATTATGTGACTGCTGCTGAAGAAGGTCAATATTAAAATCACATACCCAATTTTATTTTCCTCTGTGATTTTATTCAGAATATTAGTAAAGTTTGTATGTATGGCTATTTAATTGTGAAAGTCTGTAGATACAACCAACTATAACATTTTTACTTAAATTCTTATATCACAGTCCTCAAGAAAATTGAAGTGATTTTTAAGAAAGAAAAGGCCTCCACCAGGTCTGTCAGTCCTGTTGTATGAGATGCAATGTTATTCAGGAGCATTAAACACTGAAGCTTTGTGATTATTCAACCAAGTTTCAGGGAGTCCCATAATAGTAAACTGTATAGGAAATAATGGCATATAATGCAGCAGAGTCATAATGATTCACAATGTATGTTTAAGAGGAGCAGGGAAAAAGAGTTGTGCATGCTTATTTTGTTTTCTTTGCACAGGTTCAAAAAAAAGATTTATCTCTGTGATTTGTGCAGTTCCTAATTGCATATTAATAGAGTATAATACGTATATTAATAGACTTGTCTGAGAAATTAGTATCAGGGTCTATGTTAAAAAATAAGTTAACTCACATAAGGTTGAAGATGAAGCTGTACTGTGGTCGTAAAAAGAAGGAGTACTGGAAAGAGCTGTAGACATGAAAGAGTAAAGGATTTAGTTGGTGTAGTACGGCATGTGCTACCCCCGGGCTCAAGGAGGACGCTGGAGACAGGGTTCAGGGCTGCAGCAGCCATGTTTCTTTAATCACACACCAAATAAATACAAACTCAAACAAACCAAAACCTGAGGTGTAATGAAGCGCATTTTTGGGTGATCAGCAAGTAGCTTTTTTACCTTGGTTGTCAACTTCTGTCAACTCTCTGACTTAGAAACATGTCCCCGTCTACTATAATGTTGTTTCTGTGCAACTGATTTTCTAGCTAGCAGGAAGTTTATCAGTGATCCAAACCATCTTGAAGTCACTTTTAAAGTATTTAAACTAGACATAGAGGCAGTTTTTAGATCTTCTATCTCTGACTGTGAGTAGATTAGACTACACCTTTCAGTCCTGGCAACATAGTTAGCGTAGCAGCCTGGCAACCAATCTCAGTACTGAACCAACAAGTGTGGGGTGTGGGGGTTTTAGGGATGTCATATACTGACAACTGGGTCCCCTTCACTTTTAAAATGGCTGCTAAGCCCCTGGCGTTGTTTACCAAGAGTTGCAGAGGAGAGAGCATGATGCCTGGTGGTCTGGCAAAACTGGGCTAGTCTACTAACTGTGCTTTGCTAATATATGAAACCAGTGTTTGCTGCTTGTTAAAAACACTGACCAAGATCAGCATTCAGGTTCTGACCAGTGTTCTCGCTGGTTTGCTCAGCAGAGTAGTTTATCACAGTAAGCTATAGTGATTATAGTGAAGCTGTAGTCAGATTGCTGGAAAAACTGGCTACACATACTTGTTCACTCTGTGTAGATAGTGGAAGACACCTGAAGTCTCAGACTAAACACTTGGACCTTGTTTAACTTTGCCCATCTATTACAGACTTTCCTGATACGTAAGGCTAAAAGACTTGTTCTTGTTTATACCTGCAGATTTATATGTTGACATATGGTGACAATTTTCTTTGTTCACAAACTGTTTATATAAGAGATACTTTTAAGTCTAAACTTTTGTTTTCAGCTTGTGGGCATTCTTCGCAGTCTGACTTTCACTCTGGACAATAAGACATACGCCTTCAATCGCAATGGTGATTTTGAGAGTGGTTATGATCTTATTATGTGGAAAAAGAGTGGCGATGAAAGAGTACCTGATGTGGTGGGAAGATTTCTCATAAAGAATGGCAAAGTTGAGGTTGACGAGAACAAAATCCCATGGACCAACAGCACGGTGAGAATCAATTGAAAACTCTCTGTTCCATTGAGCATTAGCATCGTTTAAAGCATAAGTAACCCAAAACTCTCTTACCTCTAGGTGCCCTTGTCCAGGTGTTCAGAGCCATGTCCCCCAGGCACAGAGAAGAAGATATCAAGTATCTCCTGTTGCTATACCTGTACTAACTGTAGTGAGGGATACTATTCTAATGAGACAGGTATGTATATATAAAGTAATACCAAGCAGCATAAACTAATTGAGAGCTTCTGTTCTGTGTCTGGACACATAACATGAGCAGAACACCTACCTCTTGTCTTACTGACATCCATGGCAAGACTTGGTTAAACTACTCTTTATTATGAATTTATATTTTACATTGTGCTAGTTGACAGCAGTTCAAATGCTAAACAGCTGTACATTAGATAATGTGCAGTTATGAGAATTCATAAGGAATTATCTGGATTTTTGCATAAATGGCTACTAAAATGTGAACTTTATCTAATTCATGGTAGTACAAAAAAAAGGTGGTATTATTTAGCAAACACAGTTTACATTGCCTTACGTTTAAACAATCATGGCAGTTGATGGAAAAAAGTCTCTATACTTAGTAACGACTAAAATATTCTTTATTGGAAATGTCGCCTAAATATTTTTGGTAGCTGCTAATCATCAGTCTTCTGTGGGTAGTCATACCTATTCCTTGACCATGCCAAGGAAAAGACATTTTCCATTTTCAGACATAAGAGTGACCTGTATCAGAGATGTATCTGGTTTTCTCCAAACTAGAAAGTTGATGAGGTCATCAAAACTGGGGAGGTTATCAGAGTGGAGGTCTGAACTCCCACAGATACATGTGGGACCCACAGGACCCACCACAATATCTTGCAGTGCGGGACTAATTTTCAGTGTTGCACGCAGGAGCGAGCAGGAAACCAGCCCAGTGCAGGTGGGAGTGGGCCAAAGCACGCGTGAAGAGAAATCCAGTAAATTAATGAATGACCTAAATGAAGTAGAATGATCACTAAGTCATATATTTAAACAATATTAAATGATAACAGTAAAACAGTTAAAATGACTGAAGTCATTCTCGAGCAACTGTTCATGTGAACAACACACAAATTCTCACCGGCCTGATTCAAATGTACTGCTTCTGCGTAGCGTGAGCAATGTGGAAAGTCTTGCTTTTTATTTCAGCATTCATGCTAAGTGGTCAGCGCATTCACACAGGCTGTGCATGCGAGGCGGCAGAGTCTCCGACGCTACACTACAGTGGTGCGGTGTTTCGAGAATAGACATGACACCAAAATACACTGAAATAAGCCGTTAAAATCAATGAAAATTAAAGAGAAGATTGTATAAAAACTTAAAAATGCTATTTATTTTGTGATTCATGAAAAAATTACATTCTGTGCTGCGAACAGATTTCCCGGTTGGTCTACCAGGCTTGAAACTTTTGCCTAATCACAAGTCAGAATCAGGAACCAGGAATGTCTGTATAACTTTCTCACTGCACCGCAGCACAAACGCTGTATGCGCTCGCGCTGTCACATCACTCATGTCACGGCAAGGTAGCATGTATGAATCAGGCATTATAGAGATGGCAGAGACTTCAATCCAACGGCCACAGCTGCTGAGCCCAGCAAAACACCAAAAATAACCGCTCTGTGCTTTAATTCCTGCTTTGTGTTTACTGGGAATAAAAGGCATTTGATGAAGTTACTTCACAGTGAGCCAGGTGATCATGACTGCCATGTTATTTCAGCACAGAATAACACATTTGTGAATAGACTGTGCCAGATATTCGATATCAGTTCACCTTGTGGGAACTACGTGGGCGGGAGCAGGACAAATCATTTTGATTAGGAGCAGGTGTGGGACAAATCATTTCATTTGCAGGCAGGAACGAGACAAATGAGTCTGATTTTCTGTGGGAGCAGGTGGGAACAGGCTGAAATCTTGTGGGAGTGGGCGGGCGCGGGACTGAAAAAACAGTCCTACGCAGACATCTAGATGAGAGTTAAACGTGGATACTTCATTTATGCAGTGGAAGACATTGTAAAACTGCCAGTCCCCATTTGGTTTGGTCACAAGGTCCAGGCACTTACCTGATCAGTGATCCCCATTCTCAGCATTTTCTTTACATTTTCCTTGATAGCACAGTGGCAGGCCTTGGGGTCATGTTGGATGCGGTAAGTTTGCTCAGTGTCACTGAGAGATTGCTGAAGCGATCAGGGACTGGTCTGCTAATCCTATCAAATCCTCCATCAGAGATGGACCTCCCCAACCTGTAGCAGGGTTCAGTGGATACTTGGCAAGCCCACTCAGCTAAATAGCAGGACTTGTTCCTGAACTGTAGCCTTGGTGATGGATTTCCTGAGGGACACTACCTCTGGGTACTGCATAGTGTAATCAGTCATTACCAGGGTATACTCATGACACCAGGCTGAACTCTGTGGCATCCTTTCCAAGGCTAAGCCCAGGAGTCTTTGTCTGTCTGGTTTTCCTGTCCTTTTGGTGGGTGCATCCAAACCCCAGGAAGTCTTGAACTATAACAGGGGAACAGAAAATCAGTTATCACTTTGACTGTGAGAAACTACTCACCCTGATCCACCCTCATCCATATCTGAGCCAGATGCATGCACCTGCCACCTCCCGAACATCTCCATGGATGCCCGTGATAGGTATGTGATAGATAGTGTCATTAGATGCAGGCTATCCTGTCTTTTAACTCAACAAGAGTGTGTCTACACTTGCATTCTACACCAGATGTAGTAAATGAGTCTGAACACAACTGGAAAGTCAAAGGAAAGTCAATTTAACAGTATTTGTAATTAAAAGGAGAGTTTAGTTTGGTTGTGGTGCAGTGACTGTTCAGCAGCAGCACCTATGGGTACCCAGTGCTGGTGTGGGAGTACCTTTAAACTTGTTGGTCTGGTGAAGCATTGACCTCTCTGGAGCTTTTTGTCCACACAAGATAAGAGAGTAAGGAGCATCAGTACAGTGTGCTGAGCTCAGCTGTAACTCACCCTCATCTGTGAGCATGAGTTATTTTTATACTCTGCTGGAATGTTGGGACTCATCAGTGAGAACCAGCTGTGCCTGATTCTTTGGCACCACCTTGCTGACGCACATGCTGCTACAGGCCCACAGACATACTGTGAAATGCTGCCATGGCTCTGATAAAACTGGTGGGAGGGCCTGTCAAGACAATATGCACTTATTCATTTAAGTATATGTATCTGTGGATCTCCTTTAAAAGATTATTCTATGATGAAACTAATGGTTGACTCAATTGATTTTACATTGTACAGCCCAGCTGAAATGCTTTCTGGTTGTATTAAATGTACATCACTGGTGTAATTGGAGGAAATGAGCAGCTTTTGGTATCCTCAGCACTGAGATGATGGACTACTGAGTGTGTGGCAATCGTTCAAGATTTCCAGACATGTATTCAAAAAAGCTTTTGACTTTGATCTTATTCTGATAGATTACAAGACCTTATTTACTCAAGTATTTCTCTTAAGCAGTCTAAAAAGAAATTTTTTTAGTTTGGCATTGTGCAGAAAAGCTCCGTAAAATTGCCCCAAACTAGTATCTTCATTTGCCTATTTTTTCACAAAACTGCTCTCCTTACTGGGAGGACAAACTAGGTTTCATTTCCTCAAAGATCTAATACATTTTTTTTTCAGGGATTTTGGCACTAAGTGTTTCTGTTCATTTAAGACATTCAGAAACACGTTCAGTTAAAGTGTATATAGAGCAGTGGTTGCAGTTGTCCATTGTTACATTCCCCTCAGATGTAGCTAAGGGTAGAGAGGAGGTAACATGAGGCATTTGATGGAAGAAGGAAGAGAAGGACACAGTCAACACTGATTTCAGTCAAAGCTTTTTTTTTTACTTTACTCCCCACTAGCAAAAGTGTGTGATACACGAATAACATTTACAAAGAAAGAGCGAGAACCATGATACAATGAGCTATCAATTGCTAGGATGCTAGGAATTAATGATACATAGGATGAGTATGGAGTTAAGAAATAAGATTTCACTAACCACTGATTAAGTATGAACTTGACTTGGAGGATTTAACTAATCAACAAAGGTGGACTGAGGATGGCGCCAAAGAAATTAAACCAATAATCCAAAAGGTAACCTACCTAACCAAGGGGTATTCCACAAAGCAGGATTTCTCAGGTTAGCTAGATAACTTAACTTAAAGTCAGGCCTGTCCACTAGGAAAAGAGCTTGGGGACATTCCCATTGGACAGTCCTCATCTTTGGGCTTAAGTTTTCTTGCTAACTAAGATATCCTGCTTTGTGGAACAACCCCCAGGTCTGAACCTCACCAGAAATACACTCTCCCCTTACCTGATGTGTCTAAACAATGAAACAACTACCATGTATGTATAGGCGCACCCAAACTTTCCTGTCTACACATCGTGATAGAGGGAGAGAGGCAAGAAAGAGAGAGAACAAGAGAGGGAGCAACAAAGTGAGACTGCCATTTACTGACTACATTTTCAAGTCCATCAAGTAGCACAGCCTAACAACGCTGTTAGCACCGTAAAAGTTTTAGGCACACTAAATTTTCCCACAAACATCTCCTCTCAGGTAGGCCTTTTTATTTGCCAAGACCCGCCTCTTAGCAGACAACAGCAATTCGGATTGGTGGACAGAAGAGTGCAGCCAAGCATTAATGATGTCCTCATTGGTCCATCACACACTTGTATAGTAGTTCGGCAGAGTGAAAAGGGAGAGAGGGAAAAAGGAAGAGAGAAAAAAAAACAAAACGCATCTCAGGCACATAACGGCCATCTTTACATATTTTTTTTTTTTTTCCATTACATAATATCGTAGTCTGCTTTTTCATTTTTCATTTTATATTAGCGTTTGAGTGTTAACATTTTCTCTTCTTCTTCCATTTCCTAAAGAATGTGTAACCGTTTTGCTGGTGTAACAGGACAGAACTTGTCAGACGTCTATGGTAAAATTAAACAAAGAGTCTTTCCTGGTTTAAACGTGATTCACAGATGTAGTCAAAAAACAAGACAAGTCCAACATAAAAATAGACAAACATAACAAAAGACAGATCCTGGCAAACACAGTCCAAAAAGAGAGAAGGCAGTAGCTCTAGTCAAAGAAGCAATACCTCACATTAAACTAACCTCACCACCCAAGGCTTATATTCTAAAAAATTACATGATGCAAGAAACAGGAGAGAAAAATCAATATTCAGGTGAGACAGATCTCTGATACGTTGAGCACTGTGACGTCAAAGTCAGTGTCAAAGTTGAGTTCTGGGAAATGGAGTCCACTAGAGAGTCAAGGCTGGAGGGATGTGTAACAGCTGGTTAATTATGTAAAGCAGAATCACTACTTAGCTTAAGGGGAATATTTTGGATTTTTAGGTTTTATCATACACCATAAGTTCCCAACTTTTCATAAGTCACAACTCACAGAATCAACAACAAAACCCACAGGCAGCCTAAAATGGCCTGCTACACAATCCAAAATGCTAGGTGTTCTTTGGGCCAAAACAACTGCTGTCTTGTAGTAGTTCTGTTTTAAATGTTGGAAGAAGCAGGTTTGTAGCTACCATGCAATAAGGGAGTCCTACAGCATATTTGATATTAAGAGAAAAAAGCAAAAAAATATTTTGGTTTACATTCCCCATCTGACTTTTGTATGTTCTTCTTTCTTTTTCTCCATAGATCAGCTTGCCTGTCGAAAATGTCCAGAAGGCTCTTGGTCTCTTCCAGGGTCGAAGGAGTGCCAGAAATGGAAAATTTTGTTTTTGGAGTGGTCTTCAGCTTATTCCATTGTAGTGATGATTGGAACAGTAATAGGTGCACTACTGCTGGTGTTCTCATTTATCTTTTTCATTCTACACAGAGAAAAACACATCATAAAGGACATCTTAGTTATTTCATGCCTGATGAAATTTGGCCTGATGGTGAGTTTTGGAGGTGTAATACTTTTCTTAGGCAGCCCAAACATCCATGTTTGTAGAGCACAACAGACCATGTATGGTCTTGGGTTCACTCTCTGTGTGTCCTGCATTCTGGTTAAGGCCCTTCACATATTCTTAGAGTTAATGTCCTCTAATCCTGCAAAGCAGCACAAACTAAGAAAGTTTGATAAGCCCTTTGTCATCATAGGAATCCTCACTGCTATTCAAGCTCTCATCTGTATCTTCTGGATGATATTTGATCCTGTTAATGTTGAGGAGACACAATCAAAAACTCAGTTACTTACCATGGACCGTCTGTGCACTCAGGGCTCTATGTATGGCTTTGGTGCGATGCATGTCTACATTGCTTTACTAGCTGTGGTGTGTTTCCTTTTGGCCTTCAAGGGGAGAGATAACGAGATGGAGCCGGTAGTCTTCAGCATGCTTCTCCATCTATTTGCCTGGCTTTGCTTTATTCCAGTCTTTATCACTCAATATGAATCGCGCCCCATCGTCCAGATCTCTGCCATAATGGTCTCCAGCTATGGAGTCATCTTCTGCCACTTTGCACCAAAATGGTATAAGATCTTCACAGCAAAAGCACAGCCATGGAAGGCAGTAAAATCTAGAGTTGATCCCACAAGTGACTCAGACTCTGGGATGATTTGTAGGAGCTCAAGGGAGACAGTATCAATAAGTAGTGTACCACAAACCCAACTCTTTGCAGAGTCAGGAATTTCCAACTGGGACAGTAACAGCCTGAATCTGTCAGAAGTCAGTATCGCCTCGTTAAGACGTCGGAGGCCAAGAAGTCAACGACCAAGGAGTCTCTAACTCCTCTGTCTCTATCAGACATTTGCCAAATGAAGTAATATGAAAGAGTAACTTTTTAATACAAATATTATGTCAAAACAAAAACAAAAAAATGGAGTGGCTTTGCAAGAATACCATACAGTCATAATCATGCTACCAACATGAGTTTTTCTACTTGAACAACTTTCTGGCTTCTGTTTTATGTGAACTCTAAGGAGTTTGTCATACCAAGGCAGTGTTTCTTGTACATGTGTTTGAAACAGTAAATACTATTTTGTAATTTGGATTTTAAACATTATATTAAGTTTTTAAACATTATATTAATGTGTCAATATTACTCAACATTTTCTAAAATTTTCTGTGACTTTTATACATAGTTTTGTATTTTTATTTTTCAAAATACTGAAATTACTTTTACAATTACATGTGATTCTCAGTTATGATCATGCACAGTTATAACTGCAATGCCATCTTCCTGAAGCTTGCAGTGGTGTCAGCTTCAAATAATGAGCCTTTTATTACAGAAAAAAAGTTCAGTCAAACGCTTCATTTAGTACCAGAGTTGCCACCTAATGTAGCCGAAGTTTTAGTATGTCACATTTCTTTAAAATTCACAGAAGTTTCATCTGAATTAGTTATTGCATTAGCATAGTAGCTTCCATTCTATAGAAACTACAGATAGCTGTAGTTGTTGGCTTCTTATTCACCAGTTTCTCTCATTTCCTATTCCACCTAGTATAACAGTTACATTCTGGTGCTTGTACACATGCCAGAATGTAACTGCTTCACCGTTTATAGTGTAATAAAAAAATTGAATGAGAACCAGGTAAGTAATGAGAACGAATGAGAGCTTCAGCTTTGTTCATTTTAGTGTTTTGCCTCTTCCTTTTTTGTGATTGCAATGGCGATTGTTGGCATTTTCTTGTAAAAGTTATGCTAAATCATGAAGCTAATCAGGCAAACGCTGCCAGCAACTAAACAAAGTGGCCAATCAAATATCTTGTATCACCTTTTTTGCTCACAGTCAGTAAATCATCATCAAAACCACAATGGTAAACAGCTTGAGAGCTGCGCTAGCCCAGAGGTTTAATCTTGTTTGATGCACTAGGTATGTGTATACCTGTAATAAATAATATTTAATGTAAACATGTGTAATAAAAATTGTAATAACAATTAATTTGTGTTTTATAAGTACTTCATAACACAGTTAGGATGAATCCACTGAATAGAGGCCAAATGAACGACAGATCAGTGGTCAGTGGGTTACAGTAATCTTACAGTTTTCTTATTGCGGCATCAAAGGAAGTTATATTTAATAGGTAGCATGTGAGCAGAAATAGTCATGCTAAACAAAAACCCATTTCTGCAAATGTTTTCACAATTTCAAATTTTGTTTACATTTACAAAATATCAAGTTGGTCAGCCAAAACATTAGTTTCATGTCAGTTAGGTAAAGAATTAACAAATTACAGATTCTTGTTTTTATTGCATTTTACAAAATGTCCCAACTTTTCCAGAAATGGAGTTTGTGTGTATATGTTGCTACATGGATAATGTATATTAAATGAACAAAAAATTGTCTTTCAGTTTGCATTGTTTTGGTGGTAATTTTGCTAATGTCATTGTCAATGTTTTTCAAATAGCGTCATACATATTATGTATGAAAATTTAAACTGACATAAAATGAAAAATAAATGTGTATGCATATATATGTGTGTGTGTATATATACGTATATGTGTGTGTATATATATATATATATATATATATATATATCAGGGGAAAAAAAAGTGTCTGCTGCTTCAGAAAACCGATGCAACTGTCTAAAAAATATTTTCAAATTATTTTTCAGTGCTAGTGTTTTCGTGTTTTCAAAATATTCTAGAATCTAAAAACAGAAAAACAGAAGGCTAATTATCTGTTTGGAGACAGAACTGGCCAGATGCTTGCTTCCAAAATCAAGCAACGATTGGTTGTTGGTAACGGTGTCACAGTCACATGATCTCCCAGGGAGTTCTGTGAAGTGGAGTTCACTAACGAGTCAGAGCCAGAGGGACGCGTGACATTTATCATGTGTGCAGATGGCATTTATGTGTTCTTGGCATTTTCTAGCATACAGTGAGTAACAAGATCAAATGATGATGAAGTGATATGGTGAACGCCTATTTATTTGACAAATAATGTGAGTAGGACTGCAGGTCATTAACTGGTTCATCCTGTCAAATCAGGGCATAACACAACTGCATGTCAACACTAGAGGCTTCCATAAAATGTAAACAGTACTCATCCAGTAAAGTAACACAGCAGTTCTTTATATCTGAGAGAAGATGATTTATTGTATTAAATCAGTTAATCTATTTAGACTGAGAGAGAGTGAGAATTACAATGTTCAAGATTCAAGGTCATCAAGGGATCACTTAAGTCTACTTGTCCTCTTAGATGGAAGGGTTAATGCAAATCAATTGAAAGTTATTCTGACTGATCTCCTTTGTTTAATGATGAAGATTTGTATCCTGATGGGAGTGGTCTCGCCCATCATGAGCAGGAAAATGATTCATATGCTGAAGTCACCAGATCTCAACCCAGTTGAGCATCTGTTACACGGTGCTCTTCACCACCATGACCAAAACTCCATATGAGGGAATATCTTTTGGAAGAGCTCCATCTGTTCTGCTCTGGCAGCTTGTGGAATCCCAACACTTTACTAAGACTCTTTAATTTCTCTTTATGTAGAGAGCACCATGGTTACAAATAATTGGATTAAAATTGGATTTTCCATGAACGCAGAAAAGTTAACAAATACTGTACATTTTCACTTTTGTTAAACCATTCTTTTAATATAATAACAGACTCTGTTAGTAAATGTTTACTGTATATAAACAGGAATACTTAGATTGGCCATTACTTAGTCAGTGTCTGTTAAAAAATACTGACCAATTAAGATAATCTATCACAGGTGTTTTAAAAAATCTACCATAGTTACTCTCTCTGCTTTGTTACACTTGCCTCCAGTACACTGTGCAGGTTGTGGTCAGTTTCAGTCACCAGGTGGAGACATCGACTTTAAAACATCACATCAAATTTCCACACTCTGCCCAGTTCTGCTCAGGTCTTTGATAACAGCAGGTGACAATTACAGTTCATCACTTTGTTGCACAGAATCTTCTAGAACTATTATCTCCCTTGCTGACCACTAGCTTATACAGAAGGTTTTGGGAAATAATGATCCCAAAAGTTAAAATGAAATTCCTAATACTACACAACACATTGGACCTTAGATACAAACTTAGATATTGGAGAATAAGGCCCAATCTGTACATGGAACAAACTTCAGTATAACTTTTTTGCTAATTTTAGTGCACAATTTCTACTTATTTGCTAGTTTAACATTGAAAAAAAAACAAACAAAAAAAAAAACATAAAAACTAAAACGAATGTGTCATAACTTTGTCAAAGGCCTTGCCCTTTAGCATTAATTTAACATTTAGCATAAATTTGACCAAAAATAAGATCAGATCTTCATTTAAGTCATAACAGTAGATGAAGAGAACCCAGTAAAACAGTTATCACAAAGAATTATGTAGACTTTTTCTTAAAGACTCTTAAATAATTATGAATCTCAAGTAACTGAAAAAAATCAATATTTTCCTAACAGACCAACATATAGACCAAAGGTCAGTATGGTGTTATTAAGTACGTCATTTCTGTGATGCTTTTGTGCTCCATTCATCTGTTTAATGGCACTACTGCTTACGTGACATTTGAAACCAGGTATCTCGTTTTAAAATGTGTAAAGTCAGTATAAAGACCAAAAGCAAAAGTCACAGTTTAACAGGGTTCAGCATTTTGATAAAAACATACTTTGTGTTTAGAAACCTAAAACAATGCTTCATTCACAGCAGTTGATTGTGCTCTCTTTAGAATAAAGAGGTTCTATGCCTTGCTGTGTGATTTCTGTACTCCTACATTTGTGACATTGTGACATTGTTTGTGTCTTTACACAAACCTATATAGAAATAAATCCTGTTTCCCCGTGTATGCAAGAAAAAGAACTGTTGAGGCAACCTTGCTATCTGTCAGAGACTACAGTGATGTAATTTACAAACACGCATCTGCCAGTTACCTCAAACCGCTCTGCTCTGAGGTTCATTACTGGAGACCCATATAACACTCATCACTGCCCTCACAAGCCACACGGCGGGAAACACACTGGTTTATTTTTATTAATAAAGCACTCTCCGGCCATATGCCAGAATATATTACTTCAATGATGTCTGTAAATAATGGTATTTATCAGACTCACTGCAGTGGTTGGATCACATGCCAGGTACCGAGGGTTTTTACTGCACTGGGAAAATCTGCTTTTAGTTACAGTGCACCAGCGAGCTGGAACTCACTACTGGAAACACTACAAGAAAGTAATATTAAATTCTTAAATAATAATATGAAATGAATTCACCCCTAGTCATTAAATAAAAGACTGATCAAAGATACAATGTATCTATACACTACTCACTGACCCTGCTTTTCTGTGTCAATTAGGTAAATGAAATGTGTGAATCTCAGACTGTTTGACAATTTGAGGCTTTTTTTTTCTAAGAAGACAAGACAAAAGATGGTATGGTATAATTAGGAGCATCATTTCTAGAATGTGTGGAATAGCCATCACTGTTCTCTCGAATTTTGAAACCATGCTTTGTGACTTGAGAACAAAATAAATATAATGTCCCAAAACAAACAAGTTACAGTTCATCGGACTACGGTACAGTGCTTAGAGATCTAGAACAACGTTTTTGTACACAGTAGCTTATCATGCTATCTTTAGACTAAGCAGGTTCTGCCCTTTGCTATGTTGATCCTGTTATCCTAAATATTTCCTGTTGATGGTTTCATTTTTCCTGTAATTCCTCACCTAGTTTCCCTCAGTGACATTCACAAAATGGCGTCATGTGTATCTTCTCTGTGTTTTTGTGCATTGTGGGTGGCTGTAATGTCGGGGTTGGAGGTCCATTGTGTATGCACCTGGAGACATCATCCTTGGGATTTTGGCCTCAGTTCACACTAAAGTAAAAGACCTTCAGGATCGGGTTCGACCGTATAAATATACCTGCACAGAGTAAGTGAGAGTTTAATGGCTTTTTTGTTGTTTTTTTATTATTAAATACACCAACACTGTAACCTGCTCTCTTTCTGTCTCTTTTCCAGCTTTGATCTCATTCCCTTTGTACACTCTCTAGCTGCAGTTCACACCATCGAAACAATCAATGACTCTGGATTTCTTCCTGGGATTCGGCTTGGATATCTGATGTGTGATCCCTGTGTATACGCTG